AACAAATTAACCTTAAATTAATAATCTTAAGGAGCTGCCCTAAGATGATATCCTTGGAATGTAGTTGTTTTTATTTTATTATTATTATTTGCTATTCTCTCCCAACGGATAAGCATCAATGACGAACAAACTTCGTGGGCTCATACACGTAATGAATTAGTTAATAAATAAACAATTGTCGTTCTTTTACTGTGCCAGCTAGAGAACAAGCAAAACAAATTTTTCCTTCTGTGGTTTGCCCAACGATGATGACACGCAAGTCTTGAATAAAGGAGACAGGCCAAAACTGAAAGGAGAGCTACTCCAGATGAATATTTGGATTGTCCTACTGTGCTAACTGCTTCACAACCTAAACCCTTCTTAATAATACTAATTACAGTGTACTATTATTCACTATTATACTGAAATGAACGATAAAATATTGAACTTTTACTATACTTCATAGTCTAGACCATAGACTAAATGATGATCTACAGTAAACTAAAGAAAGTTCAACGATACGCTTCTAATATTCATTGAATTAAAATCATTCCAATTTCAATCGAAATGAAGAGTCTGGGAATCTTTTCAAGCTAAACTAGCTATATTCGACATAACACAATCAACAAAGGGATTGTATGCAGCACTCGTATCGTTTACTCAACTATCGTCGATTTGACCATCAACAGCGGGAACGGATACATAACTGAGTGTAAACGACTTGAAAATGTTCATTACTAACTAAAAAATTACGACTTATAGTACGCTTTTAAGTCTATTCTACTAGATTCTTTATTAGCAATCTGGAGTATAGATTGCTTAATTCTTGCAGCATGTATAGTAGCATGAACGATCAGAAATCACTACTGGTCACTTCTGCACTCTGAGTAGTAATCCGACATATGTACTGAGGCATGTGATTGAGCTATCAGCGATAATAAATCAGTCTTGAGCTTGCATCTCACACGAGCCCTCCAGACTTTGCTGGTTGCCATATCGGCAGTCCTATTGGATAACTTGGTCGACCACACAAAATATGTACATTATACGATAAAAAATAACTTACTTGTACAATGCAGTACAAAAATGAAATGAAAACAAATGCTTTCAAAATGGATAGCATTGCTCTAATTTCACTTAATAACTCTGCTACAGTAAAGTAGAATTAAACTAGCCATAGCGTTTAACTGCAAGCGCCTTTGCAATATCAAAGCAGCACGACCCTTTCCAATATTGTACTCTCAAATACTGGATCCTGTCCTTCTTTTTGAATCATGATTGTTTTAGTTTACATTATTAGTAGCATTATTTGCCAGCTAGAGATCTTATGATATAGTATCAACAGAATGCCAAGATAAAAATATCGTAGGTAAAACTTTCACAATGTCAATATCCCACTGGAAAGTGGACAATACACGAAGCTTACTATCTCTTATGATTCTCGGCTAAAGTGACGATTTGAACAAGCAAAATGCCTGCTCGTATCTCGTAATCAATAGAAAAGAAAACCATTGACTTGTTCTTTACCATTAAATTCTATTCTGGAAGCAATAAAGCTACTATTAAACTATTAATCGTTCATTATCCGCGGATTAGGAAGTTGTAATTTTACCATCGATGTTCATGGATGATCTGAATTGATTTCTTTGTTCGCGATGGACAAGAATGTGATACCGATGATTTGATTTTTTTAAAGGCATGCACCCAACTAATTAAAAAGTGAATATTTTTTGTAAAAATAGTGCTCTAACTACGTTCTCATCGTAAGGAAAGGATCGCAGGGTGTTAATTTTATTAACTGTAAATTGTCATGAAATTAGTCCGTATTTTCGTTAATGAGTACATTGTCAAAGAATTATCTAAACGTTAACGTTATCTAGGGTTGCCTGGAAGGGATTCGTCAGCTTTTATGTCCAATTGCAGCCATACATGCATCGTTTTGCATTAGCAATTAGTAGAAATTTTCCAAGGTAGTCAACTGTCGTGAATATAGTATAAATCGCAATAGAAAATTTCACGATAAGCATGATTGATAATCTTATGCCACTAGAGCAGTTCATTTCTTACAACTAAACTGCAGCAGCTATGCAGTAAATTCAATTCCTAGTATTCTTTAATAATGTAGTTTATATGTAGGTAAAGAATGTAGAAGGCGTATACTGTATATCAAAATGCTTTGTGTTTTTCAATCCTATCACACGTAAACTAAACGACATCATAACACAACATTGCTTAAAAGACGCTTAATATTATCCAAATAAAATAGGCAATCTGTATATTCATAGTGAAAGTGTTTTAAAGGCTTTCAAAAGATCGACACTATAAAACTTGAAATCAATTTCGAAGAATAAGCCGTTTGACTCAATATAATACTGCATCACAAGTTTGATGATACTACGGTAAGGCTTGCGATGTATGTACCTCGATAGAAGAATATGATATTCTCGAACGTGCTTGGTGATGATATTTCAAAGTAACGATATTTAAGCATTACTAATGTGCAAGATTCAGTTCAACGTCATTTTACTTTATACACGTATTGCCAGGCAATTTACCTCGTATAGTTCATACAATACGTTGTACTGTATATCACTAGATACCAAACAATTTATTTATCCCATGTCCGAGTAATCTTGGTTAACAAGTTAAAATAACTAACTACGATGAGATTATTTCAGAAATTGATGAAATCAAAGTAGTTGTGACTCTGAATGCAATAATATTACCAACATGCTAGATGGCATTAAAAATGGTAACGATTGAAGATAGCAATTTATCTTCTAATACAGGAATATGCAAATTACAACGGGATTTCAACTGAGGGCATATCTTGACCAAGTCAAGGAAATCGACATGAACGTATTTTCGATAATCAAGACGATGAAAATTAAATGATTTAAGAATAAATGTTGCATTAGCAAGACTATAATACTACTGTACAGACATGCTTGATGATATCATTGGAAATGTGATACAAACTCTACATTAATTGTACACGAATAACTTACTTTGAAATTTGCTCTAAATTTTGCGAACGGGAACGATTTCGAAATGGCCTAAGTAAACGGTTTGCCATGAATTGTAACTTACTTGTAGAAGACGATTACATCTTATGTACGAGCATTCATTATACCTCTCATGGATATTTATTTAGACAAGGCTATGGAGTAGAGTCTCGAATCAACTGCGCTATAGTACAGTAATGTAACCGAGGCTAGTATGAGCTGCATGGTGCAGAACAACATGGTTGAATGGTTCTTCTGGTGATTATTAATATTCATAAGTTGTCCCGCGCCAATATGCTAATCTTATGCTCTACTAGCAATATCACCACATTCTATTATAAGTAATAGTAGAATGCGAATATGCTTACAGTATGAAATGAAATGATTTTAAATACTGTCCAAACATCATTATCCAGTAACGGAACTGATTACTGAACAGGATTCGTTTCAATGAGAGTCTACCTCAACAAACTACTAAGCAATTGCACGGTCTTTAGCTAACTGAAATTTCGCAACTGCTACTTTACCACAGCTATTACCTATGCAGTGGCGATTGCAGATCATAGAATATGCTGTAATACTTTAATATCAAAGCAGGAAATAGAAAGCCTGCTAAAGGCTTAGATGATGCACAATGTTTCTAAATTATCCATTACAATGTCATTTGTAACGTTTGGGCACTCGTTAGAGCAAATGAATAGAGAGAGAGAGATTTATACATGTTTTGCTGTCATCTACCACTTTAATCAATCCTACTAACTTTACAGTTCTATACAAGTATAATCAATTTCCATGTATAACTACGAAGGCATTATAATTTCATAATGTCCTTAACATCATTCAAAGATCACAATTTATCTATATGTAAAGGAAGACCTGTGATACCTCTAATATGATATTTTACGTTTACACCCATACCCGTATACTGTAGAAGAAAACCATTGCTTACTGTAGCTTTACAATATCTGTAGATAGCCTATCGTTACGTATAGTAATTAAATTATTCTACTTGCAAAATAGAAGCTGTGATACTCCATGAAGTGATATACTGTATGGAAGCGCTAATATTTCTCTGGAGAAGTTCACTCTATAATTCCAGTCAATCCAACAGTGATAGATTTCCATAGCAAACTAACAGGAATGCTGCAACATGTGTGGGTTGCATATTGCTGAATATTGGAATCAAAATCATCCTACTTGCTAAATAGAAGCTTTATTACTCTTTGGCATGATATCCATTTGACTAATATCCTGTAGAGAAGTTCCTTCTATTCAATCCTGGAGTACCACAGTATAAGTAGATCGAATTTTACTACGTGCAGGAATAATTTATCAGCCTTCATAGCAAGTACCATCAGCATTTAGAAAGAACTACAGAAAGAATGGCATTGGTGATCCATTTCATATGAACAACAATGTGCAAATATATATCTTTATTACAACTTTAGCTATTAACTATAACTATGTAGCAGGAAATTGCATAAATTAAGGTAAAGATTAAATCATATGCTGTATGAATATACTATAGCTAGTAGTCTATATATACTGTCAAGTCGTAAAGCAAGGGTATCACGACTACACAAATGCGATAGTTCATAAAACAAAGAATCTATTGATCACTTTACTGTTAACACGCAAAGAAGGCATTGGACATGAACCAAATAACTGTAGAAGATCGCCAGTTAACTCAATCCTGCTTGATACAACATTATTTACAGCAAATTAATTTCAATTCATTTAAAAATAGAGTGTATATCATTTTACTTGTACAAATTAATTATCAATCTATCATCTAGCAAGGCAGCTATGCTCCAATAATACTTTAATCAATAAAAACCGTTCATTCAGAATTCCAATCACGGCTGGTAATATTCAATCAACAGGTCGCGGCATATCACTGATGTATCACCAAAAGCCTCTGAGCTGAGCTGATAGACCTTATCACTGGCGATTAGTCTAGATGCAATCTAATGATCGGCTATAGCCGTATCCATAGCAGTAATATGATGAATAGAATTATAACTTGGATTTTGGTGATTCATTTAGTAAATTATAGGCCTTGGCATATAAATCACGCTTAAACAAGCCCAAAGTAGCCCTAGGGTATTGCTTGTTCTCGCCCAATTGATGAATTAACTTTTTAGCAGATTGCATTAAAATTTCATGTGCAACACATTCATCGATAATATTATCTTTTACAGCTTCTTCAGCTGTAAATCGTTTACCGAATAGCATAGCTTGGCGTAAAACACCATCATGTGAAAGCTTATCCTTAAGAACCTGTAGCCATCCAGGAGCAAAACGACGATTAATAAAGACTTCATTTAACGACCACCATCCATGGTTTGTTCTCATCACTCTATAATCGTGTGCTAAAGCCAAGATGGCTCCAGCAGCAAAGGCATGCCCATTGATTGCTGCTACTGTCGGTATAGGAAAAGTTAATATTCTACCAATCAAGACACCACTCTCATACAGGGATTTTTGCCGTGTCGACTCACTTTGCTTGTTTAACCAATCCAAATCTAAGCCATTGCTAAAAAATTTTCCAGTCGATGTTGTAATGACAGCTTGAATATCAGATCGTGCTTCAATTTCATCTAATGCACGATTCATCGCTTGGGTAAAAGATAAATTAAATCGATTTTCACCAGCGTTCATTTTAATGATCGCAAATCGATCTTGATAAATAACTTGCACAATCTTGCCATCCATCTCGATCATTTTATTCGACCATCCAGTAGTTATAAATCAGCAAGGAGGAGAAACCTTGTCGGGATTCAATGCTCATTAACTATAGCGCTATGAGGACCGATCGTACTGCTATGATTCTCAAGCAGAAGCGTTGTTGATATGAAATGACCCATCTCATCACTGCTGTTGAAGTCATACTCTGTTAACAAGAAACTATTTTAGAACAGTACCCTATGGAAGGGGGAAGCAAAAATACTTCGTGAGTCTGCGCGATGTAAAATGCTGAATAACCGTGACCTACAAATTAATATTTTGTCGATAATCAGAAGAATTGTTGACGATTACTTCTACAGTACCAGCCTTTCTTGATCATTTAGGTTAGCCATTCCTTCTTGCATACAAGATAATTTATCAGACCACGAGTCCAGCAGGATATCCTACGGATTAGTAACAGGTAAAGTCTATTCGATTGCATTGATTAAGGAAGAAAACAGCGCTTGTTTACAAATAATTTGGACTATTTCATCAGTTTAAAAAATTATAGTTGAAATCATCACAAAGGTCGAGACTACTAGAGGAAATGGGTAGCACCAAACCAACTATCAAAATTGACATTACATCCGATACGATGTGTCCATGGTAAGTTAAAAACGTTGTATGAGTTCACAGTTGAGAAAGTTGCTCATTCTTCCTGAATCGATGCAGAACAGATCATTGTATAAAACTGTAACCAAGACGAGGACGATGAACCGTAGTAGTGTAATAATGATGTACGAGATAAATAGATGCAATAAAAAGTAACTTTTAAGGATAATAGACAAGATACTATAGCTTAATTCATCGCTATTTGGCAACGAGCAATCAAAATTTGATCAACATACATCAATCTTTATAAAAATTACAATTAAAACTAGTCTATCCCATTCGATCATGGCCTTGTCGTACGATATCCGTAACTTTATCAAATTATGTCGTATTATCAATCATCTTTACTATTGCAAATGAATGAATCTCTTCGGTGCGATTATCCGGAAACTGTGAGAGTAGGCATGATACCGGCTTTAACTTCATCCACAAATCATAATATGAACGTAGCTAAAATAGAATAAATAATAGTAAACAAGACACTTAAGCTAAAGTCATGGATGCCATGCAACTGGTATTCAACAGTTGATCAACACCTACTAATCCATTCGATATAGACTGTTGCCACAGTTCAGTTAATTTAAAGCTAATCTGCCAAGTACAATCATACCCTATTTCCACAAGGTAAACTTCATCAGAATTTTTCAGTGGTGTCAGATTGTATGCCATTTTATAATAGTTGCTTTTGAGGATTATCCGGAAGCTGCAACTGCAATTGTCCCATGTTCGAGTTATCATTGGATTCTGCTGTAGGACATTCAGCAACAATGATGATTTGATATCGTTGCAGCCCTTACATAAAAAATGGCTAGTTATTAATATTTTGTATCGAATAAGATCAACTTTTGTGATGAGTGTACGAGTAAATTATTGATTTATATTCTGTACGATTGCTAGTTGCATAAAACTTTACTGCTATAGCCCTGACTATCTATAGAACCAGTGAATAGTAAAAATTAAGTGATGAGACTCAAATCATTTCAATTTTTCTTGAACTGCAACTTGATTTTCAATCTTGGATAGGTGTTTCGTTGGTAAAAGGCACCTAGAAACTGCCATGAAAGACTTTGAATCTACCTTTGAATTCGATATTGAATGGAAGCCATTCCTTCTAAATTCGAATACACCTGAAGAAGGAATACCAGTATTAGAATATCTAGCACAACGCTATGGCCAGCAAGTAGCTGATGATGCCCGTAATGGAACATCATCTTTGATTGCCGCTGGACGTAAAGTGGTAAATATCATCATGATATATTAATTAAAGATAAATTGCTCTTACTGGTAAATATTGCAATTATCGCCAAGAAAGTTGTCATGTTATCTTCATAATTGCTTTGATTCCCTGTATTAAATTGTAGAGTTATTCTTCTGTCGGTAGGGCCTTAACTTCGACTCAAATCGCAAATTTGTCAACTCGATTCGGTCTCATTGCTTATTAGATTATGCTAGAACAGAGAAAAAGCAAAATCAGTTAGCTGAGCTATTATTTCAACGATATTTTATCGACGGTAATAACATTAACGATGTAAAAGTACTTTTAGATTGTGCAAAAGAAATTGGTTTAAAGGCGGAAGAGGCTAAAAAGAGTTTGCAAGATAAAGAAAGGCGAAAGAAAATAATCGAAGAAGCAAAAGTGGCAACTCAAAATCAAATTCATGGCGTACCACATTTCGTAATAAGTTTAATTGGCGACCAACATGGTAAAGCTATGCCATTACATGGATGTCAGCCCATTGAGATGTTTCGACGAGTATTCACTAGCATTAAGGGGCGAATGATATAAAATAGAATAAATCCACATGATGCTCGGGATTTTTTAATCTGTAGAGTAGGGTAAATTTATCAATCAACACACTACATATGATTTCAGTATCTATAATTAATCATTAACTTCCTATTGCGAAGTAGTATTTCATACTTGATTTAGTATGCTTAATTTGATGACTAATTCATATCATCTATTTGATTATTTGTAAGCCACAACACTTTCACTTAAAAACAAACTGCAATCTTCAAGATTAGAATTTGGATAACACAACTACCGCAATGCCTTTCTACTTTATGATAGACGTTATAAATTAGCTACTTATTTGATTGATGTGATAAGATGTCCGTTAGTATTTATAAGATGCCGTTGTAGAACGTTATTTTCATTGTTCTCTATTTAGTATCTATAATAAACTTTAGTCCAGCACTCACTCCAGTGAAGTCTTCTAACTGTGCGTTACAGTAAATCCTTCAAAAAAGTAATCGTAGCACTTCCTTATAGCTTTAAAATAAATTTCTATCACTGCTGCACTTGATTATTCAATTCTGTGCAGGTTTAATATCAAGCTTATAAATTAATACTATAAAGTACCGTAACCGATGTTTGCAACGATGTTACTGCCAATTTCTTTAAAATCTCTTGACTAGAATAATGTCAAGCCATGAAATTCATAATTTATTGACGTTCACGGTACTTTGCAATAAGTCTCAGTATATTTACGGCTACCTCAACTAGATATTAAGCGACTTTCCTGCCAATGTAGAACATAAGAGCATTCAGGCACGATCTAAATTTCTAAGTAACCTATTAAAAATCATTCATCTGAATAATCTTGCCGGATGATTGACTGCATGCTACACTTATAAGCGGCAATACACCCATTATGTAATGAAGCCTTCTTGCTGTCCTATTCGGCATTATCCGCCACGGTAACTTTGCTGAAACATTTAAAAGCAAGAAAGGACTAAATCTATTTACTTGATAAAGGCTTTATAGGATCGTTGTGCTACAATGCTATTAATTTGTAACGATTACATTATAGCGCGAACAGATTTATCATAGTTAAACTGATTGATGTGAATTAATGGTCAGTGTTACCCATCTGACGAATATAACATTCGAAGGTTTCATCACTACTTCTGTGATGCTATCTGTTTTATGGAAACTACTCAATCATTTATCGCTAACGCAGAATTACACAATCAGTAGAAATTGAACGTTAGGTACGAAAACTATCGTTATCAGCCTGTAATTCTCGCAATAATTCTTGTAAGGGATAAAAGCAGAAGAAATTTACTAGAATTCAGTGTAGAAATCATCAGCTCAACCTTATCCCTATATGCTGTGAGGATTGCGATGAGGAATCGTAAGATTATTTGCAGTTACATGCAATACTATTCTAGTAAATGATATAGTTATAGTAGGTCAGACAAATTTCCTTAGGCTAAACTAGTATTAAAAGATATAAGATTAGCCAGTAAAGAAGAAAGAGAAAAGATCCTGCATCACTAGCTATTGTTTTGATCCTTGTAACTAGTGTAACTAGTATTACATGGTACATAATTCTTCAGCAATGCCTAAAGCACTCGATGTCACAATCCATCGCGCTACTCTTGGCTCAAAACATTACAATAATAATATTCATTCTATATAGTCCATAAAAGTGTTTTATTTATTCACATAAAATTTTTAAATCATGCTAATAGTTCTTTATGCCGCAAATAATTTAATTTAATCTACGAGATTTACCAACATATTCTGCCATCATTAATTGAAGCTGCAGTCATGATTAGTTTTTAGTACATTTATCTAAATGTATCTCTCAATTATGATTTAAATTAGCAGTATTAATACTCCTGCATTATATTAGTTTGCAAGCATAGAACTAAGAATTTCTCCAGGTATTTATTCGGCTATCAGACAAGTAGTGGTTAGGAAGCATATACTCGGTAGTAAGAAATAATGTGGCTATGAATTTCTTTTAATGTATTGCTTTGTGTAGGATAACTACCCGTTTTTTTTAACGGGAACTTTGCTAGTTCTATTAATTGACTAATAACCCTAAGTCTGTACTTTAATTCTGGCACTTCAATTATGGGAATGTCCACTTAAAACCAAATGTTACTTATGAAAGATACTGCAAATGATAACGAAGTAAAGTTGACATAGGATCTTCATAATCCTCTAAAGACATATTAAAACATTGGGTTCTACGACTGTAATAAATTCAAATATCTAGAACTGCTGTATTTCTTCTTTAACTTAGCGAAACCAATCCTATCTTTTCCCACATCAAATTCAGTGTAATAGGAGCGAAGAAAAACGTCACCGAAAATCCACGTATCTTCTTCTTCTTCAAGTTCTAAAAAGCCACTGATGCAATGTTTATTGCCTTTTAGGGTATACTAAACATGCAGATAAACATCACACACATTAAAATATTATTAAATCGGAAAATGAATAAATAGATCAGCAATAGAAATGCATGTATCGACATCTGGTTAACTACAAACCTGATGAACGTAATGTTCAGGATCGAGAGTATATCTGATTTTATCAATTGTAAAGGTGATTTTAGGTAACGATTTGATTCTCGTACAGTCTATGAAATTCTATAGAAGGTCAAAATTTTCAATATCTTAATATTTCTATCCATCGCAGTATAAGATCTGTACAGCTATGAAATAAACGATGAATTCTATTGACAATCAATTACTATTCAAGTTTTATTCCATCTTGTCAAAGTATGACAGTTGGTACCATTAGGTAGTTAGGTATTGTTAGGAATTAACTTGGATACTTTAACTATTATTTAATTATTGGAGCGATTTCAATCTGTCGCAATGTCGAACATAGCTTAAAATTCTACTCTGTACTATTTAACATACTATTGAATAGCAGAATTAAAGATCATACTTGTCCACCAATTTTCTGAGCTCCAATTGCGTGCTGGATTCGTTGAATATCTTTCGAAGGACCAAATATCAGGGAAGTACCGGTTTCGATAATAGCCGTGCAGCCGTGAGTGCAAAACTTAACGCCTCGATTTACTGTACCGCTATAATTACAGTCCAACATTTAACAATCATTTACTAGTCATAGGTAGCAGATGTTGTAAAACTGATAAACATATGAATATTGCAGCTATGGTACCTATCAACTTTAATAATCCAACTTCCTTTATGAATTACATTGGTATAATGAAATTTGCCTTCGTAGTATCTTGAGTCAGAACCACCAAAGATGATTTCGCCTCCAGCAGTACCTTCTTCATCTCTATCCAGTAAGCAAAGATCGATATTATATCAGAAATCTTAGAGTATTTAGAGATATCAAAAATCTTAAGAGTATTTGCAATATGCTGTATAGGACTGTAATGAATGCGTCTCACAATTGCTATCATAGTCAAATTGTATCTTCTAAAAGGCTTTTATTACAAGTTTTTAGGAATAGTAGAGCAATAATTAATTACTATAAGAATCTAGTCTAAAGTATTCCGAGCTTAATGCAAAGTGAAGTCTCTGTGAGCTCATCTGTGCAGTTCTTATAAACATTTCGTTAAATCCATTTATGACAACTTGATTAATCTGCAATCAGACATGAGTCATCAAATAAAATACTTTTCTCTAATAGTACATCATTATTTTCTACAATCCAAATCATTCCACTTAAGATGTCACTACTTTTCTATTAACGTCTAGGCCCTTTCTTCGAAGGGCATCTTAAGAACTACAGCATTTCTACCTACATAAATCTTGTACCATAATTAGTCAATAGGCTACAATTAGTCATCCACAATTTCTAATATAGTAGTTAGCAATCATCTAATATTAGCTTCACGGTAATATCTATTCAAAGTAACCTAACTATATCAAATGTAGCTATTCGTAAAATCAAATACGGTGCATCACTACAAGGACAACGAGTATCGAGTAGATTGCTGCATTAGTATATTTTAATTATATAATTATCGTTGATTGCACTTTATTAAAATCATAGTAACTCCTAGCAATAAATACCCTACCTGCTGAAATAAAAAGAAAACACCTTTTTTTTTATGAGATCTTGTGCTAGCATATTATTTAGGACAGAATTGGCATCACAATTTGAATGTGGTTTATGTCTCAATCCAACCATGCCATCAAAACTGGCTGAAGTCAAGAAAAAACTTAGCTCCTCGGTCACTTCTATAAATGATTGGTTCTTTATTTCGATACCAGCAATCTGTTTAAACCAATAAAATTGGATTGCTGTTCTTAAATTGCAAAATGGTAGAGGCAAAAAGAACTTAACAGCAATTATGTACTAACATTGACAACATCTTCACTCATAAAACCATCAACAGAGCCTAAGCCATATTGCAAGAAGCATTTACCACCATCAGGAATATAGGTTATCGACTTGGAGTGATGGTATTTATTATGAGCCTCTAATAAACGATCATTGATGTTATGCTATAGAAATAGCAATCTAGAACTTAACTTTTTAATGTTATAGATAGCAAAGTGTTTAACTTACTACATTCTGCTCCACACAGTATTGAAGGTATCCACATTTCTGATGAGCCTGTACTAAACAAAACTGTAAACTCTTGCGGTGGTGTGCCAACCGATATTTTACCGTAGTAATAAGCCTAAAATGAATCGTAGGATGATAATTTGAAGAATGCAATAAAGATCTAATATTATTTTCATTAAATTGAAATTAAATAGGACCACGACCACTGATGATGGAAAGTTATTCCAATTCAAGAGATCAGTTTTATAAATAGATTTTTTTCACACTATTTACCAATTGAACTAAGACATAAATTGTGATGTAGTTTTAACAATGAGTCTAGCTAAAGTATATCCTTAAAACCAATAAACCTGAGACTTCATAGTTTTTTACGTTGCCTATCGACTTATCTACCCATTTAATGCACATCGAATTAGAATTTTAGATTAGGTAAGACGAAATCTTATGTAATATTATATTCAAATTTGCCACCAAATCTTACATCCTTGTAGTTCTTCAGTAATTCGACTCCATTTTTACCGTGAGCTCTTGTATATTTAGCTTCCAACATGTTTTGCGTAATACCGGCTTCCAATAACTTTTGACGGAGTGATACCATATTGTATAACTTGATCCTATATGTTGTGAAAAGAAACTGATTCAGAAAACTGCGATTATTTAGAATCATCTCGAAATACTATATTTGGGGAATAGAATACGACAACACAATTTCCATCTTTCGTGGTAATGCAAAAAATAATCTAAAGGCATTTATTATTCAATACTTAGAACCTTGTCGTAATAAATGGATCGAAGATGATAAGACTACTTATAAGTTAAATTAGTGTATGGCATATTTTATGATCGTCTTATGCCAGTCATGCATAGCTTTCATAATTGTGAAACATCAATCAATCCATGACCTACGAGTGCAGTATCAATAATTACCTAATTGTCTGATAGTAATTCTAGAATATACTGCATAAACTTCTCTAATTAATGTTGATGAAAATAGAAACGATTATATTCAATAAATCTTAAATCATGGTAAGACTACATAGTCTTGCTTCATATTAATCTATCCACAATCACCTACATAAAACCATGGGCTATATCAGACCGTGTGGCAATTCATTCTTTATTAGCCCGACAAAGATATCGTAATTAATAATGTTAAATTATTTAACGCGCTAGATGAAGAAGTATGCTTCTAAGCTAGGAAGGTAGTGAAATGGTAAAATAGGCTACTAGCTGCAAGCTGATGAACCTGTAATGAGTTAGAACACTTTTACCGTGGCTAATTATATAACAGGATTAAGATTTTACTTGCGAATTCCTATTGAATGATGAATATAATACTTATGTACTCATCTAGAAATGATAATAGCAATCCTAAAATTTTGACTATTATTGCCAAAACTGAAGGTTTTCTTTGCTATTCCCTGGAGTAATGAAGTAGATACGTATGATCCAAATTATAGTATTTAACCGCGGTACTAATTATAAACAGAATAACAATACACATACGTACTATAAACTATAGAGACCATTTCTTAATTCAAAAGTCTTAAAAAGCAATTACAGAAATGAATCTTTCGTTTAATAATGTTACTTACATTAATATAAACGTAACAACACATTGCATAGAGTATCGTAAGTAGCGATCATTAGTGTCAACAAGTTTTAGTGCATTGGAAAAAATTAAACTACCACTTCCGTAATACTTTTCATATTGTACGAAGATATTTAGTCATAAGTTTGCTTTGAAGTTTAATTCCTGTTCATTTGAACGAGTGGTCTGCTAGTAATTATAAAAACTGTATATAGCCGCTTAGTGATTTTGTAAAATGACAGATTTTTTAATATATGCGGTAACAAATATATGCAAAGCGCATCACTACAATAAATTGCTCATATCTACATACTTATTGAGGCAGCAAAATTCATTAAATGATAATTTTTCAACAAATCGACCACATGAAGCACACATGTATTTGCGTATGGTCGATATATTGGTAGACCAAGAGTTACTCTTAAATAGTACAGCAACAGTAGTTAGATCAAACAATATTTTCTTTGAATATTTCTTAGATAAAAATCTCTTCAATCGGTAAATTGTAGTATTACGAGCAAGAAATAGCATTGAATTATAAGAGTATAATTCTACTTTCTTATACCTGGCTAAAAGTACTAGCAGCTTTTACAACAGTAAAGCTCTATATATAGTTATTTGTTTATCCCTCTACGGTAGAAAATAAGTTAGACTTTACTTTTTACTCTATTATTGTCATTCAATATCGAGTAGTTTAGAGAAATGGATAAGCTAAATAAAGTCTATAACACGATACTGATGAATCTGGAGGTTATAGACTTGGGTATATCATCTTATCTATAAACGCGGGTGATAAGCAGTGCATAAATATGCATTAATTCAAATCCATATTGCCCTACCTTTGCAAAGCAGTTGCAAATGTTAAGAAAGCCACAAGAACAGCAAGTGGAGTTCGTATCTTGTACATTTTTTATCAGGCCACACGAAAGAAGCTTAGAAATTAAAAATTTCACACTCTATTAAGAACCCGCAACAGTACCTCCTAATAGTAATAGTACGTAGTATTTATATACTTCTCCGGTTATCAAAGATGACATAAGCATGATCTAAATATAGTATAATGAAAGACATGCGAACTCGTACGATCATAACTGGTTCTTAAATTATATACTCGATGTCATCAGATCCATTATTAATATTGAGGATTGGAATATTAATTCTGTTATGTATTCTTCAAATATTAATTAATCATTTTCAAATTGAATCAGCTAATTGTAAAATATCAGATAAATTAAGGAATTTCTTGATAAATGTGATTAATTGCGGCTCAATATTTCTAGGGAATATAGATAGATGGAATAGATAATATGTTACTGTCGTTTAATTATGATTATCAATAGCAAGATCAGAATAGAATTAGTTATAGAAATACATAAATACTATGTTTATTAATTTAAGCTATCTTTTGTTTTATGACCAGTTTTTTTACACCAGTAAGCACTCATTCTTCCTCGCATTATGGTTTGCACACTTCAATCATAGATAATAAATTCAAACATTAATTCATTTCTACCATTATCGAAGACCATACTATACATTATTTTGAGGACAACGCATTATCATTCTTATGCATTTATACGAATGGCTAAACTCTTATCATTCCTTCAACAACTGGGAAATTAACAAACTCGAATTTGAGTTCTACATTAATCATTGCTCACGCAATATTGATTGCTACAATAAAATAGCAAGAGCAATTTTATAAACTAATCTAGACTCAATGATATATTTTATCGCTTCTTAAATTAATTTTAAATAATCTATTGTAGACTTTAATTCATATTTACTTATTACTAAATATGATTTTATTGTTAAGAATTTATATCGTAATCAAATTTTGTATTACTATGTAAAATTTATCAACTCTTCAATGCCACTGGTAAAATTTCTATGATAAGTAGAACTTTCTGTTCTAGCCCTTTAATTAGCAGAAGTCTTTCGTGGTGATATTGATCTGATTAATGGTTTATTCCTTTGTCTTTGTCTTACTCTAAACTTTTCTGTAATTTTAAAATTTTAAGCGTAATATGGCAATTTAAGCAGTAAGATATTAAGCTAATTGCGTTAGCTGCAGAAAATTATCTTGGCTATAAAAAAGAAATGCTTTCTTGTTAAGATTTGAGCCATGCATAATTTTTGTACTTTACGCGGCTATATAAACTGATCGAATACCCTAAGATCTTGCAAAGACATTTCTCTACAACTTATGGTGTGGTTATCGCTTTTGAAACGCATTTTCTAAAGTCTAGAATATTTATATCATCAAAGTAAGCAATGACAATAATAGGATACTGTGATGATCGTTCCCTTTGAATCTTTATGATTTTGTTAGCAATTATCAAATATTATACGAGAATTGATAGTATATCCAAGTCATTAGTCCAAGTAAATTGTTCTTCAAGATTGCTAAGACTTTCTTTTCATAATATTTGTGCAATAATTATAATCGAAGATTTAACAAATAAACAATTACGGTAGAGAGATCTGCATGGTATTCTTATTTCACTAATAAAATATCTTTGTAATTTTACTTCAATTGTCTGGTGATTTTGCTATTAGGGAAAAATTAGTAATGAAAATGCGCTATTGATGTGCTAGGCCTTACTTTCATTATTACCAGTTATTTGCATTTGAAACGAGTTTATATAGAGTGAGTTATATCGTATTTATTTACTAAAGGTATTTTTACTTTTTACAATAGAGGCATTACCTTACAGTATCAATTTTAAGCGTTAGTATTCCCAATTTTCTTGGAAGTAGACTAAAAATGCGATGTGTAATCCTAGTTCTAGCCGTTACATTATCATGCACTACGGCTTTGCAAAGGTATTTAGATTCAACATATGAATAAACACAAATTTCTGTTGATTATAACGACTTTTATCGTAGAGATTATATTATAACTGATTCAACAACTACCTGTGGTGAATGCTAAACAGATTTTTGCTAAATTTTTAATTTATTAGTAGATATGCACTATTAGATTCTTTCTACTACTAATCTATACGTACTGTATGTCAAATGCATCTATCTCGCCTATATTATGCCACATCGCCACTTTAGGTTTAGAAGTGACGTAGATTTAGAGCTATTAAGCAATATCTTTATTTAGAGCCATGCAAGTATATCAAATGACTGTAATGTAACTTAGTATTGTGATTGTAGACTGTTAGCCATGTTTAGTATAATGTACGGTAGATATTTTTTATCCTAAGAGATATTTGGTAGCTATAACTATAGACTGTAGTGGTAGAGACTCTATGCTAGACTACAGATGACTAAATACAGTAAGGTGTTGAGTTACTAATAAGGCTATAGGTAAAAATAGAACTGTAAATCATATATTAGGATATGGTTAATTCATTGTACTTTGACTGGTGTGAATAATGTCTACGTAAGTACTGTAGTCGTATCCATATTGAATTAATGATGGTCCGCAGTAGAATAGTGTTACTAAGAATAATTTAACTATGTGGAATATAAGGTAAAAGGTTGCCATGCGGATTGTAGCTGCGAATGCTACGAAAAGTATAAAAGCATGCAACTTTAGATTATTCTGTTAGTTCGTTGTAGAAGTCTTTAGTAGTAGTATTCGGCTAGAGTAGAGCTGTGTGTAGTTAATCTTTGTATAAGATTCAATAAAGCCATTATCTTTTTAAAATTTGGAATCTCGTGATTGGTATAAATCACAATGACATAGCTGGTGATTAAAAATGTTCTTAGTAAAGAATAATATTATGGATTGTTAGGTAGCTATCTGCAGCCAGCGCTAAACTAGCATAGTGCTAATTTAATTTATTAATGGTCTTATTGAGATGGACTGTTATATTTTAGCGACTTAATGAAATATGTAGCATTGTAAATGTACAATATTGCCCTATTTGATACAAGAGAACTTATCATGACGAAGATATTAAACAAGCCTTTTAGATAATACCTGCAGAATGCAGAGTTATCACATAATTATTAAAAAGATATTATATTCTATGTTCTCCTCTTTAATCAAAAAACGTGAAAGATGTTATTATACAAACGTTTGCTGAATATAGTTCATCAAATCTGGTCTTTACAATTTATAGGTTCAAATTGTACAGGTTGAAAAGTGTCCGGCAAACTTTTTATGAGGCTGGTATTAATATGAGTAAGTTGGAGACCAAATGTTCAGGATCGTCGAGCAAGAAGAACGTGGAGAGGCTAAAAACTGACTTCGATGTGAGAAATTAAGATTACCTATGGAAGACTTGCCAAATTTATCGAATTAAGCTAATAACATTTTTGATCCGGTTGAATTACTCTATAATAATTCTAAGCTGTTATATTTGAATTTTAAAAACTTTCTATTTGGTTAAGTTATGGTAATTAGCCTGATAAAATACTGACGCAAATCTTTAGATAAGTTATTATGGAATTATTTCTATTGGTACACCACCGCAAGATTTTAAAGTCAATTTCGACACTGGATCCTCCGATTTATGGGTACCATCTTTACGTTGTAACGACAATTTAGCATGTAGTAAGTTAAGCACCGTTTTGCTAAAGGTTTCAATAACTTCAGAAATTATAAGGAATTTAATTTATTTTAAGTCAGTATTTTATGATTTTTACTTTAAATGGCGTGATGCTGTTGATTTGAATTAATCAAACTTAATCGATATTTCAGAAAGACATACTAAATATGATCATTCTAAATCAAGTACATATAAGCCGAATGGTCAATTTTGGGACATTACTTACCTTACAGGTAGCGTTGGCGGCATTAAAAGTGAAGATACTGTAGTTGTAAGTTATTATTTTCGTCCAAATTCTTTTTCAAATAGTTACTATAAAATTTGATTTATTAATTTGCACTAAGGTTGCTGGAATTAAAGTTAAAAATCAGACTTTTGGAGAAGCTGTTTCTGAAATTGGGCCATTTGCACGCTTAAAGTATGATGGAATCTTGGGATTAGGATTTAAAAGAATTTCAACTATCAGGACCAATCCTCTGTTTGTTAATATGATACAACAAGGAGTAGTAGAAAAGCCGATATTTTCTTTTAACCTCACCAACAATCGCGATAGCAGGTAATTTTTAATTTCTACTTAGACCATTATCGCTGTTATATGTTGCTAAAGCACAGTTACTAACACATTGGAATACTAATTGATGTCATCAAATTGGCCATAGTAGTTGTGATAGAAAGTTTCATGAATTAGTAGAAGTGGACTTATGTGCCATTTCAGAAAATTCTCAAAGAGTTTATTAGAAATAGGATACTTTGTCGTATATTATAGTTCGTGTATAACGTAATAGTTTTCGTAGAGCAAAAAGTAAGCTATCATGAAGTAAAGTTGGAAATAGTATCACCGCAATTATTACCTATTAATACTACAAAATATAAGAAAGAAATCGAGTATTTATAGCTTTGAAGCAGAATATACAAAGGGTAAGATTTTAGACTTAAGACACGATGCATGTAACACATACACTACTATTACGGCACTATATTGTCTACGATTATATAGTTAATGGAAATGCAAGATAACAGTGTTTGAATATTACGGAATACTGATTAAGAGTCTTCTAGAAAATTAGCTGTTAGGCGTTACAATAGTGGAATATGTTATAAATATTAAATCTCACGTTCAATTTGAACAATCATTATAATTGATGGAAATAGCTCAGTGTACTATACGGTTAAGGTTAGAGTGTAGACTGGTAAACTTGTTAGAAAGGTCCACGACAATGCTTCTATAGTCTATGATATAGTGAGAACTGTAGTACTATCAATAACTAAACTTCATAAACTATATTTGCATCTAGTGTGTTAAGACTGCAAAGAAAGTGTCTATTTCAGAAGATAGAATGCCTTTATTACACAATATGCTATAATTGTCTATGCATTTTGAATATGCTAATTCAAACTCCTTCAATTATGTTCTAGTTTTACTGGTAACATAGCGGAGGTCGAAGGCGAGTTAATCTTTGGCGGTTCTGATCCAAAATATTACATTGGTCAATTCCATTACATCCCAATTTCATTTGCTGGTCTTTGGCGGTTGAAAATGGAAGGGTAAATTATATTTCAATAAGTTTATCGATTCATCGCTTTCATTTTTAATTTTTGGCTGTAGTTTATTGATGTTCATACGATATTTTCACAGAGTTAAACTAGGATCGTACGTCAATTCTTGCCAAGACAGCTGCCAAGCAACTATTGATACTGGCTCATCACTAATTGTTGGGCCTTCAAATGACATTCAACAAATTCATAAAATTACTAATGCTGTAAAATTTGATGGAAAAGTATGAAACAGTTGTCATATAATTGATATCAAAAATTTATAATGTAGAAAATAAATATACTGTAGAATGATAGTGATGGCCTTTGCTTTCTTGTTTTGTTTCTCGAAAGTATTTTGTGGATTGCAGCACTGTTAGCTCGTTACCAATTCTAGCATTTACTTTTAATGGGGTCGATTATTCACTCACGGGGGAACAATACATTATAAGAGTTAGTAACACTTTCTTTTCATTAGATATTAAGTCTTCTTTTTGAAATTAACGTTAATACAATATCTTACGGTTCACATGATATTATATGTTTATAGTTATATCGTAAGGGATCGAGTGCCTGCTTTAGTGGATTTGGTTCCATAGTGGGTAACCAACATCATTGGATTCTTGGTAATCCTTTCCTTCGAGTTTACTACACTGAATTCGATATGGGTCAGAGACGCATTGGTTTTGCTAAGGCAGTTTCCAAGTAGACTTCGTAATGATCCCTAACATTAGCCAATATCGTATTATATTGTGTCGTCTAATTAGCTAGTAGTCATACTCGTACGCTAAAAAATAAAGTGCGACTGTAAGATCAGTTAAGGCAACAGATTTTACCTTTCTACACTTTCTAATTGCAATTTATCAAACTCTATCATATCATTCTATGAAGTATACTAAATATTAGTGAATTTGATTTCTTTATAATGTAGTTAATGATTAGAAGTCTATTTAGGAGTAATATACATTCTAATGTTTTCATAACTTTTATAACAGTGTAGTAATTTGGTAATTGCTATCGTTAAACCTTCTAGCTATTACATTTAAAATAGTAATTATTATTTTGTTATCGCCTTTGTATTGACGCTAATGTTAAACGTCTAATAAAAAACTTTTTAATTTGCTATGTATAAGCTACGTTACTATTAAACATGATTGAATAATTTAATACAATAAAGCATAACAGAGCACAACAACTGTATTATCTCGGTCGACAAATATACGATAGATAGAATTTAATTAATTCACAACTGAGAAAAGGTTTACAAGTCCAATTAACAGTACTGTACTTTTGTACAGCATACAGTACACGGATAACGGTAAAAAGTTACAGAACCTCTGACAGGTCTATCAAATGGTAATACTATCTGTTAAATGAGCACATTATCGTAAACCGTCAGCAAAGCGACGGGAGTTTGCACTAGTATCTCTTAAATTGATACTTAGTACTCTCCATCTTCTATGTTATGTAGATTAATCAATCGGCTAGCCTCCCTACAAGGTTGTTGTTTTACTATTAGAACTTTGAGATTGTTATGCTGCTACCGTAAACTATCAAAAGCTGCCATTCCAACTAAATTATTCAATGTAGGTATGAAATCATCAACTTGACTAAACACGAATACATGCACTAAAGTTAAATCCTCTAGTTGGTGACACATTCTACTAAAAAAATAAGACAAAAACAATAATTTGTTTTGTATATCTGCCAATAATCATGTTAACTTAATCCCTTTGTTTACGGAAATATCATGAAATACTACGTTTCGGTGCCAATAAATGCTCTATGTAGCAAGTAAAGTTAATTTAGAGGAGTACAGCGATAAATATGAAGCTCACTGAGCACAATAGGCAAATGTAGGGACTATCAGAGTCACGTTAAGTTACATTACTAAGTATATCCTTAAACACATGAGCTGGTTTTAAGCACTTTTATATGAGTCCAGATGGTGTGATATCAATTGCTGAGAAATTTACAGTTTGTGAAGTAGTGAAGGCAAGAAATTAATCCGAATTAATGTTCAAGATAATAATATTTACTTGTACTGTAACTATTCATACTATAGATATAGCATCAATAAATTGAAATTTATTCGGCGACTTTTATGGATCAATAAATAGCCCTAACATTTAAGAAATTAAAAGTATAGCTCGTTTAATGCAACCGTTTTGTAAAGATGGCATAAAATAATATCATTACGTTGTTGTTGCAATTCGCTGTAACTTGGGGCTAAAGTTACTTAATGCGGTGATAGCCACAAAGTTTGGTGTTATCGATTTTTAATGTAGTTATTGCATTGAAGTATTTCGATAGCGGAATTAATTCCATCCGTAACCTGTATAAGAAAAAACAACTGCAATTTCCAAATTGACCTTCAAAGCACCAATTGAAGGGATATTATAAATGTGCCGAAGCATTCTCAAAAGTAACGAAAAATGAACAATAATTTCTTGTAATCTTTACTTTATTACATACATTCGGTTCGCCTTACAAACACCTGATACTATCTAGTTGCAATCAGACTATTGCGGTTATTACAATAAATTTTACTGAATTACTTACAAAATGATTTTTCTGAAAACAATCATTTCTTTCGATAGCGTTTTTGATAACTTCCTAAGCAATCTTGAGCGAAGCCAGAAGATCGAAGCATATTCTTTCGAGTCAGATTGTCCCAAAAATAGCAGGATCTTTACTCGTAATAATTACCTGTAAGGTCAATTGGACTTTTCATCTCTGTATTATTATGTATGATTTACATATTCGCCAGTTATACCTATTTAGATTGTTTCTAAAACGATATACTCAGTAACTAAATGTGTACGAACACGACGGTACTCTACCTGAATGGCATCATCAAGTTTTTATGTTTGCCTAAAGCAATTGTTCTAGAACTTTAAATGTACCAATAATTACTATAATTTGATAGAAACTATTATTACTGCAATTTAAGTTTTAAAAGCATCATTAAATTGGTATTAACAAACACTGTACGATATGATAAATGAATCTTATTGGAGAGAATAGTATGCGAAGCTTTAAACTGTTACAGTATTGGTTTATCACTCCAATAATGTAAGATTAGACTAGCTTTTAACTGTTTCACTTAATCACTTTGCTTACGTTGGTATTACAAATATCGTAGAAGAACATTGCAATATGTTTAATGTTGGATGTAACTGTAGTTCAGGAATATTGCATCGGTCAAAAACTCAAATCTATTGTATATCCTGTTTTCTTTTCGATTTTTGATACAGATTCGATCAGTAAAAAGATACAGATTTAGTTGCCATTTCTATTATACGTTAAAATTAGCCTCTTTATGAAAAAATGTATGCTTTATTGCTGTAGGTAAATTATGTAAATTTAGAATGATTATTTTACAGTACGTCCATACATAAGCTGTTGTAAAGGACAATGGCTAAGTAAATGGTAGAAATAACTGTTATAACTGCAAAAATAATAATTTAGGCTTGAAGTTATCAAGGTAAAACGATATTTAAAATTTAAAGTTCTTTATGGCACAAAGAAACCATTAGCAGGTATTGCTAGGAGTAGATTTTACGCTGAGCTACGACAAATTAGATCAGCATAAAGATGTTAATTAACGCAATTTTCACAAAATGACGGCATTATATGCAATACTTTTGATTTCTTAAATATTACAGCAACTTGTTAATCTTTACAAATCACCGAATAGATTTCGATTTACTTAGGCTATGTCCGTAATATGGAAAGTCACGGTACTGGTCAATGTTTTTAACCTAACTTAGTTTAGATTAATTTCTTGTCTTCACAATTTCACAGACTGTAAATCTCTTAGCAATTCATTTAACAGTCCGTACTTGTATACGTGAGATTTACATGTGCAGAAATTACAATATTTTAAGATTTTTCATTACTCTTCAATACCTTTATATGAGATTAAGGCTACAAAGTAGAATAAAGTTTAGGTTATGGATGTGCTATTTATCTTAAATCATCCCTTCGATATTAGCTTCTACAACAAGTTAAAAGGCATGAAATCGCTTATGTCCGCTATATTCCTAAATCTTCAGTAAATTGGTTAGAAACTTTATCATTAACCTATTTGCTACCGCTTATAAGGTTCATGAAACTTGAAAATTTAACTTAATCTATTTTCTATGCTGACGTTACTTTAATGTTTTATTTTCACTGAATAACTAAGATGACACAATTAGCCCATGCTGCTACACATTATCGCTAAGTCAAAAAATCCATATTTTATATTCCTCAATTTGATTATTTTGGGATGTAATATAGTTGCTGCTTATTAATTTGGAATTGATTAATTTAAAATTAGTTTCAAGGTCAAAAATTTTGCTGAATGTGCGAGCAGGTAATACTATTTCAAACACTTGAATTCTTCGAACTTACGCTTCATTCTTTTTCCTAAAGTATCTAATGAACGTGCAGATGAATTTTCTAATGCGTCGCAAACTACTAAAAAATCGTAATCGTCACGAGATAAAAGGATTTCCATTAAAGCTACAGATCGATCAGCTGTATTTTGCTTCCCATTTATATTCTCAATTTCTGCCGGTGTTAAGACACGCTCGCGTCGTAAAATTTGCTTGATTTCGTCATATGGATTTTTTCTCTCAAATTCTTCACGACAACATTCTAGTGCTTTCCGGGTTGCGCTGCTTAATGAGGGCGGACTTTTTGGATCTTTATCGAGAAGTATTACAGAAGACCGGTAAGATTAATGTTATACGTGCCCTATGAGAATTTAGCTAGTAACTTTAGCTTGCAGCTCAACTACAAAAATGTAACTATTGCAAATCATAATTTTTTAAGACTTGGAGAAAGAAGGTGACAGTACCAGCTAGTTCGCTCAAAAAAGCGTGAATAAACGTCATTATACACTGATAAAATAATTCCTTATAACAACTACCATAACGATCTAAAACAAAAACACAAAGCTCTTATCTTGATTTAGTCTATAACTATCGCAGTCACTAATCTAAAACTATCACATATAGAATTATGAAAATAAAGGCAATGTACTATCTAAACTGAAAAATTAATATCGTAAAGTTCTGAATGAATCTCAATAAGATGCATACTTAATTTCCGTTGTAATTCATCATATTAGACATGGAATAATAACAGAAATTAAACTCATTTTTCTAGCACTAAAACGCATCCTAACTTTTACGGACTGCGATCAAAACGTTTACGGTAACTTCACTAACCATTCAAGGAATTTGATTGTCCACGAGCCACCTTGGAATCCTCTGATAAAAGAGGAGACTGATTTCGCTTCCTTTTAGTACTACAGAATGATGATGCTGATTCTAAATTTTCGCCACTATTTTTTTCCAAAGAGCTATCAGGGATAGATTCGTAGTCAGACTGATTTTCGTCTTCTCCTGTAATTCAAGTACATTTAGACATTATTATATTAATATTATCCCCTTAATTATTAAATAAAATTAAAGACGAAAGAATAGTTGAAACGGACATAAGTCTTTAAAAGCAAATAATAAATAGTTTTTGTTATGGAGTTAGACTCATACGAATATACGAGACTATCTGACTTTCACTTTCATATATTGGCTATCTAGCAATTGGGCGTTGATTATATTTCATTTTGCATCACAGTAATCTACCTGTAATACTTCTGTAAATTATTAAAAGCTAATTCTTATCATGTAGAGTATCGACAATAATCTCACCTTCACATGATATCGATTTGTCATCAAAATCATTCGCTTCGTTTGGTAGGGCTACTTCTATAATGTTTTCAGTAAATATTTAATGCATAAATGAAATAGTCAGCTATCATTTTAATGACATACGGAGTATTAGGTAATCGTGCTTTTATAAAGAAAAAAGTTAAGAGATTGAAAAATGTACTAGAAAATAGCTAGAAATTTTTTTCAATTTTGTCAAAACTAAAGTAACTCTTTGACATTCGCATATATGTAAATTTGCAATAACTGGTGAGAGTTGTTGCGTATAAGTAAAATGAAAATAATTGTAACTGATGAGAGTTATGATATACGAGTAAATTTATAAAACTCATAACTGATGACAGTTATCATGTATGAGTAAATCTGCAACAATCATATCAGATGAGATTTATGATACTATCTCATAATACTCTATATCTGATTGCATGATATCAAGAAATAAGCAATATTAATTTCATTATTTCCAACAATTAATTACTGCTGAAAGACTGTGGGTATGTAACTCGAATTCTAAGCTCAAAATAGTACCTGGTTTGCATTCGTATAATTTCCAGTCTTTTATCACGTTCGCCGAGAAAAACAAACCGCATGTCGAACATTTAATCATACCATTTTTTATTAGCTTCGGAATGAGAATTAGTCTTTCGCATTCTTGACATTCAATATAAAAATGACACTGAATGTCCTCCCGAGATAAAGTTTGACTTTTGACTACTTTAAGTAATTCATTTTTGAACTTAATATGGGGCTGATCATTCGCTATTGAATCTGTTGCTCTTTTTTTAATTAGTTCGTTTACTTCGTCATTATTATTGACAACCTGATAAGAGTATTGCAAACAAATATGCGTACAACTTTTTTTTATTCTTACGATGTAATTATTATGACTTGGGAAGTATTCGGCACATTGCCTATATAATTTGACTATCCAGCCTTCTTGACTTGATGATAGAAAGTTATAAAAGATCTTACCGGTGATATAAGAAAATTTTTCCGGGTTAAAGCCTAAATAGAGACAGCTAGAATGATAGAATGTACTTAAATTACGGTTTAATTTCGTTTCGCATGGCGTCAATGAATATGGAAAGAAGTAATCCATTTGTGTATTAAGATTGTCTTGCATCGTCTCCGACTTTCCTAGAAATCGATAGATGAGGCCATAATATTCCATAATTAGCACGATTTTTTCTACATCAGTGTCATCTAAGCAATATCCATTTAATATTGCTTTGATTCCATTCTTTGGTACTACGCCTGTCTTTTTAGCGTGTTCGTAGTATTTTCTTTTTCTACCAGACATCGGAAGCTTGCTACTTTCATCTCCAATTTTAAAAACCTCATTTATGATCGTAATGAGCCACAAAATGTTAATAACTAAGATGTCAACTTTTTCACCTGCTTGATAAAGCAGAACATCACCAATGTCCTGTAAATATTCGAATATATTTAAAACCGATATTTCTCCGTCTTCAGTATCGATAGAATCTTGTATTTCTTTCAACGCTATCATTTGTTTACCTCTCCTTTTTATCGCATTTAATGTCTCATCTCTATCATCTATTGAATTTGGCATATGAAGCTTTGTAGCTATGCCAGAGTCGATCCATTCAATAAATGTACTTCCTTTCAATTTTATGGAAGGTACAGCCTTGGCAATGTTACAAATTAGTTTTTGGAAGTCTCTACAACTCTGACTTTCTCGTATTTTATAACTTTTACCATCTTTATCTAGTTCATAATCAATTATAATCTTAGGAGTGCAAAAATTTTCTGAACATGAAGGTACTTTGGCAATTAGCGCTGCCATTAAAGAATCAAATCGTGAAAATGACTCTTCTTCGCTCAAGTTAGAGTCATAATTGATAGGAATTAATATAACTAACGGCGAGCAGAATTCTTCAGGAACTCCATTGATATCGACGATAAAGCGCTCCCTTTGACCGGTTAGATTAATAGTATTAATTATCCACTCGCACAATACGGCGACATCTTCATGGTGGCTATCATCTTGCTTATATAGTGAATTTTTCAAATGCTTTAGCATTAACATCAAATGTAGATATATAAATATGAGACTGAAAATTGTAAAGCTGATAATGTCCTGGATTGTTACAATTCCAAATTTTTGCGTAAAATTTATCGCTGCAAGCATTATTTAGCCCATTAGAATACGAATTTCTGTCCTTTATAGATTGCTGAAGGAAAGTATGACAATTAGGACTAGATAACATACGATGCTGATACTGTTCGTTATCTACATTTTCTATATTCTTTTGAAGATTTCTTGTGGTTGATGGGATATTACTATTAGAGAATGATAAAGATCTGATCATATTGCTCATAGATTTATTTCGACTAATTATTTCATCGATATCGATAACGGTGGATATAGGAATCATGCATCGATCATGATGTTGCTTAGTTAATAGTTCGAAAATGGCTGATTTACCAACACCATTACTTCCAATTAATATTGTGTTAATAAAATGAAAACTGCACTCTGTGCTAAAGGCCCCATTTTCACTAGAGTGTGGAACTTCTTGTATCTGTAGGTCTAATTACAAATTATGAAATTTTAATATGAATGAATAAACACAAAGAAGACTCCAAGTACTGACGTAGCTATAATTTAATGCCTCTGTGATGTAATTAAGAGTAAATTGTTGAGTTATTATTTAATCTACATAAAAGTCAAATTCACTCTGTATGCGGTTTCATAGCAAGAAGTTTAAAGTTAAAACAAGTTGATCCAAATCATATAAATTAAGGATCTAAAACGCCGTTATTACTAATTACGAGTACAATATTAATGAAGGTTGAGAACTTACTGCATGTCAAACCTTTGCAAAATGAAACATTTACACCAGCAAAATTAAATATTTCAAGTTATAACTAAAAATTGTGACTCTTCAGCTGACATCACAACAAGCGTTATTTCTTAAATTAGATATTAATCTATCAGAGGCCAGAATTTTTCAAATAGTGATCCACTTCTCCATATTACTTTTATGGGCAATGTTAATACGTACCGTAGCTATCAAATAAATTACGTTATATTTCCTGCGCTAAAAATATGATACTAAAGTGTAGAGATAACTCTAACACAGGCAAAGCACAGACTCGGCGATATACGACTCGTATGTAATTAAATGCTCATAAGGCTAATGAGACCTTGAAATCGTAGTATATCCTGGAGAACTCTAACAATAATCATCATTGCTGCTGAATGTCTCCTGGTCTTTCTCTCTCACCCAGTTACAGTGTATTATTTTTACCTTTTACAAAGAATTTTTTAACAAAGTAACGTACCTGAAATGGTTTCTATCGATGAAGAACGGTTAAAGCTGACTTGATCGTTTTCTTGGCCGGCTAATTCTACTACATCAGTATCTACAAATTGATTTTACTTTAAAGTTAACTTTAAATTTGCTATTGATTGATACGTCAAAAAAGGCTCACAGCATTGAAAATATTTTGAAATCATAAAATTTAGTATAAACGTTATTAATAAGCTAGGATAGCTGCTGCCGAAGAATAGCACCTACCAATGGATGATGAACGAATGCTTTTTCCGTCTAGAATATTTTCCTCTTGAGTTTTAATTATATTAATTGAGAATACATCAGAAATATTATGAAAATCGTAATATTTCCACATTCCTTAAGTAATTTGCTGTACATTAGTAATAAAACCAGCTATTTCTACCATTCTTTCACATTTACGAAATAATATCTTCCTACAGGGCTGTTCCTTATTCTATACTAGTACTAGTATTAGTATTACCACCACTAGCTACAATATAAGCGATAAGCACACACATATCGGTACTAACTATATCATGATAATTAGAACATTCAGAATTACAACATGCTCCAAATTTTAATTTAGCTGCATGTTCATACGTATATACTAGCCTTGGTCATCAAACTGTCATCAAAGTTCATTCATTAATAATTTGGATCAATTTTACAATTTTTACTACATGTTTTTTCGAAACTTACCTGCAATCACTGTATTTGTTAAAGGTCTTTCATTTGTTGATTTTTTACCCTTTACTATGAATTTGACAGTTAAAAAACGAATATTAATAAATTTTTACCTACATAGCATTACCCTTATTGACTGCTAACATATATTTGGTTGACGTATGATGTACATTACTAGATTGATCACCTCTTGTGGTAGTTGCTTGGGTTAATATACAATCTAAAAATTAAAAAAAATATTTGAATTCTTACGTAGTAATTTATAATAACTTATTATCGAGTGCAGGTTACAGATTCATACTCGCCATTTTGTGGGGTCATGATACTTAGCATAACCGCTTCAACTGATTTCGTAAAATATTGTAACTATTATTTAGACTACTTGCAACAAATATGAACGACTTACCATGAGATAAATTTAAACTTTCATCGTCATTAAAGTCAAACCCTTGAGCATTATTAACAAGATAAATTTAAAATCAGTCCTGAGCTGTCTCCTATAATCATGAGTTCAAGCTATAACTTTAGACTTTTGTAGATCTTAAATAATGTACTGTGGCTTAGAGATTCACGGACTATAAGCTCATGTGTGTACGTCGTAGCTACCGTGGCTATTTCGATAGCCAGTTAATTTCAATAGGGTAGTTCATCTAAAAAATAGTAGCCATATTTACTACAAGTTCATTTTCCGCCGTATTATTGATAATTAACTTATTAATCCAAGAAATTACGAAACGGTACTTAATATTAACAAGTAACCGTAAAAAATTGACTATTGATCCATGCTTCTTGTAATTTATCAGATATAGATTGTGTAAATTGCAAAACTTCACCCTGAGCTACAAAAAGATGTATCAGGTAATATAGTACATAGGGTATTAAGACTTGCAACTATAAAATGATTATGTTATAGATAGATATACATTCATAGAATACGAGTACCGGGATAATGCTTTGATAAATCGGCGGCCTCGCTATTAGGGTTACTATTTATATCTTGTTTCTTCCGTATTGAGATAACAGTTTTAGAAGTTGCCTTGTTATTGCTGGACTTAATTCTCTCATTTCTTTGAATATTTGTATCGTTTTTACGTTTCTTTTTTGAATCTCTGCTGATTGGCGTTGAAGTATCTACGAGTAAAATATATTCACTTTCAAATTAATTTATCCAATTTTAAATTGTGCATGTATTTAGCATTTTGTTAAGGCACTACTGTTAATTAACTGAACTTGTATATCTAGTATTTAACGTTAAAAGTTATTAGGCTGATTTACATTTTTACATGGATATACATAATTTACATTTATGGTATACATTCATGAAAAATATTCGTTGAATGAGCTTACCGGAATACAATTCTGATGCATCAGCATGGCTTTTATAATTATTGAACTTGAGTCTTTTATTTCTCTGAATTTTTGTGTCTTTTTGGGATTTCCTTTTTGAACCTCTGCTGGTATGTTCTGAAGTATCTACAACACGTAAACGAATAGGCAAACTTTTTTAATCATATTCATTGTAATTACTTTTTACAATGAACAATTTAATCATAATTAAGTATTTTTTTTACATTAAGCACGATTTTAAGTAAATGTGATAGCTAATCATAATATTAATCGCTTTAAATTTATGTTAATTATCAGCAATTTATCTAGCCTAAATTAAATACTTGCATGTATTGTAGTGCTAAAGTTCAGTGCTGCTAATCAACTGAAGTTATAAAATCTAGTGTTTGATAATTGCTATAAGTCACTACGTTGATTTATTTAATGCAACTATGTAGTACCTGATCGATATCGTGTGTTATCAACCAGGATGCCAACATCTCTATTTTCATCATCAATCGTATTACTGTTGGAAATTTTATCCTTGATATCAGTTAGCCCATCAATTTTTTTCTTCAACCATTGAAAATCTTCTGTATTATGTTCGTCAGAGTTCTTTTGGTTCTGGGAAGGGTTTTTGTTACTATTTAATGAATTTGAATCGTCTGAGAGTATTTTATATATGTTACGAAGTTTACAACTAATCACATCCAATTCTTGCAATAACTTGCGTTTTTTAAAGCATGTTAAGGGAGCTCTATCTAAAGTCGAGTTCTTAACAAAGCAGTCCATATATTTTTCCCACCATATTTCACTAAAATATGATTTCACAAAATCGATATTTTCCTTAGCACAGATTTTTTCCCGAAATATTAAACTGTTCTTATACTTTTTTTTGGAGGCTATTAATTCTTTTCTAAGCTGCGTTGTTTCTGCAATGCCATCCTTAGCATCGGCTATCAATAGACGCCGTGGTCCCGATATTTCGTCTTGAATATTTAAACATTGTTTAAAGTTATCCATGGCAAGTTTAAACTTCTCTTTTTCTAAATTTGCTTTTCCGATCTTGTAATAAGCTTTACATAATTCAAATTTATCACCATTTTTACGCTTGGCAAATTTAACAGCTAAATGATAATAACGTCCTGACGCCCTAAAACGATCATATTTGCCTTCTTTGTCTTTTCCAACCTTAGGTTTGACTATTCGGTAGCAAATGTCACCTAACATGTTATTAATTCTGGCTATATATCCGTGATCTTCGCATTTTGTTTTTTTCTTGATTTTTTGTAAAATAATATATTGCTTTTTGGCATCGTCTAATTGATCAGAAGCAAAGAAAGCATAGCCCAAAGATTCTCTTGAGTTCACAATATGCCAACTGTTTTTCTTAAAAGCTCTCTCTTTAATTTTGTGAGACTTTTTCAAGCTCTTTGTGGCTAAACGAAAACTCCCCTGCAAAGATAAAATATAACCAATAGTATCGTAAAGCAAAGCCATTTCGACGGACTTTTTCACTTTCGTTGATAAAGAATTTTCCAGTTTATTGACTAGGGACTCTAAATAACTTCCATTTTGAAGTTGTTGAAGATCAAACGTGTTTAGAGGGGAGGAATTTTGAGTAATTTCCGTCAAGCTATTTTGCATGTTTCCTATTTGTTGATTTAACGACTCCAAATAAGCAGATAGAGCATCTTCATATTTAAATTGCAATGTATAAACGTTAGCAATGCCATTCTTAAGGAGAGTTAATAAATTATGTGGCTGGTCACAATCTAAATGTTCAATCGCATCTTTAAATTCTCTTATAGCTTCATTATGCTGTTCCTTTTTTAAGAAAACATTACCCATTATATAAGAGGATTCAGCACGTAGAGACCGCGAAAGATTGGTATTTGGAGGCAATATATCTCTCAAATCTTTGAAAAGGTTTATGACTTCATGAAGTTTATGCAGCTGAAATTTAGACTTCATTAAACCAATTAGACTTCTGTATGTAAGAGTCATGAATTTGTCAATATTCCTAACTTCCAATCTACCCTTGATACACTCGCCTACATCATCATAATTCTTTATGGCATGATCATAGCTTCCATTGTCATAGAATTTGTCTCCTTCGTCAAGTTTTTTTATCAATTCTTCGTGTAGTAAATTATCCGCCATTTTGGCTGTTTTATCTTGCATAAATTAAAACAATTTCTTAATTTAGCAAGAAGAATATGCGATAGTACTGTATGTATGATAGGATTCCTTACCAAACATACTAAATCATTCAATCATAATTTAGTCCTAGCACCCCCCCCCCTTTCAATTTGGCTGTATACGCTAAGAGCAATGTAGACATACTCGCTACAGGATAACGGAAATCAATTTTTTCCTTTAACTATAAGCATGCTTCCCGCCTTTTATTTATTTAATTAATTAATAACGGAAGAGCCCACAACAGCACAATCTACGCGTGCGTCACCCTTTTGTGTTAAGGTTTGGATCGAAATTGAACTTTGTATTGTAGCAATGTAATTTTCTAACTCAATTTTAACTCTCAATTCACTTTTTTAATGATTTTGATTGCAATATTTCAATTCTAATTCATCTAAGGCATCGATTGATAGCGAATTGATATCTCATCAAGTTGAAAAGTTAGGTTTTGATATCTTATTTTCAAATGCCAGGAAATACAGTACTGTACTTTCAGTATTCACATTACAGTGGAATACTGTATACCGTACGCTACAATATACTGTACTGTACTGTACTGTACTCAGTGTACAGTACTGTACTGTATATCGTCAAACAAGAAACCTTGTCAGATGGACGGACGTTTCTTACCAACTGAGGCCATCTAGAGCGATAAATGTCTACTTACAAAGTTGCAGTAGTATGGATATTCTGTGCCTGTCCTTTAAATCACGGCACTAATTGAAATCACATCGAATAATCTTATATAACTGTTTCCAAGCGGAAATTGGTGACGAATAATGAGATTCAACGTAGTATTACTTAATTTAGTAAAAAATTAGTCAATTTAAAATCGACAGTGCATAACCAAAGAACTTTCATAACGAAATTGTTCAGTCGGGTGTTCTTCTAGTAGTCCATGACTATATATACTATAAAATGGCATGGATTACTAGATACTATACCTACAGTGGTGGTCTTTGACCGAGGTTAGTTCTAGTGCATGGTAGATCACTTTATTAAATATGCATGCGAAAATAATATGGCGGCGTATTTACTTCTTTAGTATAGCGTTTATAGATTTTCATGGAATAAGTTGTTAATATCAAGACTTTCGCACGTCTAAAGGCGATGATGACCTTATAAATTTACTGCTTGCGCTAAGTAATTCTTTTTGTCCGATATACCGTATGACATACAATTTTACACGTTTTAGAGAAGCTACTCGTTTGAATTCGATAGACGACGGCCAGAACGATTTATGTTAAATTATATTTGATTATTCTGCTCGCGTACATGCAAGTGTAAAAAAACAAGTGTAATTTGCAATAGAGGACGCAGCAATAGTTCTTATGCAATCAAAAAATCACTGGATGTTACTTAGTGACATGTGAGGACTAAAAATATAATTTCTAGATGTCAGAGAGGTTTATTCGCTACTTTTTATCTAGCATTATAAGAATACAGTATGTGTCGAATCAAATGCATCATTTGCTAACATCGTACCTCATAAATAGCTAGTTATATTTAACAACTCTAACTGAATCACCAAACTGTACAACTTCATAAAATAATTGGTCATGCCATCCATCACTTCAGTACTAAATCCTAAGGTGCTATAGAGTAAGCAATAATTAAAACATTTCCACTAATTGCACTAATTCAGATCGATTCTACCTTATTATTCACTTTGGTTAACAAAAATTTATCTGATTATTTATGTCACTATTAAGATGATATCCAGTAATATCATATTAACCGAATATTTAAAAGAATGTGTACATTAAGTATGTGAGACATGTATAATTGCACCGTATGTGCCGAAAACAAAGATCAAGTAACATTATTAAATCCATACTCGGATATGGTGGTATTGCGATCTAAATTTGTTACGTGAGAAAAAATTACTACGGCAAACTAACACTACAACTTTACCATCAGGCTTGTCTTTCCCGACATCTACGTATATTATGATTCTAAATGACGACGATAGCTGATTTTTAGGAGGCACAGTAGCGCCTTTATTCTCTTTAGGCAAAACGGAATCGAACTTTATCGATAAAACAGTCAATTTTAAGTTCAATTTCATCAATTTACGTATCTATGCACTTATCTATTAAAAACACGCAAGACGTCATAGATAAATTAATGCCAACATAATCCTAGATGAGCAACCTTATCGAAAATATATTACAGAAGCCATGATCAAGTTACTTCGTAACAGGTTATCGAGTTCACTTTACGCATCCATTTAATTATAAGTTATTTTCCTCCGTAATCAAGAAAAAAAACAGACTATGGCTGCAATTATTACACAAATCCAAAGTTATTAACTTCATCATGGCATCATTCAAGTAACGTAGATGAAATTTTCTGCTACGTAACTTATGTAGATGAATTCTAAGAGCTAACCTTCATTAAGCTACATAGGTACTGTTGTGTATTACTATCTAGAGTTAATACTAACAACCGTATTGAATGTTCGTACTACTCTCAATAAGCATCGAAGACAAGAGGTTGTACAGTGTACATGTAGTTGAAGTTATTGTAAAATTAACAACTAACTCCTATTCTCTCTTTATTGTACTGAAAAGCGACGACTTATATACCTACGCCGTTCACACTTACAAGGCATTATAATTACAGGTTTGAATAAGCAGGTAATATTATTTCAACACTTGAATTCTTCGAACTTACGTTTCATTCTTTTTCCTAAAGTGTTTAATGAACGTGCAGGGGATATTTCTAATGCGTCACAAACTACTAAAAAATCGTAATCGTCACGAGTTAAAAGGATTTCCATTAAAGCTACAGATCGATCAGCTGGATTTTGCATTCCATTTATATTCTCAATTTTTGCCGATGTTAAGACACTCTCGCGTCGTAAAATTTGCTTGATTTCGTCATATGGATTTTTTCTCTCAAAATCTTTACGACAATACTCTAGTGCAAGCCGAGTTGCGCCGCAAAAAGAGTGTGGACTATAAGGATTTTCATCTAGAAATATTACAGTAGACTAGTAAGATGAATTTTATACATGCCTTGTGAGAATTTAGCTAGTAACTTTAGCTATCAGCTCAACTATAAAAATGTAACTATTGCTAATCGTAATTTTTTAAGACTTGGAGAAAGAGAATGACCGCACCAGCTAGTTTGCTTATAAAGGTGTGAATAAATGTCTTACGTCATTATATACTGTGTCACAAATCCCACTTGTGATTTGGTTAGGTCAGGTGCTATAGTAATTGTGTATGTCTTCCACTAACTTGGAAGTCTTCTTCTCAGGGAAAACTAACTCTTTCCTCACAGTCACACAACTACTCAGGTTTCTTTCAGACCACTAGCACTTTTTATTCACCAGTCATTTGGTTCCTAGTCTCTACTAGTTCGTCCTAGCCCGGAGCGACTACTGCCGGCAGATGGCAATTCGCTCGGCCTTTTATACAATCCCCACTCGTTTGTGGGGCATACTAGTAAATTGCTCCTTCCACAAATTGTATAAGTTACTATAGGGAATTATTCCCAGACAATTAACATGACTTAGTAGGAGCTTGGATAGTAAACAACACTAATGAAAAACAGCCAATTAGCGAGCCTGAGCTCAGCACCAATACAAGTAATTAATTATTGGAGCAGTTATAACAACTACCATAACGATCGAAAAGAAAAAAAAGCTCTGATCTTGATTTAGTCTATAACAATCGCTGTAACTAATCTATAACTATCACATATAGAATTATTGAAATAAAGGCAATGTACTATCTAAACTAAAAAATTAATGTCGTAAAGTTCTGGACTGATATCAATAAGATGCATATTTAATTTCCGTTGTAATTCAGAATATTGGATATGGAATAACAACAGAAATTAAACTCATTTTTTTAGCACTAAAACGTATCCTAGCTTTTACGGACTGCGATCAAAACGTTTGTAGCAACTGCACTAACCATTCGTGGAATCTAATCGTTCAAGAGATGGCTTGGAATCCTTTAGAAATCTCCAACAATCCTCCCTTAAAGCCTCAGATCGATAAGTTGTATTTTGTTTTCCATTTATATTCTCAGCTTCTGCCGGAATTAAGACAAACTCGCGTCGCAAAGTTTGCCTTGTTTCGTCATATGAATTTTTTCTTTCAAATTCTGCACGACAATACTCTAATGCAAGAGGTGTTACGTTGCTTATAAGAGGGTGGGCTATCTCAATTTTCATCTAGAAATATTACAGTAGACGGATAAGATATATCTTATACATGCCCTATGAGAATTTAGCTTGCAATTTTAGCTATCAGCTTCATCTACAAAAATGTGACTATTGCAAATCATAATTCTTTAAGACTTGTAGAAAGAGAATGACAGTACCAGCTAGTTCGCTCAAAAAAAAGTATAAACAAATGTCTTACGTTAATATACACCGATAAAATACTTCTTTATAACAACTACCATAACGATCGAAAAAAAAAACACAAAGCGGTAATCTTGACTTAGTCTATAACAATCGCTGTAAAATATGTAGGACCACCACATATAAAATTATGGAAATGAAGGCAATGTACTATCTAAATTGAAAAATTAAAGTCGTAAATTTCGCTATTTATATCAATAAGATGCTTTTTTAATTTCTGTTGTAATTCATAATGTTGGACATGGAATAACAACAGAAATTAAACTCATTTTTTTAGCACTAAAACGTATCCTAACTATTATGGGCCGCGATCAAAACGTTTGTGGTAACTGTACTAACCATTCGTGGAGTCTAATCGTCCACGAGCTGCCTTGGAATCCTCTGATGAAGAATCAAGCTGATTTCGCTTCCTTTTAGTACCACAAAATGGTGATGTTGATTTTAAATTTTCGCCGCTATTTTGCTGTAAAGAGCTGTCAGCGATGGAATCGTAATCAGACTGATTTTCGTCTTCTCCTGTAATACAGGTTCATTTAGATATTATTATATTATCATTATCCCCGTAATTATTAAATAAAATTAAAGACGAAAGAATAGTTGAAACGAACATACGTCTATGAAAGCAAACAATAAATAGTATTTGTTACGGAGTTAGACTCATACGAATATAGAATATATGACTTTCACTTTCATATATTTGGCTCTCTAGCAATTAGGCGTTTATTATGATGTATTCAGTAAATATTTAATTCATAAATGAATTAGATATTATTTTAATGATCTATGGAGTATTAGATAATGATACTTTATAAAGAAAAGGTTGAGAGATTGAAACATGTAGTAGAAAATAGCTAGAAATTTCTTCCGATTTTTATCCAAACAAAAATAACTCTTTGTTGAATGAAATTACCGATTCATATCAAATTGCGACCAATTATTAGAAAGCGTTTAATTACAGTTATGACATACGCGTATGTGTAAATTTGTAATAATTGGTGAGAGTTGTGACGTATAAGTGAACTTGCAAATAATTGTAACTGTAGTGCAGCCCCAAATGTAACTTAGATACTATTATAAGACTGTACGAGAATAACTTAACTTGTAAGCTAGAGTGTAAGATTGTGTAATAGTCTATTTGTAGAAGATGTTTACAGTATGTATTGTAGCGAATCTATTAAGATGTTTATATAAAGATCTGAGATATAAATAGATTTGCGCTAAGTATGTTAGTACTGTAAGTATTGTATTGTAATGCTTAAAATAGACGCGCGAATTATGAATAGATTGCGCGATAGTAAATTTAGATCTAATCTTGCGACTTAATGGGCAAGATAAGATTTGTTACAGTAAAAGCATTCTGCAACTAATCGTATATAAATCGTGAATTTTGCTGTAATAAGTAGATTGTCAGATAGTCAGATAGTCCTTGGTACTTAGACGAACCTAACTTCTGTAATAAAGTGAAATTTGCAAGAAACTGTAGTTCTTGATTTATTGTTTTGAAGATCACTTTATCACAGTAACTGATGAGAGTTATGATATACGAGTAAATTTATAAAACTCATAACTGATGAAAGTTATCATGTATGAGTAAATTTGCAATAATTATAACTAACGATATTCATGATATTATCTCAATACTCTATATCTGATTGCATGGTTTCAAGAATTAAGCTATGTTCATTCTATTATTGAGGTGCTATTGCTGTTAGAAGAATAATGGATATTGAGTTTTTTGTACATACTATCAGCCGACGATTTAGCAGTATCTTCTGCATCACATGTTGATAATGTTGATGGATCAGGAGAAGTGCTTTCTTGATTCAATAAAGTTGATTTGATGTCGTTACAAGGCAAACGCGACGAAAATAATACTACAGAAAGGTATAGAAATTATAATTAGACATTGTAGATTGGATTCTTCTTGAACTATAAAGCGCCAATTAGCTTAAATATTAACCTTGCAATAGTATCTCATAAGTATATAGTAGAAACTTTTATATTTAATTTTAGTTGCACGATATTGTTTTTGGCTCTGTCTGTAATGTCTAGGTACCAACTGCCTTGATAAAGCATTAGCAATTTGCTAGCTGATACAGGCATTTAATTACAAATAGCACCGAAAACGTACTATTGTCTATGAAGTTATCACACGGCAGCCTAACATACTGCTATAATACACCTACTTCAATATTATTCGGTATGCAGTTTAAAGTAAGTAATAAATTGCCAATTATATTAATTCTCTAAACAGCTACAAACTGATCCTGCAACTTTTCAACCTTCAATCATATTTCATAGAGAAATCGTTTTAAGAAAGAACTTATCAAATTTAGTCTTAATCAAGAACTATAGCACTGCTAGCGATGACCATCTTAATGACTGACAAAAATTTCTTACTATATGAAGGATTTATTATTGAAACCTTCCGTTAACAAAGTTAGGAAACCATTATACGAAATTACCTGAATTCCAGGCTTTCATATCGGCTAACTTAGGTTTGGCAAGGCATTTAACGTTAGTGCATGTGATTATTTGCTCTTCAACATAAATAGGAAAAGGGATCAATTGATCACATTTTAGGCAAGGAAAAAAATATCCACAGTCAATTTCTTGTCGTTCAGGGTGAACATCTTTCACAATTTTCGATAACATTGTTTTAAAATAAACATGTAATTGATCGTTACTTAATAGTTTTGAAATTTCTTCCAGTGTAATCTGGTCATCTTCTTTCGATTCATCTACAGTTTCATAGTAATACTGAATTCTAATATGTGATCCGCTCTTTTCCACTATAATAGTATAATTACGATGTTTTGGTAAATACTTAGCACTATGATAATATAATTCAACATCCAATTCTGATTGGGATGACAGTAAAAACTGATGAAAGATTTGATCTGTAATATATAGAGGTGAGTTTTTATCGAAACCGAGATAAAGCCAAGGTGATTGAAATCCGTATCTTAATTCGCTGTCTGCTTCTTTCTTACGTGATGATAACAAATGAGGAAAAAAATACTGTTCATTCATACTAGCTTTTATGTCCTCCAGATTTCTTGAAGCTTTGTAAATTAAACGATTTCGTTCCATTACTTGTAGCAGAGAATCAATATCTTCTTCCATTAATGCTTCATGACTTATTGCACACTTTACTGAGGCTTTAGTAACGATTCCATAATCCCTAGCCCATTTGCAATATTCCCTGCTCTTGCTACTACTGGCAAGATGACGTTGCTTATAATTATCGACCAATGTAGAAATTTTGCGAAAGTTATCGTAAAACCAACTTAATTCTGTAACTATAAGACTATCAGTCTCACAGTATTGACTAAATATTATTTCTCCTATGCCGTGTAAAAATTTTAGAACGTTTATAATCTCACTCTGCTCCATCCGGTTTCTAGCTTTAGCGTAAACTTGTTCTAGTGTCTGAATATATTGCATACCGGTGGAATTCTGCTTATCTTGAGAATGGCTAATAATCCTATCAGATACTAGTATAGGATTATCGAATAATTCCGCCATTATGTACCATTTAAGTTTAATTTTCTGTTTGAAGAACGGAACGTCTAGGATACAATTTTGAATTTTTTCGCATAATTTGTTCCAGCTACTGCTATTGACCGTCTCCTCTAAATCTTTACTCTGATTTCCACCAACTGTATTGATTATTATTTCCGGAGAATAAAAGTGTGATTTATACTGTGGCATTTTCATATCCAACTCATCCATAAATTGACTTCGTCTAGTCCACTGCGCTTCTTCTGTTAATTTATCATCGCTATTAGTGGCAACAAATAGAATGATTGGCAATGGAATTTCGTCCTCTTGACTATCAATGCTAATATATAACTGATTCTCTTTTGTATTCCAATCAATTGCATTAATCAGCCATTCCTGAAATGAAGTCATATAATCATGGCGACCAACACCGTAATCACTACTGACAATTTTATCCAGTTTGATGCTGACATCAAAAGGAGCAATGTAAACATTATGCTGAAATTTGAAGGGTTGATAGTAAGCGTGATTGTTAAAATTCCAAATTTTAGCAAACTGATTATCATGGTAATATTTACGACTCTGATGGAATTTCTGGAAACATCGCGAGAAAGACGGTGAAGATAAACTTTTAGTAGTTTCATTAAGCAGGCTGATAATATTGTCACTAGCTGTGGTGATTTCGTTATCATTATTATTAACGGGATAGTCTATATCGATGTTGTCAACTATAATTTTATTACTACTAGAAATGGCAATTCTACTTTTATCACTAGGCTGATTGTTGCCTATTTCAAGAGTAGAAGAAAAAATTCTTTGTAATTCAGGGTTTGGTGATATATTCCCCTGCTTTTCTATGACTGATAATACTTTACTATCGATGAAAGATTGTCTGTCCAAAATAATTTTTTCGTCCGAATTACTTGCTTGTTTTATGGTATCCAAGTTGATTAACACCGGAGTAGCATTAGGAGAACTTTCAGGTTGTTTAGTTAGTAATTTATATATAAAAGATTTGTCTTCATGATTTGGTCCAATAAGCATTATATTCGCAAAGTTATTTGAAAATTCACCACGATCAAGCGCTGTTTCAAAGGCTTCTTTAAATTCTCTTATCGCTGTCCCTGATTTGAAATTTCAATATTAGTCAAGAAATAAACGGGCTATCAAAATCGAAGCCCAAGTAGTTGTCTATTTTAGATTTTTAATTAGATTAGCAGTTTATCTAATTTCATTTGAATAATACTGAATAGTATCGCACTTTATTTGATCAGCTAATCATTTAATTAAACAAACTATCATTATTAATGATATTTCTACCGTATTTAAAATTATAACAAGCAGGAATGAAGCTATTTCTATATCAGCCACTTGTATGCTGAACAAAAATTTGTTATATCAAATCAACATGTTGCAAGACCCAATAATTAGTCCATGAACAAAGTGAAATGCGATGAATTGACTTTGTACTCACTAGCTATGATTAAAATAGAGCTTTTGTCCCTAACTTCCACATTGGCGGATTTCCTTGCAGTAGTTTTTTGCTCGGATAATTCACTCTGGCTATGATCTATTGATTAGATAATAAAATACTGATTAACTTTCGTCATAAAATTATACAACCTTCATTAAGTAGTATTAATGAGTTGTATTACCTGATGATGATGAAGTTGCCAATTGTTCAGGTACCTTACTAGGATGGTATTTGCCTTTTGTCTTTAATGATATAAATGTTATACGATTTGCCATTTGCTGCGAATAGCCTTTGTCTTCACTTTCCCTATACGCTTGAATTTTTGTACCTAAATTAAATTTCATTATTTCTAGTTAAATCTTTATACTCGTCATATAAATGCAGATATTTGGCCGGAACTATGAACGGCCAGTTAATAAACATTAGCTATTCTAAATAGTATTTTGAAGTCTCGGCCTCAAATACGTCAGCATATATCGGCAATTATGTCTAATGCATTCGATTAAGTAATATCACTTATTAGCCGTACTATTTTTGTTATTCATAGGTAAAATATCAACTGTGGTATCTTCTATATTAAAACTTTTATTATTTGTTACACTAGTGCTACCTTGCAATTAAAATATTGGTGAGTCATTGTTACAGTGTTATACACTGCAATATCGAGGTAATAGCAGAAACAATTATGTTAGGATAATTTTGTTGATTTACCCTTATATGAAGAGTTTCTAATTTAGATATGTGATATTTAAATGTAGCACTTGCTTTTATGGTGATATATACAGCCTACTGAAATTATTAGTTTTTAATTAGGGAATCGAGAATAATCTTCTTACAATTCAAATCACTGTGATTTTAATTTACTTATGGTAGATTGTAGATTATCGTAGAAATGTTCCGTAATAGGACATTCTGACAATTTTTTATTAGTCATTGGATGTCTACGTTCGCATATACTGTTGTCTTCATTCGGTAGTAGTAGATAAAATTAACCTTTGATTCATTATCAGGTTTAAACGTCAATATGACTAACTAGGATGTCTTTGCGATTGTAAAAGAGTATATAAATGCGATAAATCGTATAATAAAGAGAGTTCTTATGATTAGTGTTTAACGTAAGATACGAGGCGTCTAAGTCTTTTTGTAATCTATTAGTATAGTAAAAGAGTTCATGAAAGAGTAGATACTGCTCCCTGATATGTGGTTCAGGGAATCGACTGATTGATCGTGCATTACGTTATCTTGTAGCAAAGCTGTTTTGTAACAGTAATGACATTCTTTTGAAACATTTTTTCAATTCAAAGAATAGAAATAAGAGAGTTTCTAAAATAATTATATGGAACAAAAATATCCTACAATTAAGCCAAAAAATATTTGTAAGAAAGTTCGCTTCTTCGACTGTATATAATTCTTATCTGAAAATGATGCGGAATATACCTCCTTTCATTTAATGATCGTCGTCAATTTGAGCTACAGAAATTACTGCTAACTCTAGCAGACAAAGTATTCTATTATAGAATTAAACGCTATTTAATTATCTTTGTATATTTATAATCTAGACATCATAAACAAGAGAATTTGAATTATTTCTGCTCGTATTACAATCTATAAGACTTGGTATTCATTTGAAAATTCTAATCTTATGTTTCTGCTTGATGGGAAATATAGACACTTGCTACATCAATATGTTTTAAACGTAAACTCTATTACTAATATAAATATAATTATTTTAATACGTAATTTTACTATCACAATACATTTGAAAGCAATTATTAGTGCTGTAATCTATTGCTACAGCTACCCTTGCAGCACATGAAGCAGCACAGTACTTATAATAAATTTTACTTTAATCTGTAATACTAATTCCTCAGCCTATGGTACAGCAACTAGAATCTTTAGGTTAATACACTAACGAATTGCTAGATATAACGTAACTCTCATACTTTCTATTGTTCACTATCCAAGTTATACACCTATCAGTGGTTATAAATATATTTGTTACGCTATCAGTATTTCTTTGAAAACAATGATATTATTACGATTAAGTTATCATTTACGGATATCTAAAGTAATAAATAATCTCATTCATGTGTTTATCTCGATTACGAGCTCTATCAACTTTATAAATTTCCAATACCTACATGAAACAAATTACTATTCCGCCGTAATATCATAAAGATTTGCTTTATTTTTAACAGAAATGGCTATATAGGCTTTATATTTCTAATAAGTTCGAAGAAAATTTTATCGTAAACTGTAAATTTGTACGTGAGTTATTTTCATGAAGGTGACGTCTATTAAGCAGTGTCGTTAACATTTTACGTACCGTTAGCCATGGAATCTTCTATGATTTTTCCGTCATTTGCATTATTACTATCTATCGCTCTGTTAGTTAGTCTTGTCGATGATAGTGCTAAAAATAATTATGCAATTAAAAAATAGCAGAAAAAGTGGGTTAGGCTACTAAATTATTTTAACCTTTCAAATGAGCGTAAAATAACATAATTTAGAAAGATACGAGTACACTTGTAATTAAAATTTTTAGTTAAGATACTTTTTAGCCTCAGTATATTTATTTAGATCACGATAATAACAATTAAATCTAATCAACTATAGCTTTTATACTGAAATTAGTTACTCATCTATTACTAAATCTCAATTAATATATGTTCATTTAGATTGATCAAAATTTGATATATAATTAGAGTATCTAGCTATTGAATAAGTACCGATTATATTTTATTATTGTAGCCATCTATCATTAAACATAATGTTACTGATGATGCAACGTGGGAATTATTATTGTTAACAGATAATTTTTAATTTCTGACTATAGTTTCGTTAAATTGCTATTCTGATATGTATTGGAAGATCTAAAGGGCAGTTAATTTACTGAGAGCATGACTGACAGATTTTGGTTTAATGTTTTAGTCGTACGAATAATAACCTAAGTAACAAACGTAAACTTAGCTCTAACGCTAATTACTAGTGAAAGTCAAATATGCTACAGAATAATGAACTATACCTTTTAGAATAAGTATCAATTATATATTACCTGGTTGATATGGCGGGTTCTCTGGCTGTTCATTGCAATGATTAAGGGTCCTGCAATTGTTATTTGCCTCACATTTTAACTTTTCTGCTATTTTATCGATTAGTCTTGTCAATCTAGAAACATTTATTTGATTTTTTTCACTTAAACTATTTTGCATATCTAAAGCCTTTTGGTACATTTTCTGTGAACTAAGATAGTCTGAAAATAATCCTAACATTTTGCCAATTTGTTCGTAAATTCTGGCTTGATCTTGTCGTAAAGAATCTTTTTCTGTCATATACTTTTCTGAGCCTAACATTTTATCATCGCTACGTCGATATTTTTCTAGCCTTGTCTCACTATAATAAGAGCTTACAAGGTCTAAATTATTCGATTGGCAAACTCTTTCCCGAAGAATAAAACTCGTCTCGTACCATTCTTGAGCTTCTTCTAATTGATTTTGTTTCTCGTATACTTCTGCTATGCTATCCATAGTATCCGCCCCAAGTATACCGCGATGTCCAGAGATGGTAATTTGAATTTTCAAGGATTTTTCAAACATACTCAAGGCTTGCTTAAATTCCCCTTTTGCTAGATAAACTCTACCAATCCCATACAAAGTTTTACTTAATTCAACTTCATGCTCAGATCTATCGGAAGATGAGTAAAATGTTTTGCTATATTCATAATACGATATTGAAGTGTCATATTCACCTTTCTTGAAACATATTTCCCCTAATACATTTTTTAATTTTGCCTTAAATCTTTCACAGTAATCATTTCTTCCTTTGCAATTTTCTTCAGGTGTTAAGAACTTGTAATGCTTCTCAGCATCATCTAATTGATCAGAAGCAAAGTAAGCCTTGCTTAAATATTCGTTGGAGATTAGTAATAAATAATCTTGACTTTTGAGTATCTTCTCTTTTATTCTGTATGATTTTAGGTATTGGATTATAGCTACTCGATAATTACTCTGCAAATAAAATATATTGCCAGCAGTATCGTACAACAAAGCCAGAAATAGTCTTTTTTTTTCTTTCTCTCGTAGACAATTTTCCACTTTGTTCAATTGATTACTTAGATTCTTTTCACTTATAAGCTGATCTGAATGGACTAAATCAAGACATTCGCTACGCTTAGAGTCTTTCTTCATGAGAGGTGATATGCTTTTTAGCTGGGATTGAAGAGATTGTATATATATATTCCAAGCCTGCTCATATTTATGTTGCAAAATAAGTACTTTAGCCGCATCATGTTCGATTATAGTATACAACGTCAATCCCTCTTTTTGATCTAAGTAAGTAATTGCTTTATCACAATAGTTTAAAGCTTCATCGTACTTTTCTTCTCTTATGCAGATGTTAGCTTTTATATTATAACATTTAGCAATTAAAGATCTTTCACAAATATCTTCAGCATATGACACGGCAGTAGTAAAATATTTATTCGCCTTATCTAATTCATATAATTGAAAGTGGCACGCCATCATACCAGCTGTAGTCCTGAATTTAACTTCCATCAAGTCGTTTTTATCAATAAGGTTTTCCTTTCTGTTATCGATTTGATCCACTTGTGTGTACTCATCTATTGCTTTGATATAACTTCCATTCTCATAGAATTTATCTGCTCTATTGAGCATAGCTTCCAATTTCTTAATCTGAAAATCTCTCTTTCCAACTTCAGATGACAATTTCTTATTTCGTGAATTATTAGCCAAGTTGAACTTCTCACGATAGTGGCTACTTCCTATACAGTCAGATGAAGATATAATTAAGTATGCCATATTATTGTATAATATTGTCACGATATGAACCACCGTGAAGAGTAAATGACTAGATATGAACTAAATTTCATGAAGAGTTATGACTCATCCATGATAGCAGCTGCCGTAGGGTATTTAAGCTCGGCAGATAAGTGAATAAAAGATGAGTTCTATAGTTGTTTAATGTAGAAGCAATGGCGTCTAAATTCTTGTGAGATAGTTAAGAGATACTGAATCCCGGAGACTATGGTAATTTCGAGATTTGTTTTACGTTATCTTTATCACGAAGATGGTTGTGACAAATATGTACTTCAGTATCAATCATACCATATGCAATATTTTACAAAAGTTTGAAATTAGAAGTGCAAGTTCATAACGGATCAAATATAGTATATGACTACCGTTAGTATGCTTACATGAACGTTGTTAGAATTCAACGACATCAAAATAGCATACAACAATTCTCAATCAATTGTCAAACTCTACGGATCAGAAATACTTTTGTTTATTTACTGCTAGGTAATAATATCAAATTTAACTGCGATTTTGCAATCTCATTGGAAGACTCCGTAGGATTGCTTTGCTAAAGTGTTGAAAGTTGTACATGTACAACTTGTGGATTCTAGAGATTTTAATCAATGGCTCATACTGTATTATAATTTACGATTTATCAAATTAATTTCTCATTAAAACGTATATACGAGCCAGTATAATGCTCAAAGATTATTTTTGAAATCTATTTTAATAAAACCATGAACTTGATTTAATCTGTAAATTAACGTTTCAAATTATCTCAAAAGACATATTTGGCAAGAGCTTCGATTCCTCATTTTCTCCGCTTCATAAACGAATTGACTATTCTACTGAAGAGCATAAGTACCTACCTTTGCTGTCATGATTCTGAACTATTTGAAGACCTAATTATCATTATAACTGCGAGTCCTCCAATCACCACTAATAGCCTAAACATTTTTTCTAGTAACAGCCCACTATCACTATTACTAACAATTTTCACTTATCTATTGTATATACAAGATGCACTATATTCATTCCTGCTGAGACGAATATTGGGTGCATCATGTCATTGTGGATCAATGAAGCTATAATAACTTCTTCGTGGCATGTCGATACTACCGGCAGATTAGAATTACTATTTCTTTAAATCTTTAGAAGAAAACATATTTCCTCTATGTTAATAAAAATGGTAGATGTAATGCTATGAAAAGACATAAAAAAAAACTAATTAATCAATTATTCAGCGTGAAGTAGGTCATTCTAGAAATAGTAGATGGTTGCAATATAAAATATGATTCATGCCGCACAACACTTATAAACCCATTGCAGAAAATTTTATATTCTGGTTAGAATTTTACTATCGCCCACTCGGTCTTAGCTATAGAGACTCGGCACGAATTGTTGTGATGAAGTCTTAGACAATTGCTAATTGATATAGGTAATTATCAAATAGTATATTGATTAGTGGTGTTACTTCTTAAGACTCTTTGTGACAGTTTCAAAGCAACCTTACCATACTAGTAACGATAGGATGAATTACAAATGTAATGAAAGTTAATTTTCAGAATTCTTCTAGAAGATTTGCATTCTAATAAAATTATGTAAGCATCGCAATTTTTTTAATTTAACTGATTTAGCTTACTTACAGTACATTTCATTTGCCTCTTCCTAAATTATGAATCCAATTGTAAGTACTTAATTGGGGTTATTATACATGGATACTAGAGAGTATAAACATTGTAATTATTAATTGTTAAAAAAACTGTAATTTAGCCAAATTAATTCGGTTTTTATTAATAACACATTTCCTCTAATGTGATATTTCGCGTACTCGATTTACTGAGTATGTTGTTTCAGTCTATACTGTGCAGTGTATGCCAGTGTAATTCAATGTTCTATAGATCATGTTTTAAACTATGATAAAGTCTTAAACTTGTATAGCCCAAAAAAAAATTTCAAAAAACTATATTACTTCATCATCAATTACGACGGGAATCCGAATATTTCGATCTGAGCTCTACTTTAAGCATGGAAACCTGTGTTAGTGATATTTAGTTAAGTGGTGTATACTGTCGAACGGTAAGGAATTGATATGATCTGTAGAATGTTAATTATATCACGAGAGAATCACTTTTTGACGGCGTGATTGACTTAAAGAGTTTCTCTACCCTTTTAGTAATTCTTTTAGTTGATTTGCAAGTGTGCTGTTAAAGTTATAATATGTCGCGACTGCGAGATAACTGCTGACAGATAATATTGTTGTTAAAGATTGATACCTACAGAAATGCTCAAGTTCGTTTAGCAAGTTATCTTGAAAGTACGATAACGTATCAATGATGTTACTGGAAAGTTTATAAGGTAGTTATAAGAGGTATTCGTGATACGGTATTGCAAGAATGTTACAATTGTTAAAGGTTAAAATAAAGGTATCGGTATTGGTACCAATGGTTTTTAGTATTTAAGGAGAGTTTTTTCTCAACGAGATTATGAGAGAAACATAGTAGATAGATTCTTGCGCTCGTTGTGAGTTGAAGGAAAATAAAGAAAACATTTGCTCGCATACCCCGTGAAGAAATTAATCTGTCGCTGACTCAGGATATCCCTCCGCACGCTTCCCTCCATAATCAGGACTGAATCAGCACATAATAAACTATCATCTTTTCTATGTTTTAGCTCAAGTTGAATTCAAAGCAGTGATTAGTTACAAAAAATACTCATTCATTACAGTAATTATTACTCCTATGCAAAAATTTATTCTATTACCAATAAAATGCGAATGAAAGTTTAAAAATTGGATTGATTGAATCACGAATGATTTATACTATATTATCAATGAATAGATTTATGTGGATTTGGCTCTGATGAATTGACATAATATTTCGTATTAAAATCTTACATCCTGTACTTCGATAATACTTTTAGAAGTATCCTTCTACTAATAACTATCGTAGTGCTTATTCTTGGATTTTTCTGAAATTTTGTATGATCCTGAAATCGCTCTTCTAAACATTTTGTAATTCGTATTGAAATATCCATAATATACGATACAGTAGACTCTTGATTTTCAAAGATATTCCTCATAAAAGCTTTATACACTACAATCACTGATTTTCTCATAACTAAAATACGATTGTTCTAAAATATGATTCGTTCTTTTACTATCGTACGTCTTCATCTCTTAATATTCGTTATTAATCTGTGATAATTATTTTTTCGAAGTTAAAAATTTTAAATCTAGTTTCTGATTGATGTCATAAATCATTAGGCTAATCTTATTAATACGAATAACTCGCACCTGGTTGGTCATATGAATTATTTGACGGAATATAGGTATTTATATTTGTAATATTCGCGTTATCATTACCTAATGATCTTTTCTTAGCTGCGTCTATCTTATCAATTTCGTCATTCAGCCATTTAAAATTTTCCATATTTTGTCCTTTTAAACATTTTTGGTGATGTGCAGCGGTTTGGTGATTCTCAAATGATTTTGTATGATTGGAAAATAAGTTATACATCTTGTTAAGTTTAGCATAAACTTCATCTATTTCATTGCATAGCTTTTTCTTGTTTAAGTCTATTAAAATTCTATCATTCCTGGATATATATTTTTCCCATCTTGTCTCACTGTAATAGGATCTCACGAAATCGATATCATATTCATCACAGATATCTTTCCTAAACTGTAAACTTTCCTTGTACTCCTTTATAGAGGTATCAATTTCTTGACGAAGCCAATACAACTCTGCAATTTGATCTCGAATATCTGCAATCAACAGGCGGTGATGGCTTGATATTCCCTTTAGAATTTTCATGGACGCTTCCAAATGTTTCTTTGCTGCTTCAAATTGCGAACTTCCTAATTTTGCTTTTCCAATCCCGTAATAGGCTTTACTCAATTCAATTTTATCTCCTTTCTTATCTTTGGCAAATTTGACAGCTTCTTCGAAATATTTTATTGACTCCTTTAAAGGATCTTTCTTGTCATTTCTAAGCGTAGTTTTTCTAGTTCTGAAACAAATTTCACCCAAAATGTTGTTAATTTTCGCTTGTAATTGATAATCTACGAATCCTGTATTCTTTATGATTTTTTGTATTATTTTGAAATATTTCTTAGCATTATCTAATTGATCTGAAGCAAAGTATGCATTTCCTAAATATTCCACCGAATCTGCTCTATGCCAACTGTTTTCTTTGAATCTATTCTTTTTGATATTATATGACTTCATGAAGTAGTTTATAGCTCCTAGATAATCACCCTGCATATAAAATACCTTGCCAATGGTATCGTAAAGTAAAGCAAACTTAACAGTCTTTTTCATTTTTGCAGATAACGAAGAATTGAGTTTTTGCAAAATGCGATTGGCATAACTTTCACTTAGTAGTAATTCATTATCGGACAAGTCTAGAAGTGTAACACGTTTAGCCGTTTTCTCAATACTATTTTGTATGATTCGTAATTGTTTTGCTAACAACTTCAGAAAAACAGATCGAGCATTTTCAAATTCTTTCCGCAACATATAGATACTAGCTTTACCATATTGAGCCAAAGTTAACAAATCATCTTCTTCATTTGAATTTAAAAATTGAATTGCAGCTTTAAAATGATCGAAAGCACTATTATACTCTCCATTTTTTATATAAACATTGCCCATTATATAATAAGCTTCAGCTAGTAGAGAACTTGGAGATTTATTTAGGAAATGTGATATTTTTTCAGAAAAATCTTTCTTAGCTTCATCAAGTAGATGCAGCTGAAATTTAGACTTCATTAAACCAATCCAACTTCTGCAAGTAAGTCTGATATAATCTTTGTCATCTAGGTAATCGTACATGAATTTTTCCTGAATCTGCTTGTTCGCCTGATCATAACTAGTTATTGCATCATTATAGCTCCCATTATCATAGCAAAGCTCAGCTTGATCAAGTTTAGATGTTAGTAATTGTTCATTTGATAGCATATCGTCCATGTTTACCAAATCTCCTCAAGGTAGTGTGTCTTCTTCTTGTATCAATTAGTGAAAATTAATTATAAGTGTGATTGTAAAGCAATATCTAACGTATTTATCGAACAAAATAGATTGAAATTCAGTATAACCTCTGCCAATTTGCTTTTACAGAAATAATAATTTTGTCTAGGAAGGGCCTTGCTATGACGAAAAATTCAACTGCACTAGTATAAGCTTAGTAACAGTCTATAAAATTAAAATTAGAAAAGCAGCCATTAATTCATTTTGGTAATAAAGCGGTAAACAAAGACATGCAAAATTTTAAATTTAAGACTTTTAAGCATAGAAAAAAGTCGTTGAGTTTAAAATTCCTCCTACTATTGTACAGCGTAGTATCGAAAACTGACGGGAAATATATTTGTACTGCAGTAAACCAAAATAGACGTAACAATTTTTATCGTAATATAAGTGCATATTCCTATAGCATATCTTAAATTCAGTTAATCTATCAACATAATGCAGTGTTTTTATTTGAAATAGTGACGATAATTTTGTTTATAATTTTGTTATTATATGATTGTATATGCTGTATATGCAGAATGGCTTATGTTCCTTACCACTTCATTGACCTATTATCATCTGCTACTTAGCACGGCAAGCAAAACACCATATTCACTGCACTTATAAAAAAGCCTTATTTACATCTAACAGTTGCTAAACTTGTATGGATTAGACAGCCATTCTTGCACTTAATCTTGTGTTAACGCAGGTTATCGAACCCAGCTCACTGCGAAGAAATAATCTACATGCATCTAGACTTTTAAATTAATATACTAACCATGAACTAACGCTTATCGAACTCAGCCCACTACGGAAAAAAGCTTTTATTTTATATCTTAATCAACAATATGTAAAATAAGTAATTGTAGTTAACAGTAGGAGGATTAATCACAAGATAATATTCTTGTATTAGGTACTTTCGGTGATAAAGAGTAAATAGCGTACTACACATTGTGCCGTTGCTTAGCAACGGATATTGTATTATGTATTTAAAAAGAATCTGCATAGGCCATTATTAACGGTAATTATTAGACGCGGAAGTTATACAAAGCGTTATCATTTTAAAAATTTGCTATACTGTGAGTCACAAAATCAGATTTAAATTTATTATCGCGTTCTGTCCACAATTTATTCTATCATTTGAAGCGTCAAAATACAGATCTCTTATTATTCTTACACTCAGCGAAATCTATTGACTATACAGTATATTCGAAATCTTAATATAAATGTCTCAATAGAATTTTTATAATACGTACCACAATCGTCTTCTACAAAAAGACACTTACACAATCTTAATCTTAGCTTATTTAGAGTTGCTTCACAGAAACCAATTTAATACTAGTATTAACATGATTCAAACTTACAGTAACAGTATCTTCACTTTGAAGACTACTGAAATCGTTACCAATGAATTGAATACTCCAGGACTTACCATTAGGCACATAAGTGCTCGATTTGGCGCAATTATATTTAGTGTGTCTCTCTAAGATTATAATTCATCATAAATTATTGCAAGCAGCAGCAAAAGAGATGTAATAAAGAATTATTTCTTTAAGAAATTATCATCGTTTGAAAAATAAACTTTGCTAACTTACTGCATACTGCATGGTTCTTGCATAATACGACGGTATCCATAAATCAGCCGAACTAGAGTCAAAAATGACTTTAAATTCCTGAAGTGGCTTACCAATGAAAATTTTACCATAGTATTGCTTCTAATAGTTGATGCCAACAATTTAGCAGGACTATCCTTATGTTGTAAATCCTATTAAATGTGGGCGTGCAACATTACTCTGTTCTCTATGTAGATACTAACAAATTTAAATTTATTAATATTACCAGAAAATAATATGAGCAAAAAATATTTGTATTTAAATTAGAAAGTTAACAGGACAGTTTCGATAAAATCGACAAATCTTCTACCTAATCTTCAGTTATAAGCCTTTTGACGCATTTCCTGTCGGATAATAAAATATGACGGATGCTTTTCATCTATTATAACTTGATCCTACAAATTTAAAAGCAGTAATTAAAACTGCATGTTTCATATCAATGGTAGCATAGCCTACTGCTGTTGCAATGTCATTTGTATAACTATATATTAGTGATCCTAGCTAGTTATAAAGCTGCTGCTATTCACTTTACAGAATATTATGGTTGACTAAATTTTTTAGCAAGATTAATTTGCTTAAATTAAGTATTAATAATATCAGAAACTCCTTATCAAAATATTACCAAGTAACAACATAAAATTATTACAGTCTCTCAAACATGGTTCTCTCTTTTTTAGACTTTATTCGAAGTAATTTTTGATACCTTCGTATTCTACCGATATATTAATAAAATTTACTGGGAAAATACTAAAATATATTCATCTAAGTACTCTACATAAATTATTCTATTCTTCAATAACCGTACATATATATCATAGCTGCTTATTCCCATCGCTAGATACCGCAGGGATGCATAGATGTAAGAGTAGCATAGCTATTATAAAGATAAAAGACAAATCTTTTTTTGAATTTTTTTGAATTTTTTTGAATTTTCGGATCAGATTTGGAGTTGGAATATGCGTTTCACAGAACTTAAAACTATAGCATGAAAGCCTCAGAGGAAAAGTTTATCGAGAACTAGACTTCCTTTGTTCGTCAACATCGATTTGCATTGAAGACTCGTAACAGCATGTATTAGCGTAGCTTTTGCTCCGATGTAATTTCAATTATATGCTATCATAAAATTAGGATATTTCAAGAAAGTCTGTATACCAATTTCGTCTATTAATAGGTATCAGGCAAACTGTCATGGCAATTTGATAGCTACAAGTCATGATATCACATGAATGAATTGTACTCTGCTTTAATGTTGAGATACCTTATGTAACGAAACTTGGTATTGTGATTGTAAGCTTTTAGCTATATTTAGTAAGATGTACGGAAGCGCAACTTTCTATATTTATCTTAAGACGTATTTGGTAGCTTGCTACTATGGACTGTAATGGCAAATTCTATACTACAGTACCGGTGACTATATATAGTAAGGTGTTGAGTTATGACTATATATAATAAGGTGTTGAGTTACTATTAAGGCTGAAGGTAAAAATAGAACTGTAATTCATAAATTAGGATATGCTTAGTTTACCGAACTTTGACTGCTAAGAATAATATCTACAGAAATACTGCAGTCGTTTCCATATCGAATTAATGATGGATGATCCTCCTTAAAATGTTGTTACTAATAATAATTTGACTATGTGTAATTAAATTAAGGTAGAATGTTGCTATGCTGATTGCGGCTGTGACTGCTACGAAATGTATATACTATATAAGCTGGCAACTTTAGACTATTCAGTTAGTTATTTCTAGAAGTCTTTCAGTAGTTGCATCCGGCTAGAGTAGAGCTGTGTATAGCTAGTCTTTGTATTAGATCTAATTAACTTCTAATTTTCTATAACTTGGAATATTCTTGATCTGACTTTATAACTCTTTAGTAAGTGAGCACTGCAAGAATGTGTGGCCGCAAGAACTAGGATTAGTGATAATATTTTGCTTAGCTTCTTTCTGTAAACTGGTGATAAGTTACTTTTAAAGCAAAAATTGTAATGTGATGCTGTTAAAAAATAGCGATCTTAGGTAAATGTCTACTAAAGCCTTGGCCAGCGAAAATTAAACTGATAATACAAAATCTATAAGGAAAAGAAATTCGAGTAATCATTGAGCTATTTATAGCATGCAGTGAGAGAAAATGTCAACGCATGCGTTGGAAATCGTACACGTATACCATAATCACGAATAATTGGTCGCTAAATTAAAGTAGAAGTGGACTATAGCCTTTAAATTATCCTAAATATAAGACGGAGTATCATCTGTAACGAAGATACATTGCCGAATCACATTTATATTGTGAGAATCAGTCATAATGTTACCGTACTTGGGCATTTCGCGAATTGACTGGATTTCGTACTTGGATGGTAACGATAATACTAGATATAAGTAAAAAAATAATATTTCAATAATTGCAACGCGCAGTTATTTTGCTCTTTTAACCATGTTTGACGGATTTAGCTTTTAGTTTTTTAATTAGTTCAATAGGTATAATAGCTTGTTTATAGTCTAGCTCTATTTAGTAATGTTACTTAACTAAACTTGCCTAATCTAAACTAATTAGATTACCCTAGATAAGTAACAATAACTGAGAAATGCACTTTCGGAATCTTCTAACTATATCTTTATTCTAAAAAATGCAAGTCTAATTTAATATTCAAAATCAATCATTTATATAGCTTTTCTAGCCATAAAACCGGTTTACGATGTGTGATATATTTCGACCAATAAAACTTCGCGAATATATTAAATTATTCCTAGTCTATTCCAACGAATTAGTAATATTACTATAGATTAACTTTATGTTTTCTCTGGCTTATAATTAACAGGATTTATATTGAATTTACCATTGACAATTCATATACCATATTTAGTATAATTTAACCTGTATTAGGAACAGGTTTGTATCGGCTATATTAAGTCATAAATAATTCATGCACATATCCAAATTAATAACTATCTTGACATGATACATATACATGTCTAAATTAAGTAAGTTATCTTCCATCACGGTAGATTCACTACCGTGACAAGTAACAATTAGGTTAACCTTTTTTCTTTAGTGCTAATCGATAAACCTAGCGATAAGCAACCAGGTACTATTTCCTATCGATCAATTTGTTGGGGCTTCTATAGACAAGATATCTTAATAAAGTTTACAAGGATACGCATATTGCACCGGTGCAGTATTGCAATGTAACTACTTACTCAAGATATATTTCTGTTTATTACTGAACTTTAATTGCATATGCTGATATTAGACGGTAAAAAGTACTGCTATCAGCAACAAATAAACTATTACATTGTATTAGTATGTACATTTTATTTGTAGTGTACATACGAGAACCTATTGTCTATGAGTTGACCATGATTCAATGGGATTTTCACCGGTTTTGCAAGTCAAGATTTATTTAAGTCCATTATTAGGTATTACGTGATTAAAATTTCAATCTTTTCTATATTATTGACACAATACCTCTCTTCTACCTCTGATTGCAACTACCGTAGAAGAAAGATGCACAAAAGGAACCGTGTGTTAAATCATGCAATCATTCTAATGTCATTCAAGCATATTTTTAGACTAATAGAAATCGGACAAAAAGATCCTCGCAAGTTACTAGTATAGGAATATGTGACAAACAATGTTTATCTACGTTCAATAAATTGATCGATTATGAATCCATACTTAATAATTCAGATATAGTAATACAACTACTTTTGAAGGACAATCATACGATCCAGCTCTTCCTTCTCACAATATACTATCTAGCCTATATTGTGAGAGTATTGCAGCTTACTTTAAAATGTTTGATCCGTAATTTATACATGGATTTAATAATTTGCTCAAGCATAATTTACTTTCATATAGAAATTACTTGATCGATTACCTGGGCTATACAATCATATTTAAAACGGTTTCTATCCAGGCAATTTAAAAATAAATGAATCATATACAGTAATTCAAATTTAACCCTTTCATCTAAAAATATGATTATTCCAATACTATATTTAAACTAATGAAGAATCCTTGCTACCTAAACTATCAGTATATGATATGGGTTTTTTCCTTGAAAAACAGAGAATTATTTTAATATGAAATATAAATTTTGCAAGGTTTTAGTATACAGCAGTTTAACAGCAAATCTTCGTCTTAATTCTGCAGCTGTCTGAATTAGACAATCATTCTATAGAAATCACCAAAAATCAATTTACCTGGATTATAAGCTATTGATGTTGCCATTCGGCTAAGAGATTTATAATCAAATGCTATGCTAGTATTTATAAAACCCTGTTCCATATTAATGTACATCCAAGGCAAGGCTATTAGGTAATGATAGACCCTCACTTTAAGCTTCGATGATACTAGCATCAATCTTTTATTGAATCAAAGGTCTGATTTTACTTTAATTACCAATAGGTATATTCAATAAATATTACTATAAAAGCTGATAAAGTAATATCAGAAATGAATTATGACGATGGATCTAGTAAATATAATTTACTAGATCCATTTTCTATCATAATTGAAGTATTATTACAGCAGCTAATATATACGCTATTGCTTAAATTACAACATGACAAATAGAATTCTTAACAAAAATGTTTTAACGAATATTGTTAAATTCTAAACCGGATAATATAGTTTTTGTAGTGGTGGACTAAAAGTGGAGTCTTTCATAGCTTTAAGTATGAAACTATTATTGTTTTACTATAGAAAATACCTACAAAATGATAGATTCTTTAAGTTTTATCCTACCAAATCATGATGTCACCATCTTTACTTCTACGCTATTTTACAAGGTTTTATATAGATTTCTATAGGGATGACCTAAGAAGCAATCGCTTGATCCAAAGAGGGGGTGTTTAATAGTCTATTGGGATTGTAAATGAATTAGACTCAGTAACATAGTCCTATGCATAGAGAAAGGGGATTTAAAATATGACAGTAAAGAACTGTAATGTACGCCACAATCGTACAATTTCCGTACAATTTCGTGCTAAAACTACAACTGTCAAAACTAGCGTCAGAAAGGTAGTTATGGTTGTCTGTCACAATTTCACTCCAGCGACAAGGTAACGTACAGTAAAAGTCTATAAGTAACTACTGACTTAAACGCCCTTTTACTTAATGTTAAACACACACAACAAAATAATGTATAGATGAAACTTTATTAGCAAAGATACATCTACAACTTTTTACCACACCGCTCAACTCAAATGTTCCCCTTTATATAGGAACCGTCTAATTTGTAAATGGCAACAGTATTATTATTATACCTTACTAGGAGAAACATCTCGAACTAAGATGTTCCTTACATAGCTTTTCTATCAGAAAATATTTTGAATCTCTTACTCATACTTAATCTTAATATAAGCTCGTAGATTGTCTAATTCAACTATCTTCAACTAGAATTTGAATCATCTTACTGCTATCTATCACACAATAACAATCAATATCAAAAAAATAATGAACTATCACAAACAATATCCACGTTAAGGCATTACTTATCTTACCTAGCACTATAAATATGGATATTCTCCGTACTAGCTACTACCGTACTTATTAAACTATCCTAAAGACAAGGCAACACCGTAACATTGTTATATAAAATTTTTTGATAATTCAGCCTTTGGGCATATATCTATTAACAATGTTCGTACTAAAAGCTACTCTATTTACACATCTGTCAGATGTAAGTATTATATTTTGTAGCATTGTTCTTATACGTAAAATTATTCGATTTAATCAAAGATTTTCCCACTATTATACCTTCTATAATCTAATTCTTACATAATAAGACTCTCATCAGATGAAATTTAAAGATGGCTTCCAATGCATACTTGGCAATAGTAGGGCAAATAATTAATTAACTAGAACAAGTTTCTAATCTAAAATATCCTGAGATCAAAAGAACTGAATCCTATTCTGCTCCAAGCTTATTTCTGTAATTCTTATATATATTTTATACATTATATTTTAATGCATTTACAGCAACATATTTATCTACAATCAGGATTGAATCATCAAAATAAATACTTTACTTAAATAGTTCATCAAGATGTTTTACAGCACAAATCAACCTTCTAATAATATCGAAACTCATTAATTAATATCTATCATAAGGTGCTGGACATCTTCACAATTACAGTGTATGGAGCTACGCAGATCTATTTACCATGTTTAGCTAGCCGCCTAATACTAGTAAGTAGCAATTTCTAACTTAGTAATAAGTAATCATCTAATATTAGCATCAAGAAAATATCTATTTTTAAAAGTAAAATCAAATATGGGGTGTATTACTACATCTATATTATCAAAATAAATTTATAATCTGTCAGTTAATTAATGAAATGCATTAAATTCGACGAAATACGTCAATAAATATTCAAAGATGTTAGTTAACAAATTGAAACAATTTTACAAATTTTAATAGTAGTGGTATGTTTTGTAAACAAGCTGAGAGTCTCTATCTAAGCAATTTACGTAAAATATCATCCATAGCGGGATAGATCAAGCTAGATGCATATCTTGTATATCAATCAGAATTTGGTTTAATAACATTATTCTTACCCATTTTTTCTAAATCTTCTCCAAATTCTACTATAGCTTCAACGTCATGTTCATGTTCTTTTAACATATAGCAAAACTTAAAAAAATCTTTATCTCTACGTTGGTCTCGAAGAACATTCCATAGCTTATCATTTTGATCTTTTGTGTTTGCTAAAGATTTCCATTTACTAACTGTGCTTGTGGCTAAGATTCGCTGTGATGTTAAATTTGTCCACAAGTCCTCAATAGGGACAACGTTTATAAATTCTTGGTGATAGAAGTCTAATGCTTTCTGGATGCCAAAACTAAGTGAACGTTTCTTTGGACTGTTTACTGCATCTATTAAATAACCAATGGAACATATTTTTAGCTTTCCGAATATTCTTGTTCAACACTTCATGCAAGTATATATAAAGCTACTTATAGAAGAATAAATATTTATTTGATAGTATTCCTAGTATAATTCGATAGAAGATACACGCCTAGAGTAAGAAGCATCTACGGTAATTTGTCGTGCAATTATCAAACACGATTTTCAGGTAGAAGGATATTATACATGGTGACGCATCCGTACACATCTGGGGTACCATGATATAAGTATAAATATCATGTGAGACAATATTTCATTAATAAAAGATATAACCATCTGATATTAATCTATCAATGACTAAATAATTATATATCGAACATATATACGTATGTTTATACAGTTTTTCTCAAAATATTCATCGCTCTATAATAATCATGCAATGCACAACTATATTAATGATCTAAGTTATCACTAAGCAAACAATCGTGCAACTATTAATTGAATACTGTAATAATGTACTCGTATATAGAATGGATCTTAGAGCTAAATGTAGTAAAGAAATGCTATTATATTCCATAAATTACTATTTCGCTGATCACATAATAGAAGTACTGTAATTTTATGGTCTTTTATAATTTTGTTACGTTGCTCTCTTTTTCGCTTGCTTCCTATCGAACTTTTTGATAAGAATTCTTCTCCATTACTTTTCTCATTGTCCGAATTATTTGAAATTTCCTTAATATCCGTGCACTTTTCTAATTCTCGGCAGCCTTCATGTTCATCTATATTTCCGAAATATAACCAATATTAAACTAGTATTAACTTTAAAGGCAAACGAAACTAGAAGCCAATAAAAAATAAGCTTTTAGTGCTGGAGAAGGATAAATTTATATTTTAATTTAATCACTCAGTTGAATTTGTGCAATATTTATTAATGGCTCATATTTAATCTATAACTTGGCCGATTATTATAAAGTATCTCAAACAATATAATATCACCTTTGATTTATTACTGTTTTAATTCCATGCACGAATTATCTGTTTAAATAAGAACTATGATATTTGCCTCAATCTTTGCAATGATCGACTTATATTTTTCCATATTCAAAACGATAATACAACCATCAACTTTTAATTCTCTCTATCCTACCATTATCTTGCAATCAAAAACTGTTGGAAATTATGATATTAGTATCTTCAACTATAAAATTGATAAAACCAAATTTATAAGATCACTACATACTGCTACTATATATGTTCCTCGATTATCTAATCGTATTTCTCAGATTGATGGTATAACGTTATAACAACCAACAGTCACATAGATTATTAGTAATAGCCAGAGAAAATCACATAGCAGTCTATATCACTAACCCATTTCACTTGTTTTTCGTTTACGGGAGGTGCTATTGCTGTTAGAAAGATAATAGGTATTGAGTTTTTTCTTCACACTATCAGTCGATGATTTAAGAACATCTTTTTCACATGTTGATACTGTTGATAGATCAGGGGAAGTAATAGCTTGATTTGACGGTATTGATTTGATATCCTTACTAGGTAAGGGCGACGAAAACCATGCTATAGAAAGGTATAACAATTATAATTAGACATTGTAAATTGGATTTTTTTCTATCCGGAAAGCATTAATTAGCTTTAATAGTAATCTTGCAATACTACACTATAAAATACAGAATGATTACAAAAACTTTCACAGTTCATTTCGGTTGTAAGGTATTATTTTAGGTTCCGCCTGTAATATCTAGGCAGCAATTGCCTTGATAAAGCATTCGAAACTTGCTAATCGATAGAGGCACTTAACTATATTATCGAATGATATAGTACAGTAATATAGTATGCGTACTAATGCTTCTTAAGTTATCTCATAACAACCTTACATACCGCTATCCGACATCCACTTCATTATTATTCGGTACACAGTCTACAGTAAGTAATTGATAGCCTACTAAATTTATTTACTTTCGAAATAGCTATAACTAATCCTGCAACTTTTTCAAATCTTTAATCATGTTTCGTGGCGAAAGTGTTTTATTAAGACAGAACATATCAAATTGTAATGTAACTAGTATTGTGATTGTAGACTATTAGCCATGTGTAGTATAATGTACGGTAGATATTTATCCTAAGAGATATTTGGTAGCTATAACTATAGACTGTAGTGGTAGAGACTTTATGCTAGAGTACAGATGACTATATACAGTAACGTGTTGAGTTACTAATAAGCTATAGGTAAAAATAGAACTGTAAATCATATATTAGGATATGGTTAATTTATTGTACTTTGGCTGGTGTGAATAATGTCTACGTAAGTACTGTCTAGTCGTATCCATATTGGATAAATGATGGTCCGCAGTAGAATAGTCTTACTAAGAATAATTTAACTATGAGTAAAATAAGGTAAAAGGTTGCCATACGGATTGTAGCTGCGAATGCTACGGAAAGTATAAAAGCATGCAACTTTAGATTATTCTGTTAGTTCGTTGTAGAAGTCTTTAGTAGTAGTATTCGGCTAAAGTAGAGCTGTGTGTAGTTGATCTTTGTATAAGATTCAATAAAGCCCTTATTTTTCTAAAATTTGGAATTTCGTGATTGGTATATATCACACAAATTTAGCCTTAATCAATAACTATAGCGCCAGTGATGTTCATCGTCATCATTGGCGAAATTTTCTTCTACATTAAGGTTTTATCATTGAAGATTTCGGTAATCAAAGTTGGGAAACCAATAAACGAAATTACCTGAATTCCAACCTTTCATGTCTGCTAATTTATTCTTGGCACGGCATTTAGTGTTGGCGCATTTGATTATTTGCGCTACAGAATTACTAGGCCAAGGTATTAATTGATCACATTTTAGGCAGGGAAAAAAATATTCGCAGTCAATTTCTTGTTGCTCAGGATGAGCATCTTTCACAATTTTCGATAACAGCGTTTTAAAATGAATGCATAATTGATCATTGCTTGGCAATTCTGAAATTTCCTCCGTTGCAATCTGGTCATTTTCTTTCGATTCATCTATATCTTCATAGTAATACTGAATTCTAATGTGTGATCCACTCTTTTCTACTATAATATCATAATTCTGTTTTGACGAGTACTTCGCTCTATGATAATGTACAGCACTATAATCATCAATGTCAATTTCATCCTGTTTGAAACTGACATCAAAAGGTGCAATGTAAACATTATACTGAAATTTGAAGGGTTGATAGTATGAATGATTGTCAAAATTCCAAATTTTAGCAAAACGATTATCATGGTAATATTTACTCCTCTGATAGAATTTCTGGAAACATCGCGAGAAAGACGGTGAAGATAAATGTTTAGCAGTTTCCTTAAGTAAGCTGATAATATTATTATCAGTATAGTTAGTTCTGGTGATTTCGTTATCATTATCATTAAGGTGATAGCCTATATCGATGTTATCAACTGAAACTTTATCACTACTTGGAACGGTTATTCTACTTTTATCACTAGGCTGATCGTTGCCTTTTTCAAGAGCAGTAAAAAATATCCTTTGCAATTCGGAATTTCTTGATATATTTCCCTGCTTTTCTATGACTGATAGTACTTTACTATCAATGAAAGATTGTATGTCAAAAATAATTTTTTCGTCCGAATTACTAGCTTGTTTTATACTATCCAAGTTGATTAACACCGGTGCCCCATTAGAAGAACTTTCTGGCTGTTTAGTTAGGGATTTATAAATAAAAGATTTCCCATCGTGATTTGGCCCAATGAGCATAATATTAGCAAAGTTATTTAAGCATTCACCGCCATCAAATGCTGTTTCATAGGCTTCTTGAAATTCTTTAATAGCTGTCCCTTATTTTGAAATTTCAGTATTAGTCAAGAAATAAATCTTCTATTAAAATCGAAGCCTGAGCAGTTGTCCGTTATAAGTTTTTAATTTAATTAGTAGTTTATCCAATTTCAATTGAATAATACAGTATCATACATTATTTAATCAGCCAATTATTTAATTAAGCAATTTATCATTATTCATGGTATTTCTACCCTTTTCAAAATTACAACAAGCAGACACGAAGCTAATTCTATATCAGCTACATATTCGCATAAGAAAAAGTTACCATATCAAATCGATATGTTGCAAGACCTAAAAATTAGTCAATGGAAAGCTGTAATGAGATAGGCTGACTTTGTACTCACTGGCTATGGTTAAAACAGAGCTTTCGTCCCTATTTTTCATACTAACGAATTTCCTTGCAGTAGTTTTTGGCTCAGATAATTTACTCTGGCTATGACCTATTGACCAGATAATAAATTGCTAATTAACTTTCGTAATAAAGTTATACAACCTTGATAAGACAATTTTGTTTACCGTTGTTCGGTAGTAAACTTCTAACATTACTACAGTAGAGGAAAACTATTAAACTGATGAATAGGTATCGATACAAACCAGTTTTAATAGAGTTTAAACCGTTGATTTCAGGTTCAGATGCATTTAAATTCTTGTTACTTGCATTTGGTGGAGCCAATTCGCTCCTACTCTCTGACAGTCTGGCTGTATCTGTTGGTAGTTTTAATAATTTTAATTTAATTCAGCGAATTCGCAGTTTTTCTTACGTTTCATAATCATCAAATGTAAAGCATAAATAAACATTACTCCTTTCAAAAACTGTAGTCAAGGTTATGATGATCATAATCCTGCAATTTTTTTATCATAAATTTAAATGCAACTTTGCACCTAACAGCCTAATAAAACGTTAGCCGTAGTCATTGAACTTCAATCACAGCAAAAATGATATTTAGACCATTTAAAATCATTTATTTTCCCACCGCTCACATTTTTGAAACTCACTTACCAGTTATTACTTTACTGGTTAATAGCTTCTCATTAGCGATTCTTTCACCTCTTTCTACAGCTTACCATTTATAGATAGAAAACGATGATTAATAAACAAGTACCGAGCTCTACAGTTGACAATTGACGTACTTAGCAGTTGATTCACGAAGCACATTGCTAGTTTGGCGTTCTTGTCTGGAATGAAATAGTTCATCTAAAAGATAAATCGATCAGAAGATGAAAAATTTCTATACATTATTTGCTAACAACTTCTTATTTCGCCGGAGTTGTACATTAATAATTCTACAATTTTTCTGTAGTTAGGAAACGTAGCCTAGAAACCGTAACTGATATTGCATAGCGACTGAAATGATTAAGCTAGATCATTGCAACGGATATGAAGAACATACCAGAAGATAAAAACCTGATCTTCGTTGTCATCAAATTCGAAATCTTCAATATCAATAATGAGATTAATAAAACTTAGCTTTAAGCTGCCCTTTCATATCAAATTAGGTGAGCTTAAGTAAAATTAACTTATTTCTAGAATTAGGGTTAGGGTTAAAAATAAAATTTGGTACTACCGCTTATATTTTAATTGCTAATATGCTACAATCATGTAGTCTATCTAAAAATGGTTGCCGGGTTATGATCAGGTCCAGTTTACGAAAGCATGCACGTATTTCAATTCAAATTCACAACAATTGAATTATATGTCACTCTTAAGCCTGTCTCTTTTTTCCAAAGTGTTCTTGATAAATACCCCGCTTAAAGCCAAAACATTTTCTTAAACACTACACTGTCCAAATTACCTTATGTAACATCTATGCATGATCAAATATTGTAGCTACGTCATAGGTGCCGTATACTACTCTTATGCTATAGAGATCAGCATTATGATTTGTAACGAATTATGATAGGTAAAACGTAATAATCTAGACAAGTGCAATCAGTTTACCATATCATGATAAAGATAAGACATGCCTATTTCGCGTTAAGCTTGCTATTGCTGTCAGTGAAAATTATATAGAAATATTCGAGGAATATTAAAACGGTTACCACTAAATACAATTCTCTTTGACCAATCAATAGGCTAGGTTTCTCTTAACGTACGATATTTTACGCTGTGTAGATCGTAAAACTATTTCAAATGGCATTTACCAGACAATAAACGAAAAATTATTAAAATAACATTGGATTAATGACATATTGGATATAAATCCATTGAATAGACTTACGTGAAAAAGAATCTGATAAATCGATATAGCTTATACTTCGGTGCATTACATCCTGCTTTTGCGAAATTGGGACAAAAGTTTTGGAAGTCGCCGTCTTCTGGTAATTATCGTCTTAAATTTATAATCATTAATTTTTTAAGCTTAAATTGCATAAGTTAGCCGGCAGGTGTAGTTAATGACATAAATTTTTTACTAGTTGACTTCCGCTGAGAATGGTCTTTATCGTTACTTTCGTTATACCCTCGAATTCTTTTATCTAAAGTAAATTGTATTATTTCTAGTTGGGTCATAATATTCTTCTAATAAATATGGATATTTGACCAGAACTGTGAAAAGCCAGTTAATGCTCTTAAGCTATTGTGATTAAGTGTCTTCTCAAAAATATAACAAGAACTACAGTTTCTTGTAAGCTTCACTTTATTACAAAAGATTAGGTTCGTCTCACAACTATCAAGGACTATCTAACTGCACTCAGACTATCTCTGGACTATCTAAATTATTACAGCAATATTCACTATTTATATACTGTACAATAAGTTACACAATGATTCTCTTTCAAATACAATCACATCTTACCAGTTAAGTTACAAGTCCATATCTATATTTACTATCACGCTATCAATTCCTAATTTGCACTTCTAATTAAAGCGTCGTAATACAAATCTCATTTGGGGCTTCACTACAGCTATGTACTTCTAAAGCATTCGATTTAGTATTACTACTTACTAGTCTTACTATTTCTGTTCTTCACAGGTGAGATATTGGCCGTGGTATCTTTCATATTTGACTTTTTATTGTTTATTCCACTGGTAATACCTTTTAATTAAAAATCAAGGATATGTTAGATCATAATGAAATTCTTTTCCGGAATTTTTTTCAATTTAAGTGGCAGAAAGGTGATACTTTCTAAATTAATTCTATGGAAGATAAATATCCTGCAAATAAACTAAATAATATTTGTATGAACGTCTGCTTCCAAGATAGCACGCAATTCTTGTCTACAATAACACGGAATACATCGTATTGTACATGTTTGGGTCACAAATAAGAGTTTCAAATCATTTTTGGTTTTATTACAACCTAGAAGACTTGTTATCCAGTACAAAATTCTAATCTTATATTTCCACTTGATTGTAAATCAAGATTCAAACTACCTGTGTATGATCTAAGCGTATTCTCCGTTACCAACATAAATTAAGTTATTTTAATACGTAACTTCATTGTCATAACACATTTTTAAGCAATTATCAGAGCTGTAACCTATTGCTACAGATGCCCTTGCGGCATTTAAAACAACACAATACTTATAGAAATTTTGTAGTGTAGTCAAACACAGCTTATTACTCGTGCATAAACTAACATACAATTTGTAATCGAGTGCGAAAAATTATTTGGTTTATCTTCTTAATACAACTATGTTGTACCTGGGTGATCGCTTGAATTATCAGACAGTATCCTGACATTTGTCTCCCCATCGTTACCTTTATTACTACTTAATGGTTCCTCTATGAATTTAGCTATCTTATCAATTTCGTCCTTCAACCACTGAAAGTCTTCTATATCTTGTTCATTGCAACTATTTCCATTATTTCCACTATTTTCGCGATTTATCAATGAATATGGACGGCCTGAAAGTAATTTATATATCTTGCGTAGTTTATGATAAGTTGTCTTCATTTCTTCATATGGCTTTTTTTCTTTATATCTACTAAGCCGCTTCTATCTAATGCTAGAATGCTATCGCTACTGCGTATATATTTTTCCCATCTAGTCTCACTATAATAGGATCTCACAAAATCGATTTTATGCTTATCGCAGATTTCTTTCCGAAATTTTAAACTTTCCATGTACTCTTTCTTAGAGGCGTCTAACTTATTAAGACTCTTATATAATTTTGCAATTTCATCTCGAATATCTGCAATCAACAGGCGGCGATGGTTTGATATTCCATTTAGAATTTCCTTGGATTTTTCTAAATTTTCCTTTACTGTTTCGAATCTGGATTTTTTAAAATTTTCCTTTGCTGTTTTGAATCTGGATTTTTCTAAGTGTGCTTTTCCGATCCCATAGAAAGCTTTACTCAATTCAACTTTATTTCTATACGTATCTTCTGGGACATTAACAACCCTTTTGTAAAAGCACTTTGACCCTCTAAAAGAATTATAATCACTTTCCCTGTCTTTCTTACGCTTGACTTTTCTAGTTCTGAGAGATATTTCACCCAAAATGTTATTAATTTTTGCCCAAAATTGATAATCTTTGTATTCTTCATAATCTTTATTTTTTTTTATTACTATTTTGAACCAGTATTTAGCTTCTTTTAATTGATCTATAGCAAAGTAAGCTTTTCCTAAATATTCCGCTGAATCTATTCTGTGCCAACTATTATCTTTAAAGTTTTTCTTCTTGATTCTATATGACCGCCAAAAGCAATCTATAGCTCGAAGATAATCACCCTGCATATAAAATAGATTGCCAATGGTATCATTAAGTAAGGCCAACTTGACTGTTACCTTATTAAAGATTGGTATGTTTTTGTTTAAAGATTATAACTATTTCTGTTAAGTTAGAAGTAATGCTTTACCGATTAGATAGAATTATTAACAATGCGTATCACATCACATTGTCGTTGCAGGCATATATAGCTTATTAGATTGTAGTGAATGGGTTCTGTAACCCATAAATATGCAATCTACTAACGTCAATTAAGATATTAGATTTGAATAAATCCCTAATGTGGCAAAAATAGTCCGGCATCGCATTTAATTTTTGTGGTATTATTTAACGATAGAACGTCTGGTAGAGAAGAATTTACCTATCTTTTCTCAAATAGCAATCGAAAGTAATTCAAGAATATAACAAGAACTACAGTTTCTTGCAAACTTCACTTTATTACATAAGATTATGTTCGTCTTACTACTACCAAGGACTATCGAACTGCAATCAGACTATCTCTGGACTATCTAAATTATCACAGCTATATTCCTGATTTAAATACAATTCGTCACACTATGGTTTTCCTTCAATCACAATCATATCTTACAAATTAAGTTACAAGATCATATCTAAATTTACTATCGCGCGATCAACTCATATTTTGCACTTCTAATGAAAGTATCACAATACAAATCTCACAGTACTCACATACTTAGCGCAACCTATTGTAATCTCAGATCTTTATATAAACATCTCAATATAGCCGCTACAATACGAACTGTAAACGCCTTCTACAAATAGTCACTAAAGACAATCTTACACTCTAGCGTACAGATCAGCCTATTCTCGTAAATCTTAAATCGTAATCTAAGCTACATTCAGGGCTTTTTTTACAGATACTTATTAAGCTATCCTACTAAGATATTTCCTCTAAACTTAGGAATGGTACTTTGAACCTTAACAACCTTGAAAGTGATAGATACAATTTAGTTTGGCTAGCTGGCAATTACTATTTTAATCTATCTAGTCCTAAACTACTGTAAGGTTATCAACTGTTAAACACTAAAGTTCCAATTCAGGAGACCATAATACATTTCTTAAACATAGACATATATAGCACGTAACGTAGAAATAAGGTGCAATTCACGAAGTCTGCTTTCGTGAAATATCTCAGTTGTGCTGCAATTTGACCAATCTTTCGGATATTAAAACTTACGCTCTTAATATTACAACAAGTTTTAAATTCACTCATATAACTAAATCAATTCAATTCATACAGCACCTATCTAATACTACAATAGCACAATAAACATAGTTATCTGCAAGATAAAATTTATCCTGTAAGCAATGATATAGTAATCAATTTCAATTCAAAATATTATTGTAATGCTATAAAGGACTATAACTGCTGTGCCTGACTAAAACTAAAAGATATCCTTAAATTCAGCATTTTATTTTAGCTATAGCTAATTTCAATCCACAGTCGGTATATGCTGTATGTACATAAAATATACTTAGATCGCAATCTATCTAAAATTTGATCTTGGATATTTTCCATGTAGGAGCAACAACTACATATATAATGGTTGTAAGCAAATGTATTAAAGAAGTTATTGTTAAACATTATTCAGAGATTGCTAAAGACGTCCCCATAGCAGATATATTATATGATTTACGAGCAACAGCAATATTGTCTAATGAAGAAGTCAGCAAATTGAGAGATCACTGTAAATCTGACCAAGATCGCGCCTTTAAATTCCTAAAAGTACTAGAATCAAGAAGCGATAGGAATTTTTATCAATTTTGTACAATATTACAACACAGCGATATTAAAAATGTGCAAAATCTTGGTAACAAACTGGAAAGAGCAGCTACCGCAGTTGTGCAGAAACAAAGTAAGTCCATTGCTTGACAACATAAATATTTTGTCAAGACATTAGAAAATTGCCCTTAAGATTTGATTGAAGATTTATATTGTTAGATTTTTAAATTTAGATTGAAAAAAAATAGTAATGAGTTTTTAGATAGTTCATCTTGGCGTCTAAAAATAATGAATGGCCCTGAATATTCTTTTGTTATCACTGAATGATAACTTATAAAATTCAGTACAATTTTGTCTTTCTTAGGCTAAGGATAACTTGTAGCGTTTTTATAATGTTACATTGGGTAATATTAGTTACCCAAATATTATACTGAATGCAGTGCGCTGAAAATTATACTATACCGTGGCTATCAAAGACTGTACGTCTTCGTTATTATTAGTCAAGCAAAATAGAATTTATTGCACATATCTAGAAATTTTTATTACAATTTATTGGTATCAAAATAACAGTATAGAATACATCCACAAGCATTATAATCAGTCTTAATCACTTACTGTTTAATTAAAAATAATTGATCATTACGTCGAACATTTTTTAAAGAAGTTTATACAATTGAATCGATCATTCAGTAAGCTTTTTATTCCTTATTTACGAAATGTAATCTTAGTTAGTGATGGGAACTGTCATGTGACTTTCCCTGGCTATCAGCAACGATCTGTACGGCGGATTAATAGTTAGAGCGTTATCATCCATAAGAAGACTTTAATTAAAATATCTAGAAACATTTATAGTAGCAGTATGATATGATTTAATAAAATTTATCGGCGTCAGTTATGCAGCAAAGCATATCAATATTATAATTTCAAATAATTTTTGCTTGCGCTACAATGCTGCAGCACGGTGTATTAACAGACAATGGTTTCACTTTCGTTTAGAATATAAAATAGTATAAGTTGATCATTGTAGATGGAGACATAAATACCATAGCCCCTCGTTAAATTGATAACATATGTATGAGGTCAAGACAGAAAGAAATTAAAAGTTGATGTCACATCATTTGAGAAATTTAATGGTAAATAGCAGATGATAGATTAAATTTGGATTAGATCTCATAACCTTAGTGTGAAATAGTAATCATTGCACACGATATTGGATTTATAAATGTTTTATAATAAGTAGTTCATAAATATTACATAACTTAGACTGAGCCATTAAATCAAAGGATAAATTTATCTTTCTCCTAAATTGAAATTTTTTCTTCAGTGGCTTTTAGTTCAGGTTACTTTTTTAGTTAGTATTAATTGATATTTACTGTCTTGTTTCGGATATAAATGAGAATGAAAGCTTTCAAAAATCAGAAAATAGCACTGAAAATAAGGTAATTTCATTTCATCCAGGCAATGAGAAAATTAGTGAAGAACAACTTTTACAACAAAGCAAGATCGGGAACAAGCGAAAAAAGACCTAGGTAAAAAAATAATGGATCATTTTAGGATAATTCTTAGCAGCTACAACATCGCATTTGCTGATAAGCTATAGTTTATATCGTTGATCTGATCCTTCATCAAATTTATTATATCCTATTTACGAAATGTAATCTTAACTCGAACAGATTTAAATAGAATATAATTTATTATTTGCTTCGGAAATTCTTACATTTTTAATTTTATTAAATAATTACTGGCATAATGATAACTAATACAAGGCTGTCCAAATGTACTTTTGTTATAGGAAGTGAAGACGAAAATGAGTCTGATCAATTTGATTCTGCACCTGGTAGTCCTGAAGAGACGAGTAGTAGCGAAAAATTAGAGTCAACATCATCAGTCTTTGCTGATAGAAATAAAAGGAAGCGATATTCCTCTTATCATTTATCAGAGGCTTTAAGTCCAGCTCACAAGCGATCAAATGACTCTGATAATGGTAAGTGAGTTTGCTAAATACTTTTTTAATGATAGCCCTTAAAAGTTAGGATATATTTTAGTGTCAAAAATAAATTTAATTTCCATGTTATTTCCATATCTAAATTTATTATATGGAAATAACAAACAATATTTAACGTGCACTCTATTAATAGAATAATGGTAGCTCACCGCATTCATTTTTAATTTGGATTAGTATTTTACGTTTATGTCATGGATTATTACTGCAGTTGTAATATAGAAGCCTTTCTACTGCTGTATGATAAGTGAAGAAATTTACTTTTTCTTTTGTGAGGAAACTAGCTGGTGCTGTCGTTCTCGTACTAAATGTTGCAAATTATGATTTGTGACTGTCGTAGTCAGCCCACGACAGGGAGACCTGGGCCTTTGAAGTTGTATGAATGCTAGAGCTACAACAGCCAAGTATGCCCCAACGGGCTAAGCATATACTAGTCTTAGACTTTTAAAATAGTTTTATTGAGTGAAGGTAGTCTTGCCATCCAAGACTACTCTGACCCCACGGTCAACCGACAACTGAACTCACGGTCAATCGACAACTGTCCTGCTAGTGAGAGCGCTGGGCTTTATATACCCTAGCTCGGTTGCACTCGGTGCACAGCTTAGGTAAACAACTCTAAAACATACAGCTTTTGTATAGCCGACTGTCTATATAGTTTAGTATGGCAGACGGCGTAAACAACACTAATGAGTTATGAACTAATTAAGGGCCAATTAACAACCAAAGGCTCAGCACAAAGTAACAGAAATTACTATTGTGTGAATATTACTTATCACCTCTGTAAATACATTGCTCTGCACAGTCTACAACAAGTATAACTAGACTACTAATAATGTTACAATTATCCCATAGCTAATAAATAAATGTTATTAACAATTAATAAAATCTTAATTACTAATTACTAATTACTAAGGCTAATGCCACAATTAATTGACGGAGTCTATACTCCGTCATAGTCAGTGATTTAACCTCTTTGATTATTCAATTGATCTAACGTTTTAATTCCGACTTCCTGTGTCTATAGGTAGAATATACTTATGAAATGGGCAAGAATTGCGTCAAATTTTGATAACGTTAATAGCAATGCATAAACCTAACATCCTTACAAAGAAATCTAAATTTATGAACTAAATTGTATTAAAAGTAGCTGGAATCAAATAATAGCGTAAACCAAAATGATTGATCAAACCTCCATCGCTATATCAGACATTCTTCTTGAGCAGTCGAAGGACTAAATAGAAATATAAAATACAGGAAATGATTACATAATTTGACTAAAAATAATTTAGATCAAAATAATAAATCTTAACAATTTATTTATTTTGCAACTGAAGAAGATAGTGTAAATTAAAGATAGAGCTAAACAGTGTCAGAAAAGCCTTTGTACAGATAAGCTTGCCTACACTCTTTGCTATTGCATATCTGAAATCAGCAATTTATTCAACATTATAAAATATTATTATTCAAAATATTGGCGATAAGTTTATTTGAATTTGTTATTATATAAATGTACATGTGTTACGGTTCATCATTACCGTAAATAAAAAAAAAGATATTTATTCATATTTTTTCTAATGTAGAGTTGTGATATGTTAAGTTGTTAATGGATTTTCATTAATGAATGTGTGATAAAGATTGTCACACTTGATTAGTGAGTTGTTAAGTAACAAGTCTAGTTGATTTGTTAATTGGAGTAAGAGTGGCAAACACTCAATATTAATTTACATATATTTATTCTATACTGACTATCATAAATACTTATATGTTATACAAAATCAAGTATATTGTAAATAGAATTATGCCGATAGAAACTGGCACAGGTATATAAGAGCGTGCCTTTAATCATAGAAGGAGTTCTTATATTACATTGCCTAGTAGTATATTCTATCGTTCGAATAAAGAGGATTTATGAAGTTATCTGGATATTCTTACTGCTAAATAAGGTCTTATACTGAGCTGGTCGAGTTAGTGAAGCTTATTGGCAACGGTATATTACGGTAGAGCGGTTACGCTAGAAATAATTAGTTACTTAAGCCACAAATGACGTTAAGACAGCATGTAAAAACACAATAACTGACTGCCCTTATGAAAACACCTAATAAATTACTAACAGTTGCGAAACTTATGCGTATCCTACTACCATTTCTATACCTTCAGTACTATAGCTACCCCCATCATCATGGTGGTGCATCACACGAACATGCATCACTCTGATCCTTGTACTAACGCTTGCTGAAAGCAGCTCACAACGAAGAAATGTTCTATTTATATCTTGATCTAAGATATCTAAATAAGTAATCGGAGTTAACCATAGGAGAGTTCATCACAAAGTAAGATGCTGGATAAAGTGCTTTCAATGGTAAAGAGCAAATTGTTAATGGAGCAAGCTACATAGCTAAGAAATTTAATCATATTCTACGAATCACCTCTTTAGCTGATCATATAACAGATTTTCAGGTGATTTTACTGTCTTCGACATTATTATTACTTCATTCTCTTTTTCGCTTGTTGCCTTTCCTACTTTATCGTAACTGTTATTCCCTTTCCCTTTTTCCATTGCCCTAATCACGCATAATATCCCTATTATCAATGCTATTTTCTGATTTCTGGGAGATTCCATGTTCACCTACGAGTACATATCCGATATAATACAGCAAATATTAAATTAATACTGGCTTCTAAACAAACTTAATTAGGAGGCGTTGAAGAAAAGGGTTTTAATTTAGAAGAAGGATTAATTTATGCTTTAGTTTAATCGCACAGCCATTACAGAATTATATAAGACCCATTTGTGAGAAAATGTGTTCTTTATTGCGTAGCATAAATCCTATAAGATTAAAATTAATTATTGGTACTTTAGATCAGCGTGTAAGCTGTTACAAAGGACATTAGCTAAGAAAGTGGAAGAAATAAATAATATAGCTGCAAAAATAGTCAAAATGCGAAGTTTTTATTAAAATTCAACATTAAAAATTTTATGGAGGTATTTAGGGCACAATAAAACTGTTTGCAAATATCTCTAGGCAAATAACTTTTGCGCCAAGTTTTGTCTAAGTATAGCCACATAAAGATATTACTTATGTCGCTTTTACAAAGCAGCTCCATTATATACCGTGCATTATCTTTTTTAAATGCTAAAGCTACTTATTAATCCACAAAAAATAACCGAATAAATTTCAATTTACTGAAAAGAAGAATAAAGCTTGGATTAAGGATGAGTTATTTCCTCAAGCTTTCTTGTCAAATTACGTTAACAAAATTAACTGGCGTAACCTGTTAAAGCCTAAATCTAAAAGGCAATTTCGACTGGACATTGCAATCATGAACAAAATTAATTACTTACTGTATAAGCCCGTATTCTTGAAACTTTAATGAATTCGTTCGAAATTTTGTCATAAAATCTACTTGCTACTGGTTACAAAAAATAAAATCTTGAAACTTGCCACAATGTATATTCCGTACACTGAATCCCCTCTGATAATATATTTTCAAAAAATAATTATCATAAAATAATTATGCTTTGGCATAATTTAAACTTTGTAATAAAAATACGTAAAGTAAACAGACTTTTAAGTAGGTACTGATTTAAACCCTCTATTACTGAAAGTCAAATATACTCAGGTAGGTACCTTGCAGATAGAATTCTTGTTATCACAGAAACATCTACAAATTCACACAGCTCAACTTAAGTCAACTCTAAATGTTCCCTTTATATAGGAACCATTTACCTTGCAAACAACATTGATATTATTATTCTACCTTAATTTCAAGGTAACACGATAACATGTCTGTACCGCTAAGCATTATTACGAGGGCTAGTAAATTTGACTTCACTATTCTTTAATTTGGGATTGTTTTAAAATAGTGCTTAAGTGCAGCTCCAAATAAGTTTAAGACTAAGATTAAAAGAAAGCATATAATCAACTGCAGTGAACTATAACATCTACGTTATCTTCGCCCTGAATTTTTAGGTCGATCTCTGGAGCTAGATTATACAACTTTATAGCATAATCATATCTTTTCAGTAAGTGATAGATGTTCCCTATGTCATAGTATGTTCTAGAAATATGAAGATTATTAGGATTTAATATGGCTAACCGAGTTCGTAAGTAGTTCTGATCCATAGAAAGGGCTTCAAAATACAGGCTCTGTTTTCAGCACACGTATCCAAGTCAGGCATAGAAAAATGACACATCTAGGCTTTCCTCTCCTAGAGCTTACTGGCGAATTATTAAGGATTTCTAGTATAGAACTGTTGCTTTCTGATTGCATTGTTAAAAAGCATAAATTTCTGCCATATTGTAATAAGATCAGAAAGAATCAACAAAATTCACTCCAACTACAAGCAAGCGGATTTTCTGGGATTTCATAAACATAAATAGGGCTGCATCTAAGCGACATTGAGCCTTATAGACAATACCGATATTGTCTAAGCAGTATGCAACATCTGTACTACTTTGGCCAAAGTTGATCAGAGGAATTTGAAGCGATTTTTGATACTTAACAAGAGCTTTGTCAAATTGACCTTCCATCTAATGCGAGTACGGTAAGCAATGTAATACTAAGATCTTTCTGCATATAAACTATACTCTTTTAGTAATTTCAACCGCATATCTAATGATTTTGCAAAGATCTTTCTATCTAGTTTGTATCTTCTTGTAATACTAAGATCTTTCTGCATATAAACTATACTCTTTTAGTAATTTCAACCGCATATCTAATGATTTTGCAAAGATCTTTCTATCTAGTTTGTATCTTCTTTGATATGCGATTACTAATCCAATATCATCGTGAGACATGGAAACTAATAAGTTAGTTACTTCTACTAATTTAAACCAAAAATTAAGCAGTTTTCGCAGCATTTGCAAGGAATGATCATATTCCTTATTTCTCCGATACATAATGCCTAAGTTACGGTAAGCTTCTACCGTATCCAAGTGATACTCGCCTAAAATCTGAATCAGCATAAAATATGCACTATTACTTATAGTAGTAGATTGATACCAAAGACATTTCAAACCGAATAATGGAGCTAAATGACCTAAGCATCTAGCCGTTCGTAAGTCATTCTGTAGTTCTTCAGATAAAATTTTAGTTTGCATACAATAATGCATGGCTTCTTGGTATTTTCCTAGTTGTGGAGAGATTTTCGATATATCGAGATATATATCGCATGCTAGCAGATGATTTGGATTTGTATTTGATGGACAATCTAAATAGCCAATTGTTGCTACCACTTAGAGATATGTCGATAACGCGCCTTGAAAATTTCCTAGACAATCTCTAGCCAAGCTAGCGGATCGAAGCTTTTTCATTCAAGTCAGATTATTCAAAAAGAAGCAGGATTTTTGCTCGTAGTAATTACCCCTAAGATCAACCGAACTATTCATCTGCATGTTAATTCGTATACATGGTTTACTTATTCGTCAGCTATCCCAATTTAGATTTATATATTATTTTCTTCAACAAAATGCTCAGTAACTGAAATGTACACAAGTTTAGTAAATGTAGGGTATCGTAAATTTTCTGAATGGGTTACTTATATAGCCTTTAGTGGTGTAGTGATCAAAACTAATTGCTTTTGCACTACGAACATAGCAGTACTATACTTGAATGGCATCATCGAATTTTCAATTATGCCTAAAGTAATTGCTCTAGAACTTTAAATTTACTAATGAATTATATAATATAATATAAACACTTACTACAGCAATTAAGTTTTAAAAGTATCAGTAAACTGGCAGTAACAATCACAGCAGGTGATACGATAATGAATTTCTGTGATGAGAAAATTTGGCAAAATGAGTTAGCATGCACTCTACCAACTTAAAATCGTACTATATTCCGTGGAATTTCCATGTGTTTCGCTAATTATTGATTAATAAGGCTAAATTAATATGAAGCTTTAATTGCTTAGAAAGAGATTTCAGCGCCGTAATAATCAAATAAAGTGCAAAATAAGAAAGTAATTCCATCGTATCGTCTAATGAAAAGCTTATTACCAGCATTATCATTATTCTTTTCCCCTGCACAAAGGTAACGTCTCTAGTTACATAATGACGCATCCCAATAAAAGTAATGTTTCGTTATAAGAATTCTATGACCAACCTTACTTGCAAAGGGATCAAACCACAAATTTTTTAGCTTGTAATGGATTTCAAAAGCCAATATATGATAAATACATAGGCGTAATACCGGTACATAAATGACATACTACACTAAGGACTAAAAAGTTCAACATCTTACATAGCGTAATGTAGAGTTCGATAAGTCAACGGTGGTAGATTTAATTGCTACGTAGAGAATAACACTAAGATCTTAGTAGAAGAAAATACTTCATTGTAGACTATAATTGCGTATAATGTGTAGACATGATGAAGCAGCACGTAAACTGCTCGCGAAATAATATGAGAAAATAATAGCAGTGTGACTATTACAACTAACAAAATCTGTAGTATTATAGCTTAGAGACAGTAGGAGATAAAACACGTACAGAGAACTAAAATTCAGGACTAGACGCAGCTTTTACTATAAAAGATTACGTAACGATAAATACTTGCAGAAAATAGCAAAGACGGTAAGTGCTATAAATAATAAAATGCAGCAAGCTATATTTGAATATATCTGGTAGCTAATAGACTGCAAAGATATCGATATTCAACAATACAGAGCACAAAATGTCTATAAATAAGAGAATACGACAGCTTTAGTACGACCTAAATACATAGACATAGAACACCGTAAAGTAGAATGAATTATTACTTTCCAGTTATTTTTAATTTTAGCGTTCACTGTAATACCTATATATTACAGTAGTTTAGCGCATCAATCATATATTCTCATTGGTCGATGTATTCATAGCATGAGATATTTTTTATATAGACTTTCAATTAATTTTCATCACCAGCAGTAAACTTTTTTTCCAATTTTTCTATTATATTTCCAAGTTGGCAACTACTTAAGATTTTGATTAAACGATCCAACTTCGCTTTTTTAGGATATCTACCATACCATTCGTCTAATAATTTCATGCAATTTGAGAATCTTCCATCCATGCTGTCAATAATATCTTCAACATCTGCTGAATGAAATTCCTACTTATAAGCAAATTGTTTCAACTTCTTTCTGGTGATAATTCGGCAATAATCTCAAAGCATTCTCTTCTCTTTTCATCTGAAATGCAAATGGGATAGCATTAAGTTATGGAGCGTAACAGTGTTAGAGTATGAAGTACTACTAAACTGAAATAGCTAGCACACCACATTAGCTATTCTTCTAGATCTCATATCGCAGTTATTGTTATATCAAAATCTATTCTGGGAACACACATACTCTGAAATCTAAGCTGGAATAGCATCTGAAATTTTTTTCTTATTTTCCGCACTAAGTCGCTATTTCAAGCTGTGGTGTGCTTTAGAAACTACGCGTAATTGAGACGAATTGACTATTATTGCTAATTTACCATCTTATAATGCCATCTTAGTAGCTATTTCTCCTTGCCGAAAAGTATTAGATTCTTGTATAATAGGTTCAGTATCTATCAGTTTGTGTTAATAGAAACAGGTCATATACATATGTCGATATGCAATTATAGCAGATATTATAGCATTGTTCTAGTTATAACAGAGCTCTAAATTTAATTTTGCGTAAATAAAAGAGAATGAAATCGTACAGATTAAATTACTTCCACAGATTCTATCAATCTGCTGAATTTAAGCAACTTTGCTTTATCATAACACTATTCTTAATGCATAAATGAGATCTACGTTTAAGCTCTTATCACTACTTGATCAATAGCGACGGTATTAACGAAATGATATAGTATAATTACGATAGTCCGTTAACTATTTTAAATTATATTTTTTTAGTATTGTCATGCAATTGTAAGTCACAAATTATAGAAATCTAGTAAGAATTCGGTATAGGACATAATACGTATCTGATAAATGAATTACAAGAGAGTACTTTTCTAAGAATTTAGTAACATTAGTTAAAAGCCATCAACGACGAATCAAAGACCATACCAATTTTTCCGTAAGACTCTACCTACAAATTAATCACCTTGTTTGTCAGATTCTTTTCTTATCTTATATTCTAGATTTACTTGTAGTGATTGAACTAAATAATCAATATTTTATCAAACGGAATTCTTTAATACAGCTAATCGCGATTTTCCATTAGCGAATGCGGTACATGATATAGTATTAATTTGATAAACGTAATTATCCCTTAGATATATGATCGTAGTTCAATAATTACAAGGAATAACATATAAGTCATGAAATTTTTTGTGTAAACCTGACTAAGTCGCCTATTGACCAAATAGAACAGAATTTTCTTATTATCAATGTTATTTTGTGATCTTAAAAGCCTCTGTACTCATTTATAGGCGAATAATATAGCAAATATTAAATAAATATAAACTTCAAAAGTAAACTGAAAAAGAAGCCTCTGAAAAATGATTTTTAATATTGTAGAAAGATAAATTTATGCTTTAGCTCAGTCGCTCAACTTAAGTTTTACGATGTTTACTTGCTCATCATAAAGCATTTATCAGCTAATATCCTATAGAAAGATTATAATTTCGCATTACAGTTATAAGATCTAATCCAAATTTAATCTATAGATTGCCATTTATTTTTAAGTATCTCCAATGCTTGACAGCGACTTAGATTTCTTACCGTAGTGTCTTAATCCCTTGTATGAATTATCTATTTCACTAAGGACTGCAGTATTTGCATCTATCCTTGCGAAGATCAACTTATACTATTTTATATTCTACACGATAGTACAATCATCATTATTAATACTTGAAACAATTACGACATAGCGCATACAGATTTGTTTGAAATTGTAATGTTGATATCCTTAAAGGTACTGCAAAAGTAACAAAGCTAATTTTATTAGATAATATAGTACAAGATTAACGTAACATATCGTAAAGTTACAGTAAATAGCAGAATAAAAACGGAAATTAAACTTGCTTTTCGTCGAAGTTATGCTATAATAATGCTACAGTATGGTACTTTCCGGAAACAGGAAATAGTTTTGACGTCACAATTGATATCATTTAAAAATTGTAACGTTCATACTAGGTCATTACAACGAATATGAAGGACTTACTGGGAAGTAAATTTTGATCTTTCTCGACATCAATGTTACATTCTTGGATTTTTCTTGACTTTTCTTTAATTTCATCTGCCATATGTTTCATTTTTTCTCCCAATTTTTGTAATGAATTCAAAGAATGCCTTGCTAATAGATCGCAAACCTTATAAATATCTCGATCACTACAACCTAAAAGGATATCCAACAAAGCTGCAGAACGTTCAGCTTTTATTTGTTGTCCATTCATAAAATCAATATCTTCAGGCATTAAGATACCCATTCGTAGCAAAAAATGCTTAATATGATCATATGGCTCCGCGCTCTTAAAGTCTTGACGATAATGCCATAACACTTTACGTATATTGTCGCTTAAAGCTGGCAGACTTTGTGAATCTAAAGCTAGAAACGTTCAAATAGACCCATAAGATAAATCTTGATCATGCTTACTATGCTTATAATATTGTAGATGTAATATATTTGGATTTCACCAACAACATGCTTCTTTTTAGCAACTGTGGTAATGTTGAAAACGAGAACATAAAACGTGAAACATAATTTAATCTACATGTATAACAATAGCATTAATAAATCCACAAGGTATATAGCTATAGAAATAAAGGTAATATCTTATCTAAACAGAAAATTTGATGAAATAAAGTACCGCTATTCTGTTAACAGAATGGATGTTTAATTTCTTTGTTACTTCAACAACATAAACTAAAATAATGGAATAGCAACGGAAATTAAACTTATTCTCCCGACAATAAAACGTATCCTATTCAGGACGGCAATTAAAACTTATTTAGTAAACTCACTAACCATTTGTGTAATCTAATTGCTTGCTAGCTGCCTTGGAACGTTTTCTTTTAATTCCAGAAACTGGTGACATTAGCTCTGAATATTCGCGGCTATTATGCATTGAAGGCATATCAGCAACAGTTTCGCAGTCAGACTCATTTTCGTCTTCTTCTATAATACAAGTACATTTGAACTTTATTATATTATCATTACAATCGTAATTGTTATATAAAATTGAAGATGGAAGAATTCCTAAACTAGAACTTTATTTCTGAAAGCAAACGATAAATAATTAATAAAAGCGTCAGTTTTAAGGTTACATCGTATGTTGGACATTACAAGGTTGCTGAAAGATCAGATCAACTGTATGAACTTTAGTTTATCAATAAATGCGACACTATAACTACGAAGAATTATCCAAAAATGATTCATAATTTTTTACCTCGCTCTCGTTTTCGCCGGTCCTCTATCCGACTTTGTGGTAAGTATTGCTCTCCATTAATTTTTCTCATTGCCTGAATTGAACAGAAAGATCTAATTATCAATGTTATTTGTTGATTCTCGGAAGATTTTATACTCATCTATATTTGAAATAATATTGCAAATATGAATCAATCTTAACCTCCGAAACAGACTGAACTAAAAGCTATGAAGAAAAATATTTAAATTTTGGAGTAGAATAAATTTATACTTTACTTTAATAACCCTGTTTACGTTGTACAATATTTATTAATTGCTCATCGTAAAATATTTATAAATCAATATTGCATGCAAAAGCTACTATTTCACATTAAAGTTATAAAATCTTATAACAAATATAATCTATCAATTATCACTTATTATGAGGTATCTAAAATAATGTAAGAGCTACTCTGATTCCTTTACTATCTTAATTCCATCCATGAATTATTTGTTTAATTAAAGACTAAATTATTTATGTCTATCTTTGCAATGATCAACTTATATTATTTAATATTCTAAACGATAGTATAATCATGAACTTTTAATTCTACACATTTAACACTATATCGTATTCAAAAACTGTTTAAAATTATAATATTAATATCTTTTACTATGTAACTAATGGTGCTAAATTTTATTAGATCATCTCATACTGCTACTATAAAAGTTCCTTGATTCTCTAATCGTATTTCTATTGATGAAATAACGTCATGATTACCAATTGTCATATAGTTAGTTACTTATAGCCAGAGAAAATCGCTTAACAATCTCAATTACTAAACCATTTCACTTGCATTTCCTTTATGAGAGCTGCTATGCCGTTAGAGCGATAATATACCTTGGAATATGTCTTCGCATTATCAGCCGACGATGTTAGAGTATCTTCTTTACCACACGTTGATAGTTTTGATGGATTAGAGAAAGTAACAACTTGATCTGATGATGTTGATTTGATACCTTTACAGGGCGAACGCGACGAAAAGAGTACTATGGAAAGACATACAAATTATAATTAGAAATTGTAGATTGGATTCCTTTCTGTAATATAAAAATTTTGTATTATACCGAATATAGATAGCTTTGCAGTCTGTTTCTACTATACTCAAATATAGTTTGTTATGTTTAGTTATTTATAGCACCTGCAGTCTTCATTGTTTCCTACAATCATTTGCTATTACTTTGTCTGTTTATGGCAAATATCATATCCAATTCTACAATCCTGTTCTCTGCGTGAGTTCTATCTCTTAATTTATAAGTACTGATGATTTATGCCATAGATTCGCCAGTTGAACTAGCCGCAATAGTAGTACTTCCTCACGTTACTTCACGACAGCTCATATGCTGATCTACCGTAACTACCGCATTGTATCTCCGCTATTGTCTACAACACAGTATCCACTTTTATTAAAACCCTTTCCATAATTTCTGAGAATAGCTACCAAATCCGCAGCCGCTGACTCTCCGAACCCTCCATCACACTTTTAAACTATAAAGTGCCAATTAGTTTTAATATCAATCTTGTAATACTGCTCTATAAAGTAAAATTGCAGAAACTTATATATTTCATTTTGAGTTGTAAGGTATTATTTTTGGCTCTATCTGTAGGATCTAGGTAAAAACTGCCTTGATAAAGTATTAGAAATCTGCTAATTGATACAAGCAATTAATTATTAAAGAGTGCCGTATGCGTGCTAACGCTTCTGAAGATACTTCACTGCAGACTTATATACTGCTATATGGCACCTACTTCATTATCATTTGGTGTACAGTTTGCATTAAGTTATCGATTACCTTCTGTAAGACAGTATAATATTGTATTCTAAGTTGATGATATATTTAGTAATGTCTACCGTAGGTGTTGTGTTCAATATGTGATAGATATTCTCGTTAGAGGCTTAAGTATTAAAGATAGCTAGCTTAGTAACTGTAATCCTTTTGAAGAGGAGCGCTACAGTGCTCACACTAGAGCTTCACATGAAAGGTGTAAACTATCCTGTATTTGAGATGCTAATACTAAAGTGTGTAGTAAGTAAGGTGCTAAGACTGTAAACGCGGAAAGGTATATAAGCAAGTAGTTTACTATAGTAAGATAGTTCTTTCTTGTTAATAGAAGACCTCAGCTAATCGATTACGTTGTATCTTCGTAAAGGAGGTTTTGTTCGATAAATCTTAATTTTGTAAAGTTTTGAAGATTCTTGATCTATCAACCTCACACCTTCTAAATTCAAGTATTCTCTAAATAGCTATAAGCTGATCTTGCAACTCTTTCGAGCTATTAATCACATTCATGGAGAAAGTATTTTAAGAAAGAACATATCAAAATCAGTCTTAATCAAGAACTATGGCGCTACTAACTATGATCATCGTAATCGGTGACAAAATTTTCATACTATATGGAGGATTTATTATTGAAACCTTCCGTTAACAGCGTTAGAAAACCAATACACGAAATTACCTGAATCCCAACCTTTCATGTTTGCTAGCTTATGCTTGGTACGGCATTTAGCGTTAGTGCATTTGATTATTCGTGCTGCAACATGACTAGAATAAGCCATTAATTGATCACATTTTAGGCAAGGAAAAAAATATCCGCAGTCAAATTCTTGTCGCTCAGGGTAAACATCCTTCACGATTTTCGATAGCATTGTTTTAAAATAAACATATAATTGATCGTTGCTTAATGCTGAAATTGCTTTCGTTTTAATCTGATAATCTTCTTTCGGTTCGCCTATAATTTCGTAGCAATACTGAATTCTAATATGTGATGCACTCTTTCCAACTATTATAGTATAATTACCATGTTTTGGTAAGTATTTAGCGCTATGATAATATAATTCAACATCCAATTCTGATTGGGATGACAGTAAAAACTGATGAAAGATTTGATCTGTAATATATAGAGGTGAGTGTTTGTCGTAACCTAGATAAAGCCAAGACGATTGAAATCCGCATTTTAATTCGTTGCCTGTTTCTTTCTTACGTAAAGATAATAAATACGGGAGAAAATACTGTTCATATGTACTAGCTTTTATATCCTCCAGATTTCTTGAAGCTTTGTAAATTAAACGATTTTGTTCCATTACTTGTAGCAGAGAATCAATATCTTCTTCCAATAATGCTTCATGACTTATTGCACACTTTACGGAGGCTTTAGTAACGATTCCATAGTCCCTAGCCCATTTGCAATATTCTCTGCTCTTGCTACTGCTGGCAAGACGACGTTGCTTATAATTATCGACCAATGTAGAAATTTTGCGAAAGTTATCGTAAAACCAACTTAATTCTGTAACTATAAGACTATCAGTCTCACTGTATTGACTAAATATTATTTCTCCTATGCCGTGTAAAAATTTTAGAACGTTTATAATCTCACTCTGCTCCATTCTGTTTGTAGCTTTAGTGTAAACTTGTTCTAGTGTCTGAATATATTGCATACCGGTGGAATTCTGCTTATCTAGAGTATGGCTAATATTCCTATCAGATACTAGTATAGGATTATCGAATAATTCCGCCATTATGTACCATTTAAGTTTAATTTTCTGTTTGAAGAACGGAACGTCTAGGATACAATTTTGAATTTTTTCGCATAATTTGTTCCAGCTACTGCTATTGACCGTCTCCTCTAAATCTTTACTCTGATTTCCATCAACTGTATTGATTATTATTTCCGGAGAATAAAAGTGTGATTTATACTGTGGCATTTTCATATCCAACTCATCCATAAATTGACTTCGTCTAGTCCATTGCGCTTCTTCTGTTAATTTATCATCGCTATTAGTGGCAACAAATAGAATGATTGGCAATGGAATTTCGTCCTCTTGACTATCAATGCTAATATATGACTGATTCTCTTTTGTATTCCAATCAATTGCATTAATCAGCCATTCCTGAAATGAAGTCATATAATCATGGCGACCAACACCGTAATCACTACTGACAATTTTATCCAGTTTGACACTGACATCAAAAGGAGCAATGTAAACATTATGCTGAAATTTGAAGGGTTGATAGTAAGCGTGATTGTTAAAATTCCAAATTTTAGCAAACTGATTAGCATGGTAATATTTACGCCTCTGATGGAATTTCTGGAAACATCGCGAGAAAGACGGTGAAGATAAACTTTTAGTAGTTTCATTAAGCAGGCTGATAATATTGTCACTAGCTGTGGTGATTTCGTTATCATTATTATTAACGGGATAGTCTATATCGATTTTGTCATCTATAATTTTATCACTACTCGAAATGGCAATTCTACTTTTATCACTAGACTGATTGTTGCCTATTTCAAGAGCAGCGGAAAAAATTCTTTGTAACTCAGGGTTTGGTGATATATTCCCCTGCTTTTCTATGACTGATAATACTTTATTATCGATGAAAGATTGTCTATCAAAAATAATTTTTTCGTCCGAATTACTTGCTTGTTTTATGGTATCCAAGTTGATTAACACCGTTGTAGCATTAGGAGAACTTTCAGGTTGTTTGGTTAGTAATTTATATATAAAAGATTTGTCTTCATGATTTGGTCCAATAAGCATTATATTTGCAAAGTTATTTGAAAATTCACCACGAACAAGCGCTGTTTCAAAGGCTTCTTTAAATTCTCTTATAGCTGTCCCTGATTTGAAATTTCAATATTAGTCAAGAAATAAACGGTCTATCAAAATCGAAGCCTAAGCAGCTGTCTATTTGAGATTTTTATTTCAATTAGTAGTTTATCTAATTTCATTTGAATAATACTGTATAGCATCGCACGTTATTTGATCAGCTAATCATTTAATTAAGCAAACTATCATTATTAATGATCTTTCTACCGTATTTAAAATTATAACAAGTAGGAATGAAGCTATTTCTATATCAGCTACTTATATGCTGAAGAAATAATTGCTATATCAAATCAACATGTTGCAAGACCCAATAATTATTCCATGAACAAAGTGAAGTGCGATAAATTGACTTTGTACTCACTAGCTATGGTTAAAATAGAGCTTTTGTCCCTAACTTTTACACTAACAGATTTCCTTGCAGTAGTTTTTTGCTCGGATAATTCACTCTCGCTATAATCTATTAATAAGATAATAAAATACTGATTAACTTTCGTCATAAAATTATACAATCTTCATTAAGTAGTATTAATGAGCTGTACTACCTGATGATGATGAAGTTAGCAATAGTCCAGTCACCGCACATTGACGGTATTTGCGTTTTGTCTTTGATGATATAAATATTTTACGACTTGCCATTTGCTGCGAATAGCCTTCATCGTCACTTTCGCTATACGCTCGAATTCTTATACCTAAATTAAATTTCAATATTTCTAGTTAAATCTTTATACTCGTCATATAAATACGGATATTTGACCGGAACTATGAACGGCCAGTTAATAAACATTAGCTATTTTAAATAGTATTCGGAAGTCTCGGTCTCAAATACGTCAGCAAATATCGACAATTATGTCTAATGCATTCGATTAAGCAATACCACTTATTAGTCGTACTATTTTTGCTATTCATAGGTAAAATATCAACTGTAGTATCCTCTATATTAAAACTCTTATTATTTGTTACACTAGTGCTACCTGGCAATTAAAAATTAAGAAAATATTGGTACGTCATTGTTACAGAGTTATACACTTTAGTATCGAGGTAATAGCAGAAACAATTATGTTAGGATAATTTTGTTGATTTACCCCTATATGAAGAGTTTCTGATTTAGTTATGTAATATTTAAATGTAACTCTAGCTTTTATGGTGATACATACAGCCTACTGAAATTATTAGCTTAATTAGGGAATCGAGAATAATCTTCTTACAATTCAAATCACTGTGATTTTAATTTACTTATGGTAGATTGTAGATTATCGTAGAAATGTTCCGTGATAGACGATTTTGTAATCTGACGATTTTTGATTAGTCAATGGATATCTATGTTCGTAAATACTGTTATCTTAATTAGGTAGCAGTAGATAAAATTAGCGTTTGATTCATTATCAGGTTTAAACGTCAATATCACTAACTAGGGTGTCTTTGCGATTGTAAAAGAGTCTATAAATACGATAAATCGTATAATAAAGTGAGTTCTTATGATTAGTGTTTAAGATAAGATACGAGGCGTCTAAGTCTTTTTGTAGTCTGCTAGTATAGGAAAACAGTTCATGAAAGAGTAGATACTGCTCCCTGATATGTGCTTCAGGGAATCGACTGATTGATCGTGCATTACGTTATCTTGTAGCAAAGCTGTTTTGTAACAGTAATGACATTCTTTTGAAATATTTTTTCAATTAAAAGAATAGAAATGAGAGTTTCTAAAAGGATTATATGGAACAAAAATATCCTGCAATTAAGCCAAAAAATATTCGTAAGAAAGTTCGCTTCTTTGACTGTACATAATTCTTATCTCTAATGATGCGGAATATACCACGTTTCATTTAATAATCGTCATCAATTTGAGCTACAGAAATTACTGCTAACTCTAGCAAACAAAGTATTCTATTATAGAATTAAAGGCTATTTAATTACCTTTATATATTAATAATCTAGACATCATAAACAAGAGAATTTGAATTATTTCTGCTCGTATTACAATCTATAAGACTTGATATTCATTTGAAAATTCTCATCTTATGTTTCTACTTGATGGAAAATCTAGATACTTACTACATCAGTATGGTTTAAACGTAAACTCTGTTACTAATATAAATATAAATATTTTAATACGTAATTTTACTGTCACAATATATTTGAAAGCAATTATTAGTGCTGTAATCTATTGCTACAGCTACCCTTACGGTACATGAAGCAGCACAGTACTTGTAATAAATTTTACTTTAACCTGTAAGATTAATTCCTCAGCCTATGGTACAGCAACTAGAATCTTTAGGTTAATGCACTAACGAATGGCTCGATATAACGTAACTCTCATACTTTTTATTGTTCATTATCCAAGTTATGCAATCTATCAGTCGTTATAAATATATTTGTTACGCTATCAGTATTTCTTTGAAAACAATGATATAACACATTTGTAAGCAATTATCAGAGCTGAAATCTATTGCTACAAGTACCCTTGCGACATATAAAACAACACAATACTTATAGAAATTTTGTAGTATAGTCAAACACAGCTTATTACTCGTGCATAAACTAACATACAAAATCGAGTGCGAAAAATTATTTGGTTTATCTTCTTAATACAACTATTTTGTACCTGGGTGATCGCTTGAATTATCAGACAGTATCCTGACATTTGTCTCCCCATCGTTACCTTCATTACTACTTAATGGTTCCTCTATGAATTTAGCTATCTTATCAATTTCGTCCTTCAACCACTGAAAGTCTTCTATATCTTGTTCATTGCAACTATTTCCATTATTTCCATTATTTTCGCGATTTATCAATGAATATGGACGGCCTGAAAGTAATTTATATATCTTGCGTAGTTTATGATAAGCTGTCTTCATTTCTTTATATGGCTTTTGTTTCTTTATATCTACTAAGCAGCTTCTATCTAATGCTAGAATGCTATCGCTACTGCGTATATATTTTTCCCATCTAGTCTCACTATAATAGGATCTCACAAAATCGATTTTATGCTTATCGCAGATTTCTTTCCGAAATTTTAAACTTTCCATGTACTCTTTTTTAGAGGCGTCTAACATATTAAGACTCTTATATAATTTTGCAATTTCATCTCGAATATCTGCAATCAACAGGCGGCGATGGTTTGATATTCCATTTAGAATTTCCTTGGATTTTATTAAATTTTCCTTTGCTGTTTTGAATCTGGATTTTTCTAAGTGTGCTTTTCCGATCCCATAGAAAGCTTTACTCAATTCAACTTTATTTCTATACGTATCTTCTGGGACATTAACAACCCTGTTGTAAAAGAGCGTTGACACTTTAAAAGAATTATAATCACTTTCCCTGTCTTTCTTACGCTTGACTTTTCTCATTCTGAGAGATATTTCACCCAAAATGTTATTAATTTTTGCCCAAAATTGATAATCGTTGTATTCTTCATAATCCTTATTTTTTTTTATTACTATTTTGAACCAGCTATTAGCTTCTTTTAATTTATCTATAGCAAAGTAAGCTTTTCCTAAATATTCCGCTGAATCTATTATGTGCCAACTATTATCTTTAAAGTTTTTCTTCTTGATTCTATATGACCGCCGAAAGCAATCTATAGCTCGAAGATAATCACCCTGCATATAAAATAGATTGCCAATGGTATCATTAAGTAAAGCCAACTTGACAGTCATTTTTATATCCGACGGCAATGAAGATTTTAATTTATCCAAAAGTGTCTTAGATAAATTTGAAGGTGTTGAGTTTACAGTTGTTTCCTCAAAAATTTTTTGTATGCTTCGTAGTACTGTTATTGACTTCTTGACATTTTGAGGTTTACAGTTTTCAGTCGTTTTCTCAGTTTTCTCGTTTTCAATCATTTTCTCAATGCTGTTTTGCATGCTTCTTGATTGTTCTCTTACAGACTTCAGAATAACAGATCGAGCCATGTCATATTTATATTGTAACATATAAACACTTGCTTTACCACCTTGAACCAAAGTTAGTAAATTATTGGGTTCATTCGAATTTAAATTTCGAATAGCAACTTCAAAATTACGTAAAGCTTCATCATACTCTCCATTTTTGATACTTACATTGCCCATTATATACTGAGCTTCAGCAAGTAAAGAATTTAGAAATTTTTCTTTGAAATGTGACTTTTTTGCCTCAAAGTCTTTCTTAACTTTATCAAGTTGATGAAGCTGAAATTTAGACTTCATTAAACCAATCCAACTTCTACAAGTAAATCTGGTATAATCTTTATCATCAATGCACTCCAACTGCTCCGCATCCTTGTTCGTCTCATTATAACACTTTATTGCATTGTAATAGCTTCCATTATCGTAGTAATCGTCTGCTTGATCAAGTGTAGATATTAATTTTTCATTTAATGGTTTATTATCCATGTTTACTAAATTTTCTCAAGGCAGTATGTCTTTTTCATGCATCAGGTAGTAAAAATGTGATTACGCGTATAATTAACTATACGACAATATCTAACGTACTACTAAAATAAAATATGCCTGGATTGAAATCATTATAACCGCTCCCAATTTGCCTTTACAGCTATAATAACTTTGTGCATTGATGATCATGATATGGCGACGAATGCAACTGCATGAGTATTAAAAATAGTCACAGTCTGTAAAACTTGAAATTTAGAAAAACAACCGTCAATTATTCACTTTGAATTTAAATTATAGCCTTTGCTGCTTAGTAACGTAACTCGGAAATTCCCGCCATTGGCTCTCCTTTGTTAAGATGGCGAAACTAATTCTAGTTGCCCCACCTACTGATTAATTTCCATCGCTTATATATATGGCAAATACTAACATAAAAGGTTATTTCACGATACGTCTACAAACGCTCCTGTCAATTTACCGATTATTTGTTTATTTTATTGATATTAGACACTTATTTCAACTCCTTCACAACAATAAAGTCCTAAAAAAGCCTTAATGGATATAAGCCTGGCAGTATACTTCGTTAGTATGTCTCATCATAGGAATAGCGTGATAAACAAAGACATACAAAATTTAAAATTCATGGCTATCGAGCATAGAAAGCACCAGAAACTCACGACATACCCATACTGTGGGAAACCAAAATGGATATAACAGTTTTTGTCATAATATAAACGCATTTTCCTATTGCGTATCTGAAAACCAGCTAATCATTCAACGTAATTTACTGTTCTTATTTTTTAAAGTGACTATAATCTTATTTAAATTTGTTATTATATCATTGTGTATGCAGGACAGAACTACCTACCGTATGAATTCATCGACCCATAATCATCTCTTATTTAGTAAGGGTAAAAAACCCATTATTCACAGCTTGTGAAAAAATGCCTAATTTACAACTAACAGTTACCAAACTTATCACTTTCTATGTATTTTCTATAGTAAAGTAACAATAAATTCAAACTAAAAGCTATAAAAAACTCCGTTTCAGTCCTTTACTACAAAAAAGTCTGCGAATGCGCGATCGCGAGCTACCCTAATAAATTCACTAGAGTTCAGCTCAATCTATTCAACTTGTCCAATTCGTATAAGAATATAAAAAATCTGTTTCATAATTGCGTAAAACTGATTTTAAAATGATAGCGCTTTGTATGACTTCTGGATCTAATAATTACCATTAATCAAGGTCTATGTCAACTCCATTTAAATAGACAATTGAGTGCCCAGTACCAAGCAAAGTAACACTGTTTACTAGTGAATTTATTCTTTACCTTTGTATTACATATGTTAGTAAGGTAGATAACTAATACATATTTAAAGTTGTTAGTATGTGTTAAGCATCTATTATATAATATATGTTCTATCATACCTACATAACATAGTTTTCACGTTTGCTGTTACACATGTGCACGCGTTTTATGTTCGCCTAAAATGTAATTTCACCCAGATAACTTTTGGATAAACATACCTCATTTGTTACTATTTAATGAGATGTTTATTATTAATAGAACAATTTTTTTAATTTAAAGTTTTGTAGCTCGTTTGAGTAGTTCTTTAGAACTGGTATAATTTTACATTAATCCTTCCCTTACATTCTATCTCCATTCTGTACTCATACGATCTTACCTTAAGATGACGTACATTGATTTTTGCTTACTGATTTATATTAAGGCAAGTAGTACAACACTTTGGATTATGGAGTTTCTCTTGCAACTGCGATGAGGCGAATAATATTGCCTTAGGCAGAAGAAAAATTCTTGCTTAGGTAAGACTAATGATGCCTCCCATTTTGATTTGGCTGGCGCAACAGGATAACATGCATTAAAGTTAGGGTTAGGGTTTACAGTAATATGAAAATTTATTTTTGTGACTATAGGTATGCTGGTTCGAATAGTAGGTTATCACTTTACATGGTATGTGTAACCTACGCACTTGTATAAAGCAGACATCAAGGTAAAAATTTTCACACTACTTCAATAGTAAGTCATACTTTAGGAGCAACATCAAACACATTAACTCAAATTTAGTTCGATAATGTTATAAATTCAATAAGCATAATGAGGAGGTTTATAGAAAGCATTGGTAATCGCTTTGATCAACATATAGTCTTCCATCATTGGAAGATAGGCACTAACTACAGCTGATTTTACCGTTTTAGCAACGAAGATTTGAAACATATCTCGGATGTATCCCGTTACTGTTGCGTTAATTAATTTTATACCTAGGGATTATATTATGACAACCACTTAGGAAGCGCTACATGAGATCATCATCACATTCAATCAATGTCAAAAAATGTTATGAGTAACAACTGTAGGGATGAGTAATTTATAATGTTATACATTTTTATTCAGTCCTGGTAATATAAATTACTGTCCAATTAATTCATAACGATGAAGGTGTGCGTATGACATACCATTACTAAAAGTATATAAAAGATTTTAATGTCAGTCAAATCGCCTAAAAAAAATCCCCTAAAATAATGCGATGCTGATAGTTACTGTAGTTATGCTTGGGCTACTACACTTATTTATAAGTGCATAAGGCTGTAAGCCGTATAAAAATGATGGCTATATTAATAAACAAACTGGAATTATTAACTGTGAGTAATATTAATATCAAACAGTTTGGTTATCTTTTATTGGCATCACATTTAGTTGACTGTGACTTATCTCGTATATATATCTTGCAGTCAGTCATTGAAAAGAAATACATCAGGGTGGCATTTAGAGGAGCTTTCAATGTTACAGAGTACAAAGTATCATTGATACCCTTTATACGGGCAAAAGCACATGCAATGAAGATATGTGCTCTTATTCTGCATATATTCCACAGCAAAGTATACAATCTCATTTATTTGCATAAAATTGCAAAGATCTAAGTCATCTTCGCATCATCTAAAGGTGCATGGTAATATTTTTAAAATATAATATGCTAAATAGATCGTCGTAAGTTGATGTTAAAACATTATGTAAGTGTCAGATAGAGTACAGAAATATAAGTTACTAGATAGTGCATTCATTAATTATTATTGTGAGTATATGGAGATAGCAAGCGTTAGGGAAAGCATGAATGTGAAGTAAATTTCACTTCATTCTGTGATACTTTCTTGAATCTATCAAAGCATGTATCACTAGCAATAAAAATAAATAAGCGTAGTCAGAAGCTCCTCATTGAATAATTTGTTCATTTAATTAAAACAACTAACGATTTAAGATAAAAATTTCAACCATTCTGTTGCATCTATATGTTTCTATACAGCTATCTGGGTTTGCGTTAATATTTCAGCCTATGGTACAACAATTATATTTCCTGCAGATTTATTCATTCCATTCGATGTACGCGTGTTACAATTTGTAGCCTCATGTTCTGATATCATAGCATAAGGAATGTAGCTCGTGCAGTAGAAATCATATACAATTATTGAATGGGCTCTTCAATTTTTTAAATCAGACACGAAGGAAGAATTTGTCATTTCACTAAAGTAGATTTCCTAATATAACCCAGAGCAACTAATTACTGTATACTGAGTATAGTAGAAGAAATTGACTACAGTAACAGATGTGAATATGATATCTTTAGAACTATCAAATACGGCTACAGTCTATAATTTCACTTACTAGCACTAAAGTACTATCGAATGGTTTTAATAAAGGCTATTACCGCTAATGAAAATTCTGCAGGCCTATTTGGGAGGATCTATCATTAATATTGTAAGCTATTACTGAACTTCCTCGATTTCGATCTCATCTGAACCCCTATTGTTGTCTCGAACCAACCTAATAATTGGAGGACCTAACATATTAATCGTTAATATATTCATTCAAGGCAGAACTACAGTATATGGTCCAATTGTTGCCATTTACAAAGATAGGTTTTGAATATATCCTATTTACCCTTGACATCATGCACGCAATTTCTTTTTTAAAATCAAAACTAGAACTTTGATTCATTTATATAGAATCGTCGCTTTTTTTACTTGATCCTCGGTCTCTGGTATATTTCCTGCTGAGTTTCTTGCTACACAATATTCAGATAATCGATTCATCCTGCATACTACAAAAGAAGATGATTAATGATTCGATGCATGCGCATGCCTAGGATAAAATGATCTTTTCTGCCTAGAGGCTAAATATAAAAATTGATTTTCGATATATTCTAAGCAAATATCAAGTATGTTTTAGTGCTACTTTTGCTATTAATCACCATGCTCATTAATACAGTCCACGTATGCTCCAAGGACTCGAATATATTACATAGTGTGAATTACTACAGCAATCTTATTAAAGAGAACAGAGTCAAACTGGATCGATTAATTAGAAATAATTCTAGTTGAATTAACTAAAGAAATCAAATCAGATTATAATTTTGTGAAATATACTCGTAGTTATTCCGTAACATCAAGTGTAGAGTTGTATAAAAGATGACCAATAACTAATACTATAAATACTTTCAGAATCAATGCTTATTTCAAGTGAAGAAAATTTCTAATCATATCTGTTTGACATTAATAATTTTTGAAATTAGAATAGTACAACGGAAAAGTTATCCAGATAACAATAAATATCCTGAAGATACCGATTTTAGCGAAGGCTTCTTTCAAATTATTAAAATGATAAAGAAGAATTAAAAGACTCCTTATAAGCGATCATTACGGCTACTTTTGTTCAAGAAGTATACTAAATTATACAACAATGCCTATAACTCATCAACCTCCCAATCATTCTAATCGAAGTAGTCCACAAGATGAAGATCACCAAAATCAAATACAACCGATTGTGTGGAAATCGATTTCATCATGGCATGTGGTACCTCCGAGCTGTCCTCCAGGCTTAGAATACTTATCCCTTATTGATAGAGTCTACATTGTCCATAATGGCTATAAGAGTAATAGTAAGTTTAGAATCTTGAACCTGATATTACAATTGTTACGATTCGAGATCAAATTCTAAACTATCAACCATTACAGTACCATTCGCAGTCCAATAAGTCTTCTTTTTAAATAATTATATGTACAAAAATGATCTTGCACAACTTCAAGCGAATGGATGATAGCCTTTAGCAGTGTATGGCCAGACTGGCCACCAGAACTCCTAATTTGCCTGCATTAATGTTATATCATGACTGCATAGTATCATACAACAATAATTACTGTCATAGCATTATAGTGGAGACTACCAGTAAAAAATTGACTAATTACTAACAGTAGCTGATTATTGCCCACTAAAGTCACTGTGTGTATAAGTGTAATAATATAGAGTATAAGATATCATTAAAGTTTTACTGTATGGAGTATTAAAAGTTGTACGTATAAAAGCATAATTGTAGTTGAAAAAGTTGAAAAAGTACTAACTGATAGATGAACAAATACATTATCCTTTGTTAGCTTCTAAAATACGGCATGAACTATTCTAACTAATAACTTACGAGACTCCTATGATGATGAAGTGATAAAATTAATACTATATCATATCTATCAACGATACAATGATTTACTTCGAATGATGTCGATGATCTGGTACACATATTGATCCTAATGTTAATGTGCTATACTTTTATAGAAGATTTTTCCAATGACCATTACAGTTATCACATCAAAGGAAATGATGGGCAAATAATTCTAGGAGCTTGTGGAGGTAACCTGATCGCCAAGCAAATAATTAATCTTTCTATAAGCATTACAAAGAGTGTCGTAATATCTAGCGTACAATAAGTTACGACTAAGCAATATCTGCATTGGATAATTTATGTATAAACTTCATGTGTGAGCTTTCCATAGCAAATTTCTATATTACTTATTAGCTACCTGTGAATGTTGTTTGTATCTTACCTGCACTATATGTATTATTAACCTTAATGAATGAATTAACTTCAATTGAATATGGACTTCGATTTTATCTTTAATGAAATTGAAATTGTCAGTAAGAGATAGTGTGGGTAACAAGTCACAACTCAGCTGCTATCAAGAATTAATGCTAAGCGATTGCGATGAAAAGCAAATCGTTCACTTATCGCAAATAGGATATAAGCCTAATGTATTTTGCTGGCTATTCGGTTGGAAGAGCTATAAATTCAACGTGTTTTGCCCACCAGGCACAAGCATTGGTAGCTTTCAAAAGTAAGTTAATATGAGTAAGAAAAATTTATAAATTTAGTGATAATTAACATGCCTACCTCATTTAATTCACAACATGTATGGATTAAGGATTATTTAATATTTAGAAAATTTGTAAATTCACGTTAAGATCATATTTCGATTGCTGAAATTAATTTACTTCGATCTCATATTGAGTATTTAAAGTTGAAAATAGCTTAATATTACCACAAAATTCTACTGAACTACTAGGCGAATAATTGCATTTGATGCTCCAAGTTAGATATTAAGATTTCAGAATTTTCTTATTTTTTCTCTGAAATCAACTGAAATATTTAGAAATAATGAAAAAAGTCAAGATTATTGTATTTATGATACCAAAGAAAATGCAAGAATATATATAATGGAATCTAGTATTGATCTTCAACAAGCTCAAGTATCAAGGCGAGACAGAAATCATCTACTGAGCTTCTACGAGGTGTTACAATCTCTCTTGAAAATATAGTAATTATTATCGCATCGTCCTTGCTACTCAAATTGATACGATATATTCCAATACAGAATCATGGACTAGTACTAAATTCCTCAATGATTGCACATCGTCGTATTTAGGTTTCAAATTAACCAATGCGCATTCTATCTCCTCGCATATTTGATGATTATTTTAGATCAAAAGAAATCTCTATGGTCAACGTATTGGTACCTTAACGAGATCTATCAATGTCACCACCAGTAGGGCTACAATAGAAATTTCCTGTAAGTTCAATGCAATTTTATTATTGATATACAATTGATTGAAGGATTATCAGATTTAAGGACTCGGCAAATTTTTAATAATAATATTTAGCATTTATGCATATCTATGCAAGAATTAATTCTAACTTAACTTTTATTAATTAAATTTAATTAAATATAGTTCCCAACGAAATGGATGTTCATCTGAAAGCGATTATACTTGGCTTAGCTATCGTTGTACCAATATAACTGAAACTCATAGTAATCAATCTTTTTTTTCACAAAATTTCAGTCGCGTATCTACTGGCTATATGACTATAAAGAATAAGAGAAATATCACAAAATTTTTAATTGATTTCGGAACACAGCATAATGTAAAATTATACGTTTGGTGTCATTTATGATATCTTGCTGATCTTCAACTACACCAACTAATACATCTATCTGATCAGAAAAATAATCTAACATGTTTACTACACTGTCATGAAAATAGCATATCATGGACTTCTTGAACTAGTAAAGCAACTATCCTACAGCATTGACGAATCATTTAAATATCATCGTAAGCTAGATTTTCGACAAAAGAGCAGTTCAAAAAATTAAATGACCGTTGTAAATATTCCAATTTCGTATCAGAAAAGCAATTAAAAATTAATTAAGCTGAAGTTATCCATGTCAGTAACAGTTCAATAGGTTCCTTTATTTCTATCATTAGCCACATTACTCACACAGTAAAGATAGTCTTTCCCTTCCAAAAGGGAAAGTTGCTTTATGAAATACCAAAGCATTTATCCAAAAGTTCGAATAAATACTCTATCAATGTCATAATTTTATTGAGATTATATTCATTCGATTCTAGTCAGTCACTCATCAGGGTTTCAGGTAGTAGTGGCCAGTTATCGGCAGTCATAAGTAATTATAATTGCTTGAGAAGTCTAAGCACCATCGTTAGCGCTGTTTGATTTTGTTATGTTCAGTAGTGAGATTCATCGTGATCTACATTGTCTCAGTTAGATCGTAAGGTCAAATAATATTCAATGTCGTTTTGGATCATTACTTGGTCCAATATAAAGAGTAACCTAGGACTAACAGATATCGGTCAGGTATTGATTACTTGTGTCGAAGTAGTCCAATTAGTACATTAGTCGGGGTACCTCGAGAATTTCCTGCATCTGCGGATGAATTAGTTCTCATACAATACCTTAAATATACTGAACGGTAACAGGTATATCAATTATATTCACAAAGTAAACAACAATCAATAAATTTTAAGCCAAATTAATATCATGCGAAACTTACTAATTTAATTACCATATTATAAGCGCAGAGATTTCGCTTACTTAACGAATTCTTACATATAAAATCAGAATTATGCTTTTGTGCTATTGCAACAGGAAAAATTTAATACATACGAGTAAGTACAGAAGCATGATTAAGTTACCACATTGCGGTTGAAATAATAATAATAATACCATGTAATTCCAATAAGTTAGTAAGAAATCCAAATATGGCAACCAGAAGAACAGCACTATGTAAAGTACAAGATTTTTAGAAGTGCTAGTGTTTCATGAAGTATTTATGATTTCTCAGCATTGTTTAAAATTTCGCATTAGTCTCGCAAAAAAGCATTATTGATCGTACTACTTCATATATAACGGCTTGACCAAAAGAGCAGTATCTTTTATCTAATAAAGCTACATTTGAAATGTGTTCAATTTATTTTGTTGAATCATTTATTGTGTCGTAGACTAATTTGAACAAAAACACTTTCTACGAGTATTATTAAACAGTAGGAAAGATCGATACGATTAAATTATTTACATCATCAAGCTGTTAAATAGGTAGACTATCTTCTACTCGTATAATAGGCCTTATAGAAGTTAATTTAATAAGTAGTGGTAGCTGTGATTAGACATAATATATGCATTGTGAATTATGGAACATCAAGAAAATGAAATTTGAAGACATGGCTTAGTAATCTTATTTATATTATATAAAGCCAGCCAAAGAGAGTGATAACTCAGAGATCTTGCTATTCATAATTTTCTGAAGTACAAATCTAATCGTTCTAGCATAATTCAAGTAAATTAAAATTGAAATAGTTTGAACTACTCCAATAGCTCAAAAACTTTTATGTTTAGAACTTAAAGTAGACTAATAAAAAGCATTATTCACCGCGCTCCTTAAGATCAAGCAATGGGGCAAAGAGTAGACTTTTTTTATCTAATGATGCTTTATTTAACATGATTTAAACTTATTCTTGCAATGTTGTTCATTGTACCGTTTATGAATTTGAAACAAAGATAGCCTCTAATATTAATATTGTATAGATCAATGTACTTGAATTTATTAATATTATGTGTTAACTCTAATATCTGCAACCCTTTAAGCTTCAATAAAGGCTGGCTATCTTTTACTCCGGTAGCGCACCATATTGCAGCTAATTCATTAAATATTCGTAACTCTGATTAGATGTTACTTATAGAACTTAAAGAAATGAAATCTTAAGACATATCCTTACTTATGTTATATATAGTTATTATAAGCCAAACGTACAAATGAAAACTCAGAGATCTTCAAGCAGATGACCATGAAATAGCACACTTATAAATCATTCTGTTAGGCACATAATGTCCCCAATCGGTAATAATAATATTGGGCATACTCAAATGCCTTGTACACTGTATGCTATGAAATCATCTAGCCTTCATCAATATCAATCCATCATTTCGCTTCTGAAAACGATTGTGCTTATTAAAGAAATACAAATTAGCCAATCTCCTCCTAGTATTTTGATCAAATTGCATACATAAGAATGAATTAATAATAGTAGCAATAGCTATAGTTCCAAATGCAGCATAAATAAAAATGAAATAGGTAAAATTTTTCTCACCCACTTCCTGAGCTGACTTTTGCGTTATAACCAAAGCAAAAGAGGCTGCAAGAAATGACCAAGGCGTTCAAATATAGCGTACAGTAATAATATTTAGCATTTTTATAAACTTAATTCTTCACAAATGCTGTTCTTTCTGTAGGCCAGACCCAATAGTTTCAGGTCTAATATAGGATTTCAACTATGCAGTAATTTTCCAATAGTATGTGAAAATAGTTGATGTAGGCAGTAAGTATGATATTAATACAAACAGAATCAAAAATAAAGTCAAAAATTTCAAATTGCCCTAAATGACAACAATACTCCAGTGTAATCACGATGTTAACAATATAGCAGCTTATTCATACTGTAATCATTTTGCTCTAAAGAATTCGTAACTAAATGATAACAATTAGCAATTAGGCACCTTGTCGACTACATCATACAGAATAGCACTTGAATATATTCCAAAATATAAGCCACAAGCGAGCTATTCTTTAGTAAAATCACGTATAAAGTATTGTAACTATTTTTTACATTCATAATAAATCTATTTCAATTGGTACAATCGACAAATTATACCGACATTTATATTTCAATCTTGATACAGTAAACTTGACTACCGTAATTTCACTGATTTTGAACATTGCTGATACGTGATAATATATCCTGCAATACAAGCAAGCATATAACCATTTCATGATCTGAATATAGTAAATCCACACTTTATTAGTGCGCTATATTGTAACATTTATAAATACTTTTATTTATCGTCCGGTCTTCGAAATAATATTAAAATTGAAGCCTAGCATGGAAAATTTTTGTCAGTAATGTAATATCATCACAGTAATTGGATCACAAAATTTCCAGGAGTAATGACCTTCAAGATTATAAGGGAAGATTTCTACGCAACAAGGAAAAATTTTGTTAATTAAAGTACTTCTAAATTATAATATGACCCACTACATAGCCTGAGATTAAAACTATTGCAAAAGGCTATATCTAAACTCTTTCAGTATCGAGAAACTATCACTTATAGATATGCACATATACTCGTAAAGTAACGCACTTCTTGAGTACCTAAATCATCAATAACCTGTTACGTTATTCAGCGGTCTCGTAACAACAGCGTTTCAAGTAGAAATCCTTGTACAAATTTAGTGACCTTTTCCTAATATTTTGATCGAATTTGAATGTATAGGAAAGGATTCACAATAGCACTAATAGCTATATCGCTGAAATATACATAAGCCATAGAAAAATTGATATAATTTGTTTGGCATATTTCTTAAGATATCTATAAGTTATAGCTATACCAGAGTATGTTGTATGCAATCGCCAATAAGTTAAAATATAACGCGCCGCAATAATTATATAATTTTTCGCCTATTTTTAAACTTCTTTTGACATAAATATTGATCTTCTTGCTGATGTATCTGAATATTTCCAGGTCTTATATAGCATTTCAAGTATGTAATAATTTTGCAATAACTAACAACGATCGATGATGGCAGTGTCTATATAATTATTATAAATACCATGTTTAAGTATAAATCAAAATTTGCTGCCTCTCCATGAACATCACAAAACGTTATTTCATCTTGATAGACTCCAGCATAAATAGGTATTGGCAAAGAAGCTAAAGAAAAGACCACAAATGTTAAGGCTTACGATTTATTCGATACCATATGCATGATGTTATGATACATATTGTTTTAGTACACGTGTCTCATACATTTTCAGGAGTAGTTATATGACTATCTGTGATTAGGTTTATTTCGGTTCGTATCGATACACTTATGAATCATATGAATCTCGTAGAGGACGAGAAGAAAGATAAGTTTACATGTGCTAGTGGAACAGCAACGAGTGTAACAGTCCCTCTTTCTCGTTTTTAGTGATAACAATAAATATACTTACTAGAAGAATAATAGTCACATGAAATTTATTTGAATGATAAAATAATGAAGTAGATTTAGCAGTTGTGAAGTAGCGATTAATATCGATTTGATTCACGGCAACGATTGAAATTCAAAATAGATTTACTGTTTTATGATACATTTGAAGACTTACAAACATGATTTCTAGCACGAAAATCTAAGTTGGGTATCTACATTAACATGCAATCGGCTGCAACAGTGAACGTACAGACTAGATCAGATAAAATGGATACTCAAAATATGCAATAAGTTGGTATTCGATGGAAAGGAATCTAGAAGTAAAATAAGTAATATCACTGAGTTCACTAAATATCCAAATATTGACGTAGGAAAAACAGCACTATTTGTATTTTTATGCCAAAAATATTTCGCCCGAACTTCTCCAACTTGTAACAATAATTATGAACTACTGAAGAGCTATATGCTGTACTATGCTCCATCACAAGGTATAGCGCACTGTACCTACCATTCTTTACAGTTCTAATTGGTTCATAAAACACGGTATCATATCATAGCCTCTACAAAAACTACTATGGCTTTGGTATCGTATTAACGGCATCGAGAATGAATATTTCTGTCCACAAAATTGCTTTCAAACATAGCTTATAATATGGTTCATTCAAATTCAGGGTCCTATATATAAATTTTTAATGCTAACTAAGTACTGTTTGATTGTAAATGAAAATTTTGAAAATAAAACATTCGCATCGATGTAAGAGTTGGACCAAAAAAAGCAATGGAATCCGTAAAGAAAAGTACATCAATTTAATTTAGAGCTGACTGGGCTTCTGCAAGAAATTTACAACACTTAAATGACCCACTCCGCAACCTATTAAAAAGCACTATGTATCATATAAACAGGATAATAAAGCTTACAAAATTGAGAGTACCATCTATGGATATTTAGTAAGATGAGCTATACTTGGAGGTTTTAACAGCTTTTAGAAAGGGTTCTGGATCTTCAATTTTTTTGTTGCACTGTCGCTGACCACTACCTCGTAATACAGTGGATAGATATTGGTTTTTCTGAAATAAGATAATCTTCTATAGAACATTACGTAGTAATGCTTGAAGTTTTAGCATACTCTCAACGACGTGAATCTCATGATAAATATAGCAGAAATGGCCGAAAAGTATGTATGAATATGTTGTCTACGGGAATTAAAGTAGAAGCTACCAGAGTATCACTGTTTTCAAGATGCTTTCAAAGCTGCTGCACGATAATGTTTCATCCTATTAGGATTTTATCCGTGTAAACGCTAAAATAATTGGAGCCTTATCTATGTTACCCCATTTATTAAAATCAAAGATGTTGATTACTCTACTCTAAATCTTTTTTTAGCAGTCGCTAGTTCTTAATTATTTATATGCATATTTAAGTGTTATAATTATGCTAGAGATCGTAATAATACTACATTAATCGTACGATTTTGTCATATCTGAGAAGTAAAATAGAGGAATGTACAAAAATGCAAAGGACGTTCCCTTTCGTTAGTTCAAATCATATGCCAGTAACTATTGGATAAAGCTGATTAGTCGTTCCAACTCTAAGGGACGAACTAAATATCTATACAGAATCTGGAAACTCTGCATGTACGTTGTTACTAAATTAGTGCGCAAAGTTATTCAATATGTCTATGATTATTTTATATTTCGAACTAAAACACGTGCCTATTATTTATTTAGTGATTCAATCCTATGTCAATGTCGTTAAGAGTAAATTTTACAACGACGCAATTTACAACTCAATTCTTAGCAATAGCAATATTGTAACTAAAATAATCAACGTTTATCTTTCCTTTAATAATTGACTATTAAATTCATGCTTAACAGCCTTTATTTATTTAATCAATCAACATATGTCTTGCATACGCCTCTTGTAATTTTAAGTTCATATCAAGCCAAAAAATGTTATTAGAAATGCTTTCTTAGGACGTTCAAGCAAAGAAAATATTAGCAATGAACGTGGCTAGAAAGGAATTCAAAATTGTGACGGCTTCCTTCGCCGATATGGAATGGATTATGAAGATGAGAGCGATTCGAGGTCGCAATCCTGGACAAAACGATGCAATAACTTATCAATTAGCTGATCCAACAGGTTTCTATGTCGGGTTGCTAAATGGAGAAACTATCGGCTGTGTATCGGGAATGAAGTATGAAAATTCTATTTTCTGGGGAAATCAAATGGTATTAAAAGAGCATCGCGGTAAAGGCTATGGAAAGAAGCTATTTCAGCATGTGTATAATTACGTCAAGGATTTCAAAACTTCAGGATATGATACACTGACTTGTGATGCAGATATTTATGCACACCTTGGTTTTAAAGCCTTCCATCATACTACGCGATATGTTGGAATAGTTGACAAACTGCAAACTCATTGCCGTAATATCGTTGATGCCAAGAAAGTCCCATTTGAGAAACTTTTAGAGTACGATGCACGTCACTCTCCCGATCGCCGAAAATACTTTCTTGCTGCGTGTCTAAATGTAGGAACAGATCGTGCTTTTGTCTATTTGGATAGTAACAGAGATATTCAAGGATTTGGTGCCATTCGTAAAGCTGTTGATGGTTATAAAATTGCACCTTTATATGCACAAAGTATGGATATAGCTGAACGTTTAATTTACGGTTTGACAGCAACGTTCGAAAATTGTAAGGTAATGATAGATATACCAACGCCTAACGAAAGTGCTATGAAACTTATCGAAAAATTACAATTACAAGCAACGTTGAATACTGTAAGAATGTATCTCAATCGGCCCTTCACATACGATGTGAACTCTGTTTATGCAGTCTCTTCGTTGGAAATTGGATGAATTTTATTTATAGCCTTAGATTCTTTCGAAACGCTATATTCTGATGGTAAGTGAAAGGTCATCCATACTTTATGCAAACCTGTGGCTGACATTTTGTATATTTAAAATATATTATTGACTTCTGTGATGTTTTGTCTACCCAATAATATAGGGTTCATTAATCTATTATCAATAAAGTGATATCCAGATGTACTATGAAATGATTAAGCCCAATAGTGCTGTCGACATTATTCGCCTGTAGTGAAGCTGTAAGACAAGCTATTGTTATCAACATGATATGTAGAAGTGAATTAGACATAACTGAAAAATAATACCAAAATCTAGGGTAGTTAACAATAATAGGTATATATAAGTAATATTTGGAATAATTCAAGTATGGTGATTTGAGCTTCGTAGAATATGATGCTAATCATACAATTTTATTCTTATACTTGGTTCTGTATGTTTTGAATTATGTTTTTCGCAATTATCATGTTGTAAACAAGTTAGATAACATATTAACAGTTACGCTTTCTGTCATTGTTGCTCTTAGTCCTTCTTTTCTAAGATCTGCTGTTGCAGGAAGTGTTCCTGGTCAGTCAGAGCTTGTTGCACTATTATCTATGTAGTATCTCAATCGATAGAGAACCAATAATAAAATCTGCTATTCTAAAATTACTTGTGTAAACTACACTTTAATTACAATAAGTAGAATAGGTTGTATTACATCGTCATATACAATGTTGATTAATGTAAAAATAAATACTGTTAATGAAATAGTAAGATATACGCAATCGATTCAGTTTTTGCCCTGAAACAAGCTAATACTCGTAAATATGAAATTATAAACTCTAATAAGCAAAGCATCATTTTTTTATTTGTCTCTGCTATATAGCAATGAATATCAGAAATTTAGATAATATAGAGTATTAAGGGAAATCTACCTCTATACTCGATATTTTTCTAATCCGCAGTGATTGCGAGATCTTTAACTGAAATATCTGCTTTGAGTATTCTAATAAAGACTGCCTTTAAAAGCACAATGAAATTACAAATTTTCCTATCAATCGACGTCGCAAATCTCGCTAATATACAAGATTAACAAATTTGTAAATCTGCCTCTAATTTAATATCCGTGTGAATACTTCTCCGAAAGGTTCGCTCGCTGAAATTAAGATTAATCATATAATCACTTTTAACCTTTAATCACTAATTACTTTTAACTTAGCGTTAATGCTATTCTGAAACTGTTTATTTGTGAAAAGTAGGATTAGTTCTCCGATTATTATACTAACAGAGAAAGTCTTACTAGATTTTAGCAATGCGAATATCTTGTATTTGAGTACTAATGAGCGACTAGACATAAAAAAAAACACTGAATGCACGTGATACTGCTCTCTGTTTTTACGCATAACCGCATCTAAGCACTCCAACTAATTAATAAGTAAAGTAAACGTCTTGAAGCTCCATTTTGATCATTTATACTATTATTAGTAATCAATGAAGCGTTGGAACAATAACATGACAGTAGAAATGGTCTGATTAAGGTTGATTGATAAAGAAGCAATCTTCAAAACGGCTTAGTTAGTATAACACATATCCCTAGGACGGTTCAATGGGATTCGAAACTTGTCTTTTCTACATCGATTTGTCTAATCTTTCAAGATGGAGATCGTAATCCTCGCTATTTGTCTTTATTTTCATCTGAATGATCCTAGTAGGCTCAGCTTAGCTACTTAGCGAATTCAATTACTTCAATCTAGGCTACGAATAGTTAAACAGCTTGTTTGCCTATTAATCCTTTATTTAAAAATAAAAAATAAATTGTCAACGAGAATAGAAGAATGGTAAAGAACGTGCACAACCCAAACTTGCATGCAAGTATTTTGGCTGCTAGAATGACCGATTTCAATAAAATGGAGTCCAGGGCTACGTTACTTATATTGATGACCGCTACAACAGAAAGTATTATATAGTAAATGAATGCTTTTTAGAAACTGTATAGTACTTGTATTCTATCATCTAACATGGACATAGCATTCCGTATTACTAGTGCAGTCCGTTTCACTACAATTGATTGCTACAGAAATGTCCATCCCTGGAGAATTGATCGTTTCTTTGTCCTTTTAGTCTAGAAACATCAAAGGGAATCAATAAAGTAAAGTAATAAAAAATAACAACAAAAAGCACTGCGAATGACTTTTATTAACGTTAATTCCGTGCCACCGCCTCCTATCTGGCCTTTCACCACCCTGTTTATACGCATTCTGAGAAGCTAATAAAAAAATTTAGTCTGTGTCTGGATTAATCGCTCTTATTACACTATTAATCTTATCAAAATTTTTGAAAACTATAGCTTGATACTTTGCCAGTTTACTACTATTACTATTAAACCACTTGATGAAGAACAAAGTGGCGTTGTGAATAGTAGTAAAAACCGAATAAAACCCAATCTAGGAGGCTTCAGTACTTACAAAGTAATCCACGGTAAGCTATGTCAAGTTTATTTCATTTTTTATTCTCTCTTCCTTAAGAATTCCAACTCAAGGACTGCAGAATACCAAAGATTATGTTTAAGCCATTGGAATAGTGGCAATTCTGTCCGACACAGTAGATACCATAGGCTGCAATTACACTTAGTATCTGGCATTAAGTGAATAACTACTGTACGTAACTTTGTAAATTATAAAGTAAAAAGTGCAAATACAAATAGCACGCGAAGTAACGTAATACGAGTATCTAACCAGTGTGGATTCTACCAGTAAAATAAATAATACTTCATAGATAGTAATTGTAAAATCTAAAATAGTAGCAAGCTGACCAAGGCCTTGTATGACTCTTATGAAAAGTAACTGAGAGTGGAACGTCATAAATTGAAATGAACTTGTGAATATATTCCAAATTTCGATAGGATAAAACTTTTAAAATATTGAATTTAAACTCCATATCAAATCGATCCTATTCAGAGTCACTGATAGACAACTGTTTTATTATTTCACTAATACAAGATTAGAAGGGGCATACTGTACATAGGCAGTAACATAAAAGCTAGATGGCTAACCAAGATTTTAAAATTGTGGTCGCTTCCGCTGAACAGATGGATTGGATTATAAAGTTGGCAGAAAATGAAGGCTGGAATCCTGGATGTAAAGATGCTATCGCTTTTCAACTCGCTGATCCGAGCGGTTTCTTTATTGGCTTACTTAACGGAAAACCTATCGGCTGCGTAGCAGCAATTAAGTACGAGAATTGTGGATTCGGGGGATATTATATCATATTGAAGGAACACCGTGGTAGAGGCTACGGATTGAAACTCTTTCACCATGCAGTCCACTCCGGCAAGGAATTAAAATTATTCGGACTTGATGCAGAGCCTGCACAAATCAGTAGTTACGAAAAGTCAGGTTTCATAGTTTATCATCGCACTATGGAATATATTGGGATAGTGAATAAATCAGAGATTCCTTGCGACAATATTGTTGATGCAAGAACTGTCTCATTCGATAAATTATTACAATATGATAGACGCCATTCTCCTGACGTTCGAAAGCATTTTCTAGCTGCATGGATCAGTGTAGGAACAGATCGTAGCTTAGTGTATTTAGATGAGAATAATACTATTCAAGGATTTGGTGCAATACGAAAAGCTATCGATGGCTATAAAATTGGACCTTTATATGCAGACAGTTTCGATATAGCTGAGAGTTTGATTCATACATTGGTAGAATCTTTTGAAAACTGCAAAGTATACTGGGCCGTGCCGATGCCCAACGAAAGTGCCATAAAACTTGTCGAAAAATTGCGTTTGGAAAAATTATCGGAGACTGCTAGAATGTATAGCAGGCAGCCCCTTTCGTACGATTGGAATATGGTTTATGGTCTTACTTGCTTGGAAATCGGATAAAGCTTGTGTGATATTCTGAAAGACTGCATTTCATGAATACAGTTAATAAAGAATGCGATGGTAATGTGCTCTGAAAACGTAAAATTAATAAGAAACAAAGCGCTCGTTTACCTTTAATAGTTGGTTGTACGTAAAGTAATGACGAATGATAGTTGATAGGATGATGTAACTTACGAATACCATATTGCTATTCGTACTACGTATAGAAACAATTATATTTGGCAGCCAGATATAGTGTAGTTCTGTTTTTAAGTAGTATAAGAATAGGATGCTTGATTCGTGAGTAGAATATTGTAAAAGGGTTCGGTAAATGATTGCACTTTTGTAAAAGTTGTATGAAATTGTTGTGGCAAAGTTTGCCGTCGATTATCCGGTCGATCATAGCTGTTTAGAATTGTTCTTAAGAGGGAAAGAAAAGTAAATTACTTTTGACAGATGGATTCGTAATAAAAGCGACCTATAGGGTAGCTTCAAAGCGGAATTGGCCGTTTTATGCCCCATGGGTGATTTGCTAATAGGAGAAATAACCTTCTTTGTTCAACTTCATGCTTTGGAGAAAATTGTATAAGGCTACAGCGTAGAGAAACGACGTGATTTGCTGAGATGTCTTCAAGAGTACACAGATTTGTCTATCATAATTAGAAGGTTATGATGATAATATACATGAAATTTCCTGTCTATTCTGCCCATTTCTAGCTGGTAATACGATTTACATTAGTGATTCAGTTCCATCTCGTTAGAGATTTACAACAATGGCTTACCCTAGTGAGATTTGTTATTACAGATCAAAGTTGGACGACCACTGTTACTATCTATCGCATGTTGCATGCTGAGCCCTTTATGATCCATCCCCTTCACCCTTTCCTCCAAAATTACTATTTTCTTCGAGTATGATGAGATATCAACAAGGTAATAAGTATTTGGCCTGTCATTGAATGACTTTATTAATCTATATTCCTTACAATGTTTGCCTGTCTTCAAAGCTTGTGTAAGATAATCACGAAATAACTTGACAACAAACGAAAAATTTATCTATTGCATATGTATTAATAAATAAACCTCCTTTAAGTATGATTAATATATTCATCATATAAATATTAATTTATGAACGTGACTGTTTATCTTATCAAATGCACTTTATATAGTAATTGCAGTAGTAATAGTAGTCTATAACCTTCAGATAAACACCGATTAAGGATTGAACCTAAATTTACTAAACTTTAATACGATGCATTAATCTCTTGCTATAGTGATGGACTGGATTATGATAGAATGAGTTCGAAATATTGGATGTTAAATACGCAATGGAAATGAAATTTTTCTATTTCGATAATTCGAATATATCCACAAAATATCGTAGAGAAAGTCTTAAATTAATAACAAAATAATAAATAGCAAAATATTCAGTCAGGTGTTATAGGTAGTTATAGCTTTTTGATTATGCTTCAATTACTTTAGTTCAATCTTTACATGTTTAAGCAATGGAAATTAAATTTCAGTTATTTAGATACTATGAGCACATCTATAAGAAATAGTAGAGAGAGCCGAATCAAACTGTAATAAGATTGAAATTCAGTCAGAAGTCACTAGGCACTTACAGATTTTTCGTCAATTTATTTGGAGTCTAATACTAAAGGAGAAAAGAGCAAGGAACTGCTGAAAGCCTTTTTTATAGGCAGCTAACAAAAATATCTTCAACCAGCATACAAGTTAAGATAATGAGTACAGCAGTGCCTTCTACTAAACCCCAATGTAGTGTCTATTGCCATCTACTTTTCTAATACAAGGCATAGATAGCACGATTATATTATATTTTTTCATATATTTTTAGCCGCATGAAGTGATTATAACCATCGAGATAGATCATATCTCTTTACTAATATAGAATCCCCTAGACTATTAATAGCATTTTTACAAGAATTAATCTCATACTTATTTATTATTGATTTGTCCGTAGATTATAACCACTTTTCATGTCACAAGGTTGTAGTACAGCCCCAAATACATTGAAGACTATAATTGTTAGATTGTACGAAAATTGATCAATTGTATGCGAGATTGTAAGATTATAAATTATAATCTAATTGCAGATAGATAGTCTTTAGTAGTTATTAGAACCTAACTTACGTAATAAAGTAAAATTCTCAAGAATTGTAGAGCTCGCTTTATTTTTGAGAGACCCTTCATCGCAAACGTAGCGTATACTTGTAAATATATTGATATCTATTTCGTCATTGCTGCCGTAACTGACGATATAGACTTTACCCAATTAAACAATTTAAGTTTGTTTAACTTATTTAAATTTATTTTATCTACCTCAATCATTTTCCAAAACCATGCAATATGCATATAGTAGCTAATCGGCAGTATTTACTCAGACTTGACGAGTACATCAAATCATTGACGAGAAACACATATTCCTAAAGTAGTTATGAAGTGACAAATTCTTATAAACATCAAACATCTTATCTTGGCCACGAGCGCAATATCAGAGAATGTCAAACATTAAGATAATCTATTCTAATAATTTTATTATAGTAGTATAACTACATTCTAAATATAGAGTAAAATCTGGAATATTTAATGTTAACCAATTTTAATTACTGTGCAAAAGGAGCCGTATAATAACTCATTATTTATATTATCATACAAGTCAAATTGGGTGATAAACAAGCTATTAATCACCCTCATCTTTGCTAACTCGATAAATAACCTTAGCCTCCAATATCTCTACAATGCTGTATACGCGCATTATCCATACCTTGATAAAATATGATCATGTTAAACATTTCCATCATTAAAGTACAAGCAGCATTTTTCATAAAATAGTTCTACTGACTGTTACTGTAGGTATTATTAAAATTAGTTTGTGTACACATACGATTGTTTATCCATCAGGCTATCATCTATCAGGTAGATTGTTAGACAAATCAACTTTCGTAGATTAAGAGGATCTTTAGTGACATGTAAAGCTATAAATTTTCAATAAATCGACGTTAGGAGCCTCGCCAGTGTATAAAGTTCCAAATTTAAATACTTCGACTAGCTTTAGCTTTTCTGCTAATGCCTTTCCATGATTATTCGTTTCTGGAAAATCGAGAGTAATCCTACAATCACTTTTGTGTTGACAAAGAGACTTTAACAAAATTTCTGCAATTTGTGTTGTTTCAGCGTAAAGTGGGCCTACACGATAACCATTAACACTTTTTCTAATTGCTCCGAAGCCTTTCACTGTATCTTTATCCATATAAGCTAAGCAATCTGTTGTTCCAGTATTGATCCATCCTGCTAAAAAGTGTTTTCTCTCATCTGCATAAAATCGTGCATCGTATTGCAGAATTTTATCAAATGGTACACTACTAGCTGCACAAACGAAGGGACAAGATATTGTGCTATTATCCACAGCTCCTGTATATCGAACATTGACATGAGCCATTTTAAAACCAGAATTCTGATATTTAGGTGCATGAATTAGTAGTCCATCAACTCGAACATTATATCCATTCAAGTAGTTCATTGCATGTTGAAATATTCTTATGCCATGACCTTGACCACGATGCTCTTTGACAACAACATAGTATCCAATAATAGCAATATGATTAAATTTTACTCCAGCTACACAACACACCGGCTTACCATTGATAAGGCCTATAAAATATCCACTGGGATCAGCTTGTTGAAATGCGATTGCATCATTATCACCAGGATTCCATCCTTCTTTCCTAGCCATAGAAATGATCCATTCGACATGATCGGACGAAGCTGATACTATCTCGAGATTGGAATTTTCTGCCATTTAAAAATATCACATCAATCCAGTTATATAAACAGGAGAAATACCGTCATAGTCCAGAGCTAGTTTGAACTTAAGGTCGTCTTTGCTCCTTGTCTTATTTTGTTCGAAAATCAGTCTTTAGTAGTATAAATGTTATTCACTGCTTGCCAGCTATCTTGTAATACTAGCAATTCTAATTTGTATATTATAGGAGTGATTTCAATAGCGAGAGAACAATCCGTCAGTTAAATCTCATTAATTCTGCCGCCCTTTGTAGTTGTGCTATTGGTCACTTGATCTTAACAACACGATTTAATGGTGCCTGATTGCCGTTATTCCATATCAGACATATGTGTAGTTATTCTATCAGAGTATGGCTTTAATATTTCGTATAGCGTAGGGTAATAGAAACTCTAAGCTTATAAAAGCTATGATTCTAAATGTAATAACATTCGACTATTATTTCTTCTGTAGTAGTCATACTGTTTTATTTATTTAATTTAATGCCTGGCTATAGAAAGCCTTTCTGAGTTCATTTGCATATCAAAATATTGAGGTGATAATGATTGGTTAATCGCCATCAATGGAACCCTTAGCTATAATTTAGTTTTTATTCGTTAACAATAATAATTAATTATTATAGTACCCCCTAGTTTTGATGAAGACAGCGAATGCGAATTTGTTCATGGATGCAGCTTGAAACAAATAGGCCTCCTGGAAATACTTGATTTACTATTAATAACTATACGTGCAATCTGTAGGAAGCCTAGCCCTTTGTATACGATAATGAATGCCAATATAACGATCAGGAAAACTGATAGCTGCCATACTGCTACATTAGAGTAGAGTTAAAAGTCGACGTGATATCGGTGTTCAAACACTAGTACACTGTTGGCTCTAGTTCTATATTTTACTACAGCGCTGAAAACAGTAAATTGAACTCTACAGAAAGCCAAGATATTGACGGAGATTTAAGGCAAACTGCCACACGTCGAGTTTACATATGCTAGCAAATTTGTCCAAGCCCAATTTTAGAGGATAAATTTATTTACTGGATGCAATCGTTTCTAATCTACTGTGTGTAAAGATCTAAGTGTTGCCAACAATTTATCATAATCGATTCCTGTTGACTGATGTTTTATATTTTTCTCTCAATTTTAGAAATAGAAAAAGGATTAATACGGGCGTATCATCACTGACTCTATCCGGATTCATTAAAATAAAATTTGATCAGTCCAGTACCTATAAAGTAGTCAGAGGTAAGCCAAGTGTAATTTGCTTACGTTATTATTTGAAAGATAGAAAGTCAAAGCTTAGTAATACTACTTTACTATCCTGACTTCACTGTTGTTAATTTAAATGTTAGATCTGTAATGGCTAGTCTTACTATTGTTGCTACATTAACATCAGTTAAAAAGAATTAATGCTAATTACGGTTACTGTAGCTAACTAAAGGCTATGACACATTTTTTTTCTGCAGCCCACAGAGTGGAATAGTACGTAGTATGATTTAAAGTAGTAGTAATCGAATAAAGGACAATACTTTCAAGATGTAATAACTTTTCCGTTTTTCAAGAATCCTCACAGTTGTTACCAACTTAATTCTCGATTTCTAGTTCAGCAAGTTCTTTATATACTAACGCATAATACTGAACTATTCTAAGAACCTAATAATGTCCATGCGCTACAACTATAGCAGACCATTAATTACAATATAATTATACATGCTCACAGAATCGTAAGAACAACTATGACGTCTCAGTATTAAAAATCTATTTTTACTACATCATAAGTTCGGAAACTCTCTCTACGTATGCTAATTAATAACCAGTTTTACCAATTCTTAATACTAGTAACTGGAGAAGCATACACTTTTCCACTATTAAGCCTTACAATACTGTATCTATAATGGTTCTGTAAGTGTTGTGTATTTGTCGTGGGGAACAGGTTCGAACTCAAAAAATACACGTGCTTTTTCTGGACTACAATCTAACTTTATTCCACATCATATACTAGATAGTAGATACCGCTAAAATCCCCTCGTATTCACTCTATCACAGCTATATATATGTAACCATACGATACACAGAGATTCCACGCCTGCGCATAATACAATACCCAATCATGTGATAATTGATAAATACTCAATACTCTTTAACCATCAATCGTTATCATTCGAGCATGTTATTGTTAACCTATCGATACGAACCGAGTCAATCAAAACAAGAATACCTTACACTACTAGTATTAACCAAGTCTGAGAATCAGATATACGACAGTAAGTCTTGTTACTAAAAATCGAGACAATATCTAGAGAGTAACCAATTCTTAGGATTAACCGTAGCATGCATACCATTGGTTCTTATCCCAACACTTTTGCACTCATTCTATGTAGCTCAGTCTCCAACTTTGTCGCAAGCAAGCTTACGACAAGATTTACGTAAAAACAAATTTCGAAATTTTCCAGGAATCAGTTCCCTTAACTACTCTCAAGAACTTAGATGCCTTTACTTCTACGCTACAAAACTAGAGAACTGATTTTATTCCTATAGCTGCTAAGCTTATATACCTTTCGGCAGTAGCTGACATCGATGAATCACCTTACAACAGCAATTATCGATAAGGACACTTACTTACTGATTTTACATAATAGTTTGCTTGTACCGAATTCAATTACTATATAAGAATCCTATTACAATATATCATTTACTATAACACATTGTAACTTCAGTAGTTCCTACTATAAGCAACTAATTGTAATCACTATATACCAAATAAATGTTGAATTCGCTAAATTTAATCATTTAATTCTTCACGGTACTTCGTACTGTGACAAACTTACAGCCATTACTAAATAAATGATCGTATTTAATTTCTAACATTTCTACAGAATAGAAAGTACAAGCATAAGTAGTATCCTAAATTAAGATGGATAACGAGGACTATAAAATTGTAGTGGCTTCCTCTGATCAGGTAAAGTGGGTTATTAAAATGGCCGATAGTGAAAGTTGGAATCCCGGCTGTAAAGATGCAACTACTTTCCACCAAGCTGATCCAACAGGTTTCTTTATTGGCTTGCTCAATGATCAACCGATTGCCTGTATATCGGCCGTTAAATATGAGGAATTTGCTTTTATCGGATATTATATCGTTGAAAAGGAATATCGAGGTAAAGGCTATGGATTAAAGCTATTTCAGCATGCAATGAATACCGTCAAGGATTATAAAAAAATCGGACTTGATGCTGTACTTCAACAGGTAAGCAATTACCAAAAGTTTGGCTTTCAAACTGTTCATCGTAATATGCGCTACATTGGACCGATTGGTAAATTAGAGAGCCCTTGTGATAACATTGTGGAAGCTAAAAGTGTGGCCTTTGACAAAATGGTAGAATATGATAGACACTTTTCCCCTGGCCTTCGAAAGTACTTTTTAGCTTCGCTAATGAATACAGGAACAGATCGTAGCTTGGTTTATTTGGATAATGATAAAGCTATTCAAGGATATGGTACTATACGAAAAGCTGTTTTGGGCTATAGAATTGGGCCTTTATATGCAGAAAATACTGACATTGCCGAGACTTTAATTCGTGCGTTAGTAGAAACATTCCAAGATTGCAAAATTCTTTTGGATGTTCCAATGGAAAACGAAATGGGCATCAAACTTGTTGAAAAACTACAATTAGAAGCAATATTTGAAACTGTCAGAATGTACACAGACGGAACCTATGCATATGATGTCAACAAAGTTTTTGCTGTTACTTGCTTAGAACTTGGATAAAGTTGATTTTAGCTAGGAATGCATGCTAACACTGTACGTTGCTAGTAATTGAGTACTTATAAGTTCGAAAAACTTTTGTAGTATTTAATGAAATGTAGAATGGGATTGTAAGGTTATAACAATAGCGATACGAAATAGAGTTAGACATTCTAAGGTACATTTAAGTGGTAAGAAGTACATAGATAAATGATGCTTGATATGTTCTACGTTATTCCTCATTATAGACTCAATGTTAATGAATACCATGAATTCTTTTCGGTTGTATCTTAACTATTGTCTTGTTTAATTTGTGTACCTATTTTTCATCATCAATTAGTAGCTGGTTTATACTAAGTGTGATATTAGATCATGCAAATTCACATTATTTGGATAGTCAAGTCACATTGGTGAGGCTCTTACATCACTCTGCCGCGATTATTTCTCCGCTTAATATTGCATATTTATAAATCCACTTTAACTTATTGGTTATATCTCTAGAATCTTTCATAATCACGTAATATGTGGCGAAATGTGATCATTTATGTTATGATGTAGATTGCATGCTCTATGTAGTCTCAAACGGTGTTTAATGTATTTCTGGCAAGTTTACAGATGCAAATAAATGTATTTCTATGATTCTGGATCGTATTTTATTTATCATTGTGTATAACATATGCATTCGTCACAATATGAGAGTATGTTTACTGAAAGTAGATAAAATTATTTTACCAACGCTTGTTTCCCAACAATTACAGTGTTCCAAATAGGAAACTCATTTAATGAGATCTCCTAAACTAACGAAACTATGTTGACTATCCGTACCGTATCGTACTTTTTATAAAATACTTCTAGTTTTTCCACCAATTCAGTTAATAAAATACAATTTGGCAACCTATTGCAACTGTTTACGCGCATATTAGGAAATCGTCGAGATCGACGAATTAAAATTCATTACCGTATATAAGTAGTTTAACTATTAGGATAAAGTTTGCACCAATGTGCAATAAAGACGTATACAGTTACTGATCAATACTTTAATTTTACTTGTAGCTATAAAAACATGACGGAAAGTGTGATGTTTCGGAAGATTGTGGATTCGTCATGATCACAGTAAATTACCAGAGTTAATTTAGTAGAGGAATAGAGTTTATTGGAATTAGTGCAAAGGAAAAAACCGTATGAGATTACAGCGTGTATAACGACGTGACTAGTCGAATAGCTATAGTAATGTAGCATAGGTAAAGCGTGCAAGCTTACCGTGTAACTAGCAGAACTAACTAACGAGATAGGTGAAAGAAGATAGCTTTTATAATGTATGAAGCACAGCAGGAGGAAATCATAAATGACTAATAAGAATATGTTACTTCTATGTTAAGACAGGGCTACGATATAATTCAGCTAGATTCAAAGCGATTTCCACAGAGTATTTTGTTAATATAAATTATACATATTTAGAGTTATGCTACAATCTAGTGGAAATTGACTTTTACTAAAAATAGACTATACCGTATTTAGAAGTAAACACTACAGAAAGTAGAGCACGACGGGCGATAGTTTAAGACAATTACAAGTGAGAACAAACTGCAAGCGATTCCATAAAACACATACTTGACGATTACTTTTAACTCTAAAATGATGTTATCATGAATAAGCTATTTGCTTGAGAATGCAAGAACTTCATTTATATGTCGTAAAAATTAGATAATAATTACTGTTAAAACCATAGATTCTTATTACAGGCTTTTAAATTATAATTCATTATATAATTAATTTGTATATCATACGAACGACCTTTGAATTATTAGTATTGTATAAGTATATGAGATTCCTTTTTTGATATAATCTTTCTCTTCAGAACTTTAATCTTAATTAAATCTGAACAATTATTTTTGACGTCCATTGGTGTCATAGTCTATAAGAATCGCGATTTAACATAACGAAGATGTATTTTTTTGTCTACTTCATACCAACTATATCATAAAATTTGTTTCAAATTGCTCATTTGATTTAGGTTTCGAGGATATATCCTCTATAGTTCGAGATGGTTGCTAAATGAGTTGTAAAGGTAGAAGTCAAACGCATTTTATTTCTCAATTCAAAGTCTTAGAAAATTATAATTATCTTAGCTTACTTAGATTCAACACATTTTCGCTCCAAAAAGGAATTTTACGCAGTTATGATAATCATGCATACTATATGGATGGATACTACTGATTTTTCTTTCTCTTAACTCGGAGTTGTTAATAGCCATTATTTATCTGCATTTATACCTATAGGGTCAGGTTAGTCGTAGTCACTATTTAATGAAAAGTATTAATGCAATACAGTACGGTATTTGCTTATCTATAATCGCTACTATCGCTATGGCTCGTTAACCATGATAATTTACCATCTACGTATTTAACTTGCTCTTTAATGATTAAATCAATAGCTTGTGGATAACATCGGTGCTCTGCTGTTTTAATTCGTTGGCTTAAGGTCGTCTCTGAATCATCAGGCAATATCGGTACACTTTCTTGAACTATGATAGGGCCGGAATCAACCTTCGCCTACATTTCAATTTTTGTATTGAGATTATAACAAAGTGTGCAAATATATGATTATAACTAAGCTTATGCCAACGAGAGAATATATCAGACACTATATGTGGCACAGAAGCAAGATTCATATTATCAGTAGAATTAGAAATATTACCTCAACGAAGTGAATAGTGCAGCCTGTTATTTTTACTCCAGCAGTGAGAGCTTGTAAAACTGCTCCACAACCTGGGAATGCAGGCAGTAAGGATGGATGCGTATTTATTATTTTCCCCTTCCACTGATTAACAAAATCTATAGTTAAAATTCTCATAAATCCTGCTAAGCAGATTAAGTTAACAGATTTTTCTTTTAACACATGATCCAGTTCCTTTTCAAATTGCTTCCGCGTAGTATAACGTTTATGATCAATTACCTAAGGAAACAAACTCATTAAACGCCGTTCATTTTCATCGAATTCTAATATTGGTTTGCACTACTATGTTATCATTAATTCATCATTTGAATAACAATTTCTAATGGTAAGTTGTTAGAAAAGATTATGATAGTCTAAATGCTTACGATATTTTCAATGTTATTCTGCCTTGCTCGCTCAAGTCCCGCTACTTTATCGACATTAGAAATAACCAAAACTACTTCTATTCGATATTTTTCAGCTTTAGCGTAATCTATGATCGCTTGTAGATTGGTTCCAGTGCCAGAAATCAGAACAGCGAGACGATACTTTTTGGGCAACGAAACTGAAATATTTTTAACTGTTACAACGCCAAAAGCTTTTATGTCATTATCAGCTCAGAAAGATGTAGAAATTAAAAAAGCCAATTACCTACGATGTTTTGATCATACAGAACTTCATACAGATGTTGCACTTGAATTTTTAGCTCTCCAGGTCTAATACTTTCAATATTGCCTATAGACCAGTACTCTTCTCCGCTGGCTGCTAATAGTTCGAGCAATGCATTGTGAGCATTTGCACTACAAATCAGTACAGCTCCAATGCCACAGTTAAAAGTTTTTAACATCTCATCAGGGTAGACATTGCCTGCTCGGTAGTAATAATTAAAGTAGATTTAAAACTCACAATCTATTTATCGAGAATTCGACCTACTGTCTTCGTACATGCTGCACCGTTTACCTTCGTTTGCTATCCATTTAAATACATCAGCCATTTTCCATTGATGAGCATCAATTACTGCTTTACAATTTTGGGGTAAAATGCGGCTAACATTATCTACTAAGCCACCGCCAGTAATATGAGCATAAGCTTTCACCAACGATGATCTTAGCACCGACAATAATGATCGACAATAAATTTTCGTTGGAATTAAGAGGGCTTTACCTTTAGAAAATGTTATGAAGCAGTCAGAATTTTATTGATCTTCGCATATGGCGAAAATTTCTTCATAAAAGTATTATAAAACAAAACTGGTATGCAGTCGTTACTCTAGCCATTTATACATACCTAATGACATTGGAGCTGTACCAATATTGGATGAATGAATCGAAAATGGTGCCGGCATATCATAATGTAACTGTTTTTGTTCAACAATTCGTCTAATTAAGCTGAATCCGTTGCTATGAATTCCCGATGAAGCAATACCTATCACTTTATCTCCTACACCCGTATTTGCAAATAATAATTTGGATATGGGTCAGTCCTCTTATTAGAAACAATCACTTCAAGCTAATTATAATTAATTATCGATGAAGAAGATGTCTGGCATTTTCTCTCATATATCCGAATAGGTCTTGGCAAATGATAAAAGCTATGAAACCTACCGGGTATAATCGTATCTATTTCAGGTAGATCCTGACCGCGTTCGACATATCCTATAGCAAATCCGGCAAGATCATATGTACCAACAGGATAAAGCCCTGGCATTTGAGCAGTTTCACCACCAACAAGAGCACAACCAGCTATACGGCAGCCAGTTGCAATCCCGGAAAGTATGGCTTGGATAACTTCTTTGCCAAGAGAACTGTATGAAATGTAGTCCAACATAGCAACAGCTTCAGCGCCTCTTGCTAGGAGATCATTAACGGACATGGCAACAAGATCAATTCCAATACTATTATGATAATTAATTTCTTGACAAATCTAATTTTGTTAAAGATTCCATTTTGACAAAATAATTAGGGATTATATGGCGTCTATAATTAAATATCCAGCGGCCAAAAACAGCCTTTAAATTATAAAAATCATACCATTAACTTAGTCCCAACACCATCTGTAGTGACAATAATAGACGGACTTTGATATGTGGTAGCTGAGTAATCTAATAATGAGGCAAACCCTCCTATTTCTTCACTACAACCTCGCCTAAGCGTTGACTTAGCCAGTGATTGTATATTTGCCACGAGATCATTACCAGCTCCAATATTAACTCCGCATGCTTTATAAGTTAGGCCATCAGGTAATCTGCATCATTCAATGGTCACTGTATTATTCACGTAACTGTTATCGATATTGCGTCCTTTATATATACGGTATATACGGAAATAGTACCATGTTGGCTCATTTAAGAACTGAAATCACTTTTTGCTATATTTAAATGGTTAGTTAATGATTTTACTGTATTTAAATTATAATTATGCTCCATTAGATTGTAATAGAGAACAGTTATGTTTTGAAATTTAGGTCCTACATTGAAGTACAACTTGTTTTACTAATTTTGCATTAATAGAATACCAGGATAATCAATTTAGTCCATATAACTATAACGTATACAAAACGTGTTAGATCTCGTCTATGAAGAAAGCATTCCATTTACTGATGGAAAGGAACAGAAGTGAATGAAACTTGTAAAGTCAAAAATTACCTATCACTATCAAGCCAAGATTTAGCACCGATATCTTTCCGAAACATCTTTCCTTCAAAGTTAATGCAATCAATAGCCCGATAAGCTATGATTGATGCTTTAGAAAGAGACGATGCTTTGGCGGTCACTGTCATAACTCTTCCTTTTTTAGTTAATACTTGGTGATCCATATTATCTAAGCATTGATAAATAAAATCTTATAGCAATACTGTGATCGCTAACATAATAGCTTCAAAATCTAGAATGTTTATTAACGTAAATTTAGCGGTAGATTGAAATTCCTACAAATTTCGATGCTACAGTATGTAGCAAAATGGAATTATACGCGTAAATAAAAATTTTTTAACAGTAGTAACATAATCGTACATGAGAAGATTAAAGCTAGCTCTTAAAGTATTTCCGATGCGCAATCATTTGTAGCAAGTTACTATAAATGATTCGAAGCTCACACGATCACGATAAGATCTGCTATTAGTCGTTTATGTCGACCATTATCTCGTTTTTAATCAAAATATTCAGGTCAGATTGATTTATAGGTATTTAATACTACGATACTAGGATGCTATGCAGATATTATGTAAATTTCAATTTTTACCTGTTAATGCAGTTCCAGCGTGGAATATTTCTATACCAGCAAATGTGGCAGCTTTATTAATGCTATAAATTTCAACATCAGTCTGGTATGGTCCTGGGTAACCTCTACTCACTAATACTACTCCTACGGCATAATCTGGATGCCATTCAACGATACGATTCAAGTTTTGCTTGATGCAATCTTCCAGAATATTGAACAAGTCGCTTTTCAGTAAAGGTAGTAAAACCTAAAGCAACATGACAGCGCTGTTCACACTAACGCCTATTCTTAGTATTTCTAGTTATGAAAGAATAGCTGAATACAATTTATTTGCTAATACTATTAAAAATGAAACCCATACAGTCCTACCAGGCCATCAATCAGCCATTAGGCATGTACTACTATTTCTTGGAGTTTTACCTGTGCTTCAGGATCACCCAATCTACAATTGAACTCTAGTACTTTCGGACCGTCATTTGTAAGCATTATGCCAGCATATAAGATCCCGTTATATGGATGGCCAAGGCTTTTCATTTTTGAAATGATCTTGAGTATAATTTCTTCCCGGATACATCTGTCATCGTCATCTGAAACCTAATATTGGCATGTTACAAAATTTAGAAGGCTTTATTAATGGCTTGCTTACAGGATAATGAGTTTATTCTGGTCGCATTTTAGCATAATTATAGCAATGCATATTAATATTACAACTTTCAAGTGTAGAGCTATCTTTGCAAAATTCATCAATGAATACTAACCTTAGTATATGGAGCAAATGCCCCCATTCCTCCTGTATTTGGACCTAAATCGCCATCGTATAGTCTCTTATAATCGTGGACGTATGGCATTATGCTGACATTAGCCCCATCGCAGAAAGCTAGAACCTAATGAAAATCGTGTACATATAGTTAGCCTTTATTCCAATCTACAATCGAATGAGCCGTAAATCCTTTAAAAAGGGAAAAGTACAGCATATTTCTTGATTAATGACTAGCCCATTACCGAGATTTCATCTCCATGCAAGCATTCTTCAATAATGACCTTTTTCTCTCCAAATTTATTATTCTGTACGGAACAAGAATAGTCAAGACATTACTACAGTTGATAGTTTCGAGCTCGTTCAAGTAACTTGAAAGATAAAATCTACCGCAAAATGATAGCTGTAATACGTACTATTAAAATGTCGATGATGGCTGTTTCCGCTTCTTCTTGACTACAACAAATAGTAACACCTTTTCCAGCTGCAAGGCCATTTGCTTTAATAACGTAACGAGATTGTTGATTGCTACAATTAAAAGAAAAAATAACTTGGATCATTTTGTGTGCAGTACCGCTTGTGGTGTTGTAATTAATCGCAATCTTCCCAAAGCTAAAGAATTTAAAGTAAGTATGACCACAAGTACGGCAATGGTCGTTTTTAAACTACCTTCCAATGTAATCGATCGCTTCTTGAAATTGAGTAAAGGATTTCCATTTAGCGGTAGGAATATTGCATGACTGCATTATTTCCTTGGCATAGCACTTATCCCATTCCAATCTTGCAGCTGCTTTACTTGGACCAAAGCACGGAATTTGTCTCTGTTGTAAGAAATCGACTATTCCATCGGCCAAAGGTGCCTCAGGTCCAACGACCACCATCGCTATTCGCTCATGCTGGCACCAGGCTGAAATTTCATCAAAATTGTTCAATGAAAGATGAACATTAGCTGATTTCCATTCATTTTCGGTACCACCATTGCCTGGTGCTACATATACCTTCTGAATATCAGAATTTTCAGACAGTTTACAAGCTATTGCATGTTCCCTGCCTCCACTGCCAAGAACTAGGACCGTTTTCATTGAGCGTATTGCAAACAGCGGCTACGTTTTGCTCTAAAGTTGGCCAAATCAATGGATTTGAAAATCAAATTTTAGCGTCTGATAGGCCCACAAGTACCGAAATAGTCGGACTCAAGTCTGATAATTGTATAATTATATGCAGTCAAGATTGTAAAATAGGGATGCCTTGATTGTACAGTCTTCCCATTTACGACAGGATACAGTAATGTTCATTTGACTTTAAAGTTCTACTCTTACGGTAAGTTGTATTGGTTGTCTGCCTACAGAGTTTTATCCTTAACTACTGTATGATGGTGTCATGATGGCGCCAAGTGAGAAATTCCTAACGGTATCGCAGAAGCCGCCACTACACGCAAATCTAGTTTAAATCAGTGGATGGATATTCAGCATCATTATAATAAACAGTAATGACACTTTAGACCATTCTAAAATTTGATTTCTTTATTTATTCAAGATATTAGCTGAGCAGACCAATGTCGTCGCACGACGAGTATGCAGAATAATTTATTAACCAATGCTCAATATGAAGCCTTTGCCACATGATGGAATTGCTTTTTAAATAGAAATACACGATATTAAGAACAATATAATATGTTAATGATAACTGGTGTGATATTTTATTTGATAGATAGTAATTCTACGGTAATTCATGTTGGATTGTATCTTGAGTATGACCGTTTTTAATGCAAATAGTTTGTCAACACAATATTTATAAAGGTAGGTGCTAAATTGAAGAACCTGAGGCTAAAGTGTCTAGTTTAAGCAATACGCACGAAGAATACAGCGGATGATTGATTAATTAATCTATAAAGTTATTCACCGTACGCTAGCGTTTGCTGTACATTGTGATCGTCTATCGATAAGATGGATGCTTGTAAGACCGAAAAATTTCAATTTTCCTGATTAATAAATCTTTTTTAATAGTAGTTTACCTTTGGTAATGAATAATTGTGCCAAAGCTATGAGCAGATTCCGTAAGCTAAAGCTTGGGACCGTGTACTGTAAGCCAAGGTGCGAAAGAGTTGAAGGACGGAGCTTAGGTGAGAACTTTATGACTCCTCTATTTGTCCCAACTTGTAGGCAATACCAAATAACCAATTAGTGCATCAGGAAGTATTTGGAGTCAAAAAATATTTATAAGAGCAAGCAATGCCCGTATAAATACTAAATACTATTTGCCTTGATTCCAACAGATCATACAAATAAGCACATGGTAAGTGAAGCATTCCGCTTAGTAAAGAACTACGCCAAATATCGCGAACTGTGTGCTAGTCACCGTTCTATATATATAAATCGCCTTAAATATCCTAGAAATAAACAGCAGGCTCGAGTATTAGCTTGACATACAGTACAGTAGTCAATGCTTCCTCTTTTAATAATTTACTAACTAAATACGAGTATAATGAATTGACTGTTGTACAAAATGGACAAATAAAGAGGAAGTATTGCCTAGATTGAACTCATGCTGCAACTGCTGAATTTGTTTCTAGAATATTTCAAATAGAGCTTTCCTATGAGCACGAAGGAACCAGAGAGGCAGGCTGCCTCTTGCAATGAAATGACAGAGCATGCTAATAAAGTCCATCAAGACAAATGAACAAAAAAGAAAGAGGAAGTAATGGCTAAATTGAACTCGCTGTGCTTGCTCCTAGAACATTTCAAATAGAGCTTTTCTAAGAGCAAGAAGGAGCCAGAGGGACAGGCTTGATAGGGAGTCTCTTGCAATGAAACGACAGAGCTTGCTAATAAAGTCCATCAGGAGAAAATGGACAAAAAGAAAGAGGAAGTATTGCCTAAATTAAACTAGCTATGCTTGTTCCTAGAATTTTTCAAATAGAGTTTTTCTATGAGTACGAAAGGAACAATGAAATGACGGAGCATGCTAATAATGTCCATCAGGACAAAATGGACAAAAAGAAAGAGGAAGTATTGCCTAAATTAAACTAGCTATGCTTGTTCCTAGAATTTTTCAAATAGAGCTTTTCTATGAGTACGAAAGGAACAATGAAATGACGGAGCATGCTAATAATGTCCATCAGGAGAAAATGGACAAAAAGAAAGAGGAAGTATTGCCTAAATTAAACTAGCTATGCTTGTTCCTAGAATTTTTCAAATAGAGCTTTTCTATGAGTACGAAGGAACCGGAGGGGCAGGCTTGATAGCGAGCCTCTAGCAATGAAATGACAGAGCATGCAAATAAAGTCCATCAGGACAAAATGGACAAAAAGCAAGAAGAAGCATTGCCATCATTGACCTAATGCTCCGTTTGTTTCAGAGATCGATGAATAACTATTTACATGACTGAATACTCTAACTACAGTGCTAATTAGTCCCCAATGCAGTACACTGCTCATGACTACAGTAGGCTGGAAAAGCAGCTTTCTACAAGTGTGATTTTGAATTTCTAATTTGGCCATTTTCATTTCATTGGCTTCTTGTCAAGCCATGGATTGAATGGACTGCAACGCCCTGTAACGATGGATGGGGATGAGGTGGATGGATGGATGGATGAGGTATGAGTTCATGTCCAATGCTTTACTATTAGAACTCTTTATTTCATCCAAGCGCATACAAAGTGGCTTACTCTCAGCATGGATTGGGTGATTGATTGTGATTGGTCCATGATGTTGTTATGAGTCATGACGTATGACTCATGACAACGTCGACCTTTGTTTTCTGTCTTGGTGTAGTGTACTGTACTGGTGCTTGAACATGTCGTACGAATAATACAAAAGCATGTAGCGGTTGAAGACCAGTGAGCAGCGTGACGTCCAAGTCTACCATGGACATGCAAATTGAAATCAAGACTTTGAACTCGATCTTGATGCCATCGAATAACTCCAACTGGAAATCGTTCTATTCCGTTGATGATGCTTCCATTGAAAGAAGTACTTGCTAGACGATCGAGTAAGACATGACTGGAAGCCAATGGACGGGCCATGACAGAGAAAAGGTGTCGACAATGCACCAGGGTAACATCCTCGAAGGTAGTCCAAGGGTGCCATGGCGAGGTAGGGTGGGCAAACAAGGGTAACATCGCATGCAGGCCATTTTAGACGATGTTATCCTCAAAGGGTAGAGTATCCCGTAAGACTATTTGACGTCATCCTCGTTGAAGGGTAGTGTATTAAATAGCACTGCTTAGACTAGTCTTACAAGTCATTCAAATGCC